CACTACGACATCCGAGAGAGCCAGGCGCGTGCACAGGCAGCGACCGGCGAGCAGGTGTGTATGCAGCTCCATGCGCCGCTGCCGGTGCAGGTCCCGCGTCTTCTCAGTTTAGCACACAGAGATGGAGACGCGCCGCGGAGCCGGGCAACACAACGCGCAGTCCCGCGTAGTGACGCCTGGACAGTGCCGCAGTCGTGTAGCTCGGCGCCGCGGAGGTGCGGCCGGCCTCTCAATGTCGGTGGCAGTGGTGGTTAGAACTAAACATATATATATATATGGACGTTTCCTTTTCACTTTTTGAGGCGCTCGAGGAGCGCTTTGAGTTGCGGTCAAAGCATCGAGACGCGGAGAATCGTTACAGTTGAGAGAGAGAGAGAGATATTTTTTGTTTTTGAACACAGCGTGCTTTACCACGATCGCGGCACGCGCCTTAACCATGTCAGCTCTCAGTCAACAAAGCATGACGAAATAGAAAACAGAGAAGAGAAAATAGGAAGGAGGCGCGGGCCGCGAAGCCGAGGGGTGGCGGCGCCAAACAAGACTGGCGCAAGCCGCACGCCCGCAGCGGACGTGCACCTACGCGTCTGGCTCACGTGCATGGCGATGCAGCTCCAAGGGTCGGTGGCGTCGGCACCTCGCCCCCAAGCCGCCGCGCTCACGCACCGGCCGGTGCGCACTCCCACACCCCGACCACTGCCCGATCCTCCCTCCCTCCTAACAGTGCAGCAAGGACCCCGGTGCCTTCCGACGCGCACGCAACGCGACCGCTCGCTCACTCGCTGGCTAGCCGCGCACTTACATCTTCGCGCACGCGCGGTCCTTGGCGCCCATGTAGCGCACCAGGTCCACCACGCGGTGGGAGTAGCCCCACTCGTTGTCGTACCACGACACGATCTTGAAGAAGCGCTTCTCGCCGGGCAGGTTGTTCTGCAGCGTCGCCTTCGCGTCGTAGATCGAGCTGCGGGCGTCGTTGATGAAGTCGCTGCTCACCAGCTCCTCGTCCGTGTAGCCGAGGATGCCCTTCATGTACGTCTTGGACGCCTTCTTCAGGGCAGCGTCGATCTCCTGGATCGAGGCGTCGCGGTTGGCGCGGAAGGTCAGGTCCACCACCGACACATCCGGCGTCGGCACGCGGAAGGACATGCCGGTCAGCTTGCCCTTCGTCGACGGGATCACCATGCCCACGGCCTTCGCCGCACCGGTCGTGCTGGGGATGATGTTCATCGCAGCAGCGCGGCCGCCGCGCCAGTCCTTGATCGACACGCCGTCCACCGTCTTCTGCGTGGCGGTGTAGGAGTGGATGGTCGTCATCAGGCCCGTCTCGATGCCGAAGTTCTCCTTCGTCAGCACGTGCACGATCGGGGCGAGGCAGTTGGTCGTGCACGACGCGTTCGACACAACGTGGTGCTTGGCGGGGTCGTACTCGTGCTGGTTCACGCCCATCACGATCGTCTTCGCACCGCCGGACGCCGGAGCGCTGATCACGACCTTCTTCGCGCCGCCCTTCACGTGGCCCTCCGCCTTCGCCTTGTTCGTGAACAGGCCGGTCGACTCGATCACGTAGTCCACGCCCAGCTTGCCCCACGGCAGGTCCGCAGGGTTGCGCTGCGCCTTCACGCACAGGATGCGGTGGCCGTTCACCACAAGCACATCCGGCTTCTTCACCTCCGGCGCGCTCTTCGCAACCTCCACCGTGTACGTCGGGCGGCCGTGCACCGTGTCGTACTTCATCTGGTACGCGAAGTACTCGGCGTCCGTGCTCATGTCCACCACCGCCACCACGTCGATCTCGTTGCCGAGGACGTTGTCCTCGCACATCGACTGGAACACCATGCGGCCGATGCGGCCGAAGCCGTTGATGCCGACCTTGAGCGGAGCCATTGTTATGTGGTTAGGGAGACGGGTGAGTTATGTTTGTGTGTGTTAAGGGCGTGTATATTGACGAGGAGAGCGCTGGGAGAATTCTGTGCGCGCGGTGGCGTTGGGATAGAAGGGAGCAGATGGGGGAGAGAAGGGAGGAGAGGAGGGGGGTAGAGGGAAATGTGCTGCGCGCGTCACGACGGCAAACGCGGCAACCGCCGCAAGGAGGGCACACGCCACGCCACTGACAGTGCGCGGCGACAAGCTCCGCGGTTCACGCAGAAGGGGTGGGAGCGCGTGCTCGGCTGCTGCTTGCTCACACACACCGCCGCAGAAGAGAGCCAGCATACACCCCTCTCTCAGCGCACTACCCCAAACGTGCAGCACACAATACGTGATTTGACACACACACACACACACACACACACAGAGACACACGTACGCACACACAGCAACCGCGGTCGTCTTGCGTGGTAACCAGCCCGCGCACCCGACTCCGTTCGCACCAACGCAACGATGATCGCCGAGTCGAAAATTATGTCATGTTTTGCACTTCCTTTTGCGTGGATACCTTTATCCTTTGTCCTTTGTCCTTCGAAACGTCAGCGAAAAATTTGTCCTTTATCCTTTGAGGCGTTACAGAGACCTCTGTCCTTCGACCTGCTACGGAAGCATTTTACCTTTGAAGCATTAACGGGGTTTTTGTTTTCTTACTTTTTGGAGCCCACTACGACATCCGAGAGAGCCAGGCGCGTGCACAGGCAGCGACCGGCGAGCAGGTGTGTATGCAGCTCCATGCGCCGCTGCCGGTGCAGGTCCCGCGTCTTCTCAGTTTAGCACACAGAGATGGAGACGCGCCGCGGAGCCGGGCAACACAACGCGCAGTCCCGCGTAGTGACGCCTGGACAGTGCCGCAGTCGTGTAGCTCGGCGCCGCGGAGGTGCGGCCGGCCTCTCAATGTCGGTGGCAGTGGTGGTTAGAACTAAACATATATATATATATGGACGTTTCCTTTTCACTTTTTGAGGCGCTCGAGGAGCGCTTTGAGTTGCGGTCAAAGCATCGAGACGCGGAGAATCGTTACAGTTGAGAGAGAGAGAGAGATATTTTTTGTTTTTGAACACAGCGTGCTTTACCACGATCGCGGCACGCGCCTTAACCATGTCAGCTCTCAGTCAACAAAGCATGACGAAATAGAAAACAGAGAAGAGAAAATAGGAAGGAGGCGCGGGCCGCGAAGCCGAGGGGTGGCGGCGCCAAACAAGACTGGCGCAAGCCGCACGCCCGCAGCGGACGTGCACCTACGCGTCTGGCTCACGTGCATGGCGATGCAGCTCCAAGGGTCGGTGGCGTCGGCACCTCGCCCCCAAGCCGCCGCGCTCACGCACCGGCCGGTGCGCACTCCCACACCCCGACCACTGCCCGATCCTCCCTCCCTCCTAACAGTGCAGCAAGGACCCCGGTGCCTTCCGACGCGCACGCAACGCGACCGCTCGCTCACTCGCTGGCTAGCCGCGCACTTACATCTTCGCGCACGCGCGGTCCTTGGCGCCCATGTAGCGCACCAGGTCCACCACGCGGTGGGAGTAGCCCCACTCGTTGTCGTACCACGACACGATCTTGAAGAAGCGCTTCTCGCCGGGCAGGTTGTTCTGCAGCGTCGCCTTCGCGTCGTAGATCGAGCTGCGGGCGTCGTTGATGAAGTCGCTGCTCACCAGCTCCTCGTCCGTGTAGCCGAGGATGCCCTTCATGTACGTCTTGGACGCCTTCTTCAGGGCAGCGTCGATCTCCTGGATCGAGGCGTCGCGGTTGGCGCGGAAGGTCAGGTCCACCACCGACACATCCGGCGTCGGCACGCGGAAGGACATGCCGGTCAGCTTGCCCTTCGTCGACGGGATCACCATGCCCACGGCCTTCGCCGCACCGGTCGTGCTGGGGATGATGTTCATCGCAGCAGCGCGGCCGCCGCGCCAGTCCTTGATCGACACGCCGTCCACCGTCTTCTGCGTGGCGGTGTAGGAGTGGATGGTCGTCATCAGGCCCGTCTCGATGCCGAAGTTCTCCTTCGTCAGCACGTGCACGATCGGGGCGAGGCAGTTGGTCGTGCACGACGCGTTCGACACAACGTGGTGCTTGGCGGGGTCGTACTCGTGCTGGTTCACGCCCATCACGATCGTCTTCGCACCGCCGGACGCCGGAGCGCTGATCACGACCTTCTTCGCGCCGCCCTTCACGTGGCCCTCCGCCTTCGCCTTGTTCGTGAACAGGCCGGTCGACTCGATCACGTAGTCCACGCCCAGCTTGCCCCACGGCAGGTCCGCAGGGTTGCGCTGCGCCTTCACGCACAGGATGCGGTGGCCGTTCACCACAAGCACATCCGGCTTCTTCACCTCCGGCGCGCTCTTCGCAACCTCCACCGTGTACGTCGGGCGGCCGTGCACCGTGTCGTACTTCATCTGGTACGCGAAGTACTCGGCGTCCGTGCTCATGTCCACCACCGCCACCACGTCGATCTCGTTGCCGAGGACGTTGTCCTCGCACATCGACTGGAACACCATGCGGCCGATGCGGCCGAAGCCGTTGATGCCGACCTTGAGCGGAGCCATTGTTATGTGGTTAGGGAGACGGGTGAGTTATGTTTGTGTGTGTTAAGGGCGTGTATATTGACGAGGAGAGCGCTGGGAGAATTCTGTGCGCGCGGTGGCGTTGGGATAGAAGGGAGCAGATGGGGGAGAGAAGGGAGGAGAGGAGGGGGGTAGAGGGAAATGTGCTGCGCGCGTCACGACGGCAAACGCGGCAACCGCCGCAAGGAGGGCACACGCCACGCCACTGACAGTGCGCGGCGACAAGCTCCGCGGTTCACGCAGAAGGGGTGGGAGCGCGTGCTCGGCTGCTGCTTGCTCACACACACCGCCGCAGAAGAGAGCCAGCATACACCCCTCTCTCAGCGCACTACCCCAAACGTGCAGCACACAATACGTGATTTGACACACACACACACACACACACACACAGAGACACACGTACGCACACACAGCAACCGCGGTCGTCTTGCGTGGTAACCAGCCCGCGCACCCGACTCCGTTCGCACCAACGCAACGATGATCGCCGAGTCGAAAATTATGTCATGTTTTGCACTTCCTTTTGCGTGGATACCTTTATCCTTTGTCCTTTGTCCTTCGAAACGTCAGCGAAAAATTTGTCCTTTATCCTTTGAGGCGTTACAGAGACCTCTGTCCTTCGACCTGCTACGGAAGCATTTTACCTTTGAAGCATTAACGGGGTTTTTGTTTTCTTACTTTTTGGAGCCCACTACGACATCCGAGAGAGCCAGGCGCGTGCACAGGCAGCGACCGGCGAGCAGGTGTGTATGCAGCTCCATGCGCCGCTGCCGGTGCAGGTCCCGCGTCTTCTCAGTTTAGCACACAGAGATGGAGACGCGCCGCGGAGCCGGGCAACACAACGCGCAGTCCCGCGTAGTGACGCCTGGACAGTGCCGCAGTCGTGTAGCTCGGCGCCGCGGAGGTGCGGCCGGCCTCTCAATGTCGGTGGCAGTGGTGGTTAGAACTAAACATATATATATATATGGACGTTTCCTTTTCACTTTTTGAGGCGCTCGAGGAGCGCTTTGAGTTGCGGTCAAAGCATCGAGACGCGGAGAATCGTTACAGTTGAGAGAGAGAGAGAGATATTTTTTGTTTTTGAACACAGCGTGCTTTACCACGATCGCGGCACGCGCCTTAACCATGTCAGCTCTCAGTCAACAAAGCATGACGAAATAGAAAACAGAGAAGAGAAAATAGGAAGGAGGCGCGGGCCGCGAAGCCGAGGGGTGGCGGCGCCAAACAAGACTGGCGCAAGCCGCACGCCCGCAGCGGACGTGCACCTACGCGTCTGGCTCACGTGCATGGCGATGCAGCTCCAAGGGTCGGTGGCGTCGGCACCTCGCCCCCAAGCCGCCGCGCTCACGCACCGGCCGGTGCGCACTCCCACACCCCGACCACTGCCCGATCCTCCCTCCCTCCTAACAGTGCAGCAAGGACCCCGGTGCCTTCCGACGCGCACGCAACGCGACCGCTCGCTCACTCGCTGGCTAGCCGCGCACTTACATCTTCGCGCACGCGCGGTCCTTGGCGCCCATGTAGCGCACCAGGTCCACCACGCGGTGGGAGTAGCCCCACTCGTTGTCGTACCACGACACGATCTTGAAGAAGCGCTTCTCGCCGGGCAGGTTGTTCTGCAGCGTCGCCTTCGCGTCGTAGATCGAGCTGCGGGCGTCGTTGATGAAGTCGCTGCTCACCAGCTCCTCGTCCGTGTAGCCGAGGATGCCCTTCATGTACGTCTTGGACGCCTTCTTCAGGGCAGCGTCGATCTCCTGGATCGAGGCGTCGCGGTTGGCGCGGAAGGTCAGGTCCACCACCGACACATCCGGCGTCGGCACGCGGAAGGACATGCCGGTCAGCTTGCCCTTCGTCGACGGGATCACCATGCCCACGGCCTTCGCCGCACCGGTCGTGCTGGGGATGATGTTCATCGCAGCAGCGCGGCCGCCGCGCCAGTCCTTGATCGACACGCCGTCCACCGTCTTCTGCGTGGCGGTGTAGGAGTGGATGGTCGTCATCAGGCCCGTCTCGATGCCGAAGTTCTCCTTCGTCAGCACGTGCACGATCGGGGCGAGGCAGTTGGTCGTGCACGACGCGTTCGACACAACGTGGTGCTTGGCGGGGTCGTACTCGTGCTGGTTCACGCCCATCACGATCGTCTTCGCACCGCCGGACGCCGGAGCGCTGATCACGACCTTCTTCGCGCCGCCCTTCACGTGGCCCTCCGCCTTCGCCTTGTTCGTGAACAGGCCGGTCGACTCGATCACGTAGTCCACGCCCAGCTTGCCCCACGGCAGGTCCGCAGGGTTGCGCTGCGCCTTCACGCACAGGATGCGGTGGCCGTTCACCACAAGCACATCCGGCTTCTTCACCTCCGGCGCGCTCTTCGCAACCTCCACCGTGTACGTCGGGCGGCCGTGCACCGTGTCGTACTTCATCTGGTACGCGAAGTACTCGGCGTCCGTGCTCATGTCCACCACCGCCACCACGTCGATCTCGTTGCCGAGGACGTTGTCCTCGCACATCGACTGGAACACCATGCGGCCGATGCGGCCGAAGCCGTTGATGCCGACCTTGAGCGGAGCCATTGTTATGTGGTTAGGGAGACGGGTGAGTTATGTTTGTGTGTGTTAAGGGCGTGTATATTGACGAGGAGAGCGCTGGGAGAATTCTGTGCGCGCGGTGGCGTTGGGATAGAAGGGAGCAGATGGGGGAGAGAAGGGAGGAGAGGAGGGGGGTAGAGGGAAATGTGCTGCGCGCGTCACGACGGCAAACGCGGCAACCGCCGCAAGGAGGGCACACGCCACGCCACTGACAGTGCGCGGCGACAAGCTCCGCGGTTCACGCAGAAGGGGTGGGAGCGCGTGCTCGGCTGCTGCTTGCTCACACACACCGCCGCAGAAGAGAGCCAGCATACACCCCTCTCTCAGCGCACTACCCCAAACGTGCAGCACACAATACGTGATTTGACACACACACACACACACACACACACAGAGACACACGTACGCACACACAGCAACCGCGGTCGTCTTGCGTGGTAACCAGCCCGCGCACCCGACTCCGTTCGCACCAACGCAACGATGATCGCCGAGTCGAAAATTATGTCATGTTTTGCACTTCCTTTTGCGTGGATACCTTTATCCTTTGTCCTTTGTCCTTCGAAACGTCAGCGAAAAATTTGTCCTTTATCCTTTGAGGCGTTACAGAGACCTCTGTCCTTCGACCTGCTACGGAAGCATTTTACCTTTGAAGCATTAACGGGGTTTTTGTTTTCTTACTTTTTGGAGCCCACTACGACATCCGAGAGAGCCAGGCGCGTGCACAGGCAGCGACCGGCGAGCAGGTGTGTATGCAGCTCCATGCGCCGCTGCCGGTGCAGGTCCCGCGTCTTCTCAGTTTAGCACACAGAGATGGAGACGCGCCGCGGAGCCGGGCAACACAACGCGCAGTCCCGCGTAGTGACGCCTGGACAGTGCCGCAGTCGTGTAGCTCGGCGCCGCGGAGGTGCGGCCGGCCTCTCAATGTCGGTGGCAGTGGTGGTTAGAACTAAACATATATATATATATGGACGTTTCCTTTTCACTTTTTGAGGCGCTCGAGGAGCGCTTTGAGTTGCGGTCAAAGCATCGAGACGCGGAGAATCGTTACAGTTGAGAGAGAGAGAGAGATATTTTTTGTTTTTGAACACAGCGTGCTTTACCACGATCGCGGCACGCGCCTTAACCATGTCAGCTCTCAGTCAACAAAGCATGACGAAATAGAAAACAGAGAAGAGAAAATAGGAAGGAGGCGCGGGCCGCGAAGCCGAGGGGTGGCGGCGCCAAACAAGACTGGCGCAAGCCGCACGCCCGCAGCGGACGTGCACCTACGCGTCTGGCTCACGTGCATGGCGATGCAGCTCCAAGGGTCGGTGGCGTCGGCACCTCGCCCCCAAGCCGCCGCGCTCACGCACCGGCCGGTGCGCACTCCCACACCCCGACCACTGCCCGATCCTCCCTCCCTCCTAACAGTGCAGCAAGGACCCCGGTGCCTTCCGACGCGCACGCAACGCGACCGCTCGCTCACTCGCTGGCTAGCCGCGCACTTACATCTTCGCGCACGCGCGGTCCTTGGCGCCCATGTAGCGCACCAGGTCCACCACGCGGTGGGAGTAGCCCCACTCGTTGTCGTACCACGACACGATCTTGAAGAAGCGCTTCTCGCCGGGCAGGTTGTTCTGCAGCGTCGCCTTCGCGTCGTAGATCGAGCTGCGGGCGTCGTTGATGAAGTCGCTGCTCACCAGCTCCTCGTCCGTGTAGCCGAGGATGCCCTTCATGTACGTCTTGGACGCCTTCTTCAGGGCAGCGTCGATCTCCTGGATCGAGGCGTCGCGGTTGGCGCGGAAGGTCAGGTCCACCACCGACACATCCGGCGTCGGCACGCGGAAGGACATGCCGGTCAGCTTGCCCTTCGTCGACGGGATCACCATGCCCACGGCCTTCGCCGCACCGGTCGTGCTGGGGATGATGTTCATCGCAGCAGCGCGGCCGCCGCGCCAGTCCTTGATCGACACGCCGTCCACCGTCTTCTGCGTGGCGGTGTAGGAGTGGATGGTCGTCATCAGGCCCGTCTCGATGCCGAAGTTCTCCTTCGTCAGCACGTGCACGATCGGGGCGAGGCAGTTGGTCGTGCACGACGCGTTCGACACAACGTGGTGCTTGGCGGGGTCGTACTCGTGCTGGTTCACGCCCATCACGATCGTCTTCGCACCGCCGGACGCCGGAGCGCTGATCACGACCTTCTTCGCGCCGCCCTTCACGTGGCCCTCCGCCTTCGCCTTGTTCGTGAACAGGCCGGTCGACTCGATCACGTAGTCCACGCCCAGCTTGCCCCACGGCAGGTCCGCAGGGTTGCGCTGCGCCTTCACGCACAGGATGCGGTGGCCGTTCACCACAAGCACATCCGGCTTCTTCACCTCCGGCGCGCTCTTCGCAACCTCCACCGTGTACGTCGGGCGGCCGTGCACCGTGTCGTACTTCATCTGGTACGCGAAGTACTCGGCGTCCGTGCTCATGTCCACCACCGCCACCACGTCGATCTCGTTGCCGAGGACGTTGTCCTCGCACATCGACTGGAACACCATGCGGCCGATGCGGCCGAAGCCGTTGATGCCGACCTTGAGCGGAGCCATTGTTATGTGGTTAGGGAGACGGGTGAGTTATGTTTGTGTGTGTTAAGGGCGTGTATATTGACGAGGAGAGCGCTGGGAGAATTCTGTGCGCGCGGTGGCGTTGGGATAGAAGGGAGCGCGTTTTGTTGTTGTTGTTGTTTCAAGTCAGAGGGCAACAAGGAAGGTGTTAAGTTTCCAGGGTGTTATGCCTCGCAGAAGTTGGGGGTTGATATAACGCTGTTGTCCTCTACACAGCGGTGTATCCTGCAGTGGAGTGTATTCACTGGCTCGAGTTGTGCTCTACTGTAACACGGGCTCTTAGCCGGGTTTTTGCCGGCGCTTCTGGTAGCGACGCTCGAGGTGATATGGAGTCGATGAGTAGCACTGATACTGGACAGGGAGCATCAACAGAGGCGCCTGGTGTGCCAATGACTGTACGACTGTTTTTGCCCGGGCAACGAGTTCTTTTCTTTCCCAACACAAAAGTTGTCGGCTGCAGCCACTTATGTTGGTTTGCGCGTACACCTCCGCACACCACTTCGCAGTCATGAACACGCCAGAGGGCAGTCAAAGATCGAAGAAAAATCGAGGTGCCGCTTCGCGAGGAGACCGGCTTCTGCGATACATACACATGTTGGGGTGGAACCTTCATCGCCTGAGAGAAAAAACACAGAAGAATGAAACGCGAAACGCAAACGCTGAAGGGATACAGAGAAAGGTAGAAACTACCACACCTACCAGAAATCAGAAGAGCGACACACCATTAGCAACAGATGTACTGGCAGGCAAGCACAGCAACGACTGCCATCGCATCTCTCGTGGAGGCCGTCAGCTCCGGCTTCACCGCGCGTTGCATGCGACCTTCAACCCCAAAGAGCAAAGCAGTTCTCATCGTGGCTCTACGCTCAGCGTAGGTATTGCACCCCATTTATGCTCCCGTTCTTCCTCATCCGTTCGGCCCAACAGCGGTGGAGAGATGTTGAAAAGCGTGCCAGAAAGCGGCGCACCCCCGCCTCAGTGTAGACTGCTTGTATTTGATCTCCTGCGGGTAGAAAGCGTCCCGCATCCATGTCTGCATGGCGACGTGCACGTAGCTGCCGCGGCACAGGCGGTAGGCCGCATTTTCAAGCACCGTCGCGCGTGCTACAAAGAAGGAGTTCACGGTACCGAACTCCTCGGTGACCACCAGGGCGTCTTCGCCGAGCACGTCAACCGGGCGGATAATCCCTGCAGCGAGGTCGTAGCCGCTGCTGGGCCCCCGCGAGGCCGTCTTGTCGTTCTGCACCCGCGCCTCGGTAAAGACTCGCTTTGCCTTCTCCTCTGCGTGTGCGTCGCTCACCATGAAGGTGTCCACCCCTGTCGGGCCGAGGCCGGTGTGCACGTCGATAAAAATGGTCTCTGTCGCCTTGGCGGCCTCTGCGTACGTCTTCAAGATCGAGCGCAGCACCGCCACGCTTTTCTGCTCCCTGTCCCCGCCGTAGTAAATGCCCTGAGGGTCGTGGTACTGACCCGTGACAAAGGCACGCTTCAGCTTCGCAAAGCCGTGGCGCGCGAGCGCCTTGGCGGCGGTGAAGAAGAAAACGTACCTGTCGATAAAGCGAGGAGATGCATCGGGCACGAGTAAGGCGCGGAGGTCCTCGTACCCGGCGATGTTCGGGTCGCGCGCCTGCATCAGCTTCCACTCCTCCTCTGTCAGGTAGTTGCGATTCAGGTCGACGTTCTCTTCGTTGAAGCGACGGAAGTGCGCCATGCCGAAAGGGTTGACGGCGTGGACGAAAAGTATGGAGGGCCCCGACAGCGCCGTCTCGTTCCACTCCTGCAGCAGCTTCACTTGAATCGCGCTCCCCGTGTAGCCCTCCACTCCGTGGGTACCGCTGCAGTGCACGAGAAGCTTGCCAGGTTGCTTACCTGCGAAGAAGACGGTGTCCATGTAGTACTCCGTGCTGCTCTCCCTGGCAATGAGATGATGCTCAATGGCCCCGTGTGCGGCTTCAGCGGCAGCGAGAAATCGATCACGCGCCTGTTGATACGTGGAGGAGAAGAACACCTCCGGGCACTCCGTGGAGTTGGTGTAGTTTCCAGGACAGCGCATCGTCTCTTGCAGGGGCACAAGGTCGATGAACAGCAATCCCGCCACAATGACAATGATTGCGGAGAACACCGCTTCGCACGAGACACTCATCTTCTTTCGCACTGAGAGTTCAACGATGACAATGACAAGAGCAATACGAAAACGTTGGTCAACGTAAAGGGTAACGGTGCACGCCCTTGCTTGATGAATGAAAAATAATTTTGCAAGGTGAAATCGTTCACAAGTAATTGTGTGCGGTTTGTGAAGCGCCTCCCGTTTATGCGGGTGTATCTCGGTGTGCGTAAAACACGGAGGAAAAACAAGACTGAATGCACTGGAAGTCAAAAGTGAGGAGGGAGAGAAAGCCAATTCAGCAGGAGAGGGTAACGTTTGTCTTAATATCTACTGAGAAGCATTCGGCCGTCAGCGCGGGCGGCGCCCGTCGTTACCGCAATGCAGTATTATCAGAGAGGGTTTTTTCGTCATCGCACCTTCTCGGCGGCAAAAACAGTGACAATAGGCCAACAGAAGGGAGTGTGACTGCATCTTTCTGAGGAAGAGGTAACTCTGTCGCTAAACGTTTCCCATCTTTTTTGATTTCTTGTTCTTTGAGAGCGGACGAGTAAGTCTTCTTTTCTTCACGCTTACCGTGGAAAAAAGTTTGTTCTGTACTTCAACATAGTAACCAAGACGATCGTGAACACACACACACACACACACAAAGGCAAGCACAACGCTTTATTTCTCCTTTTTCGGAGGTCTATCTATGACTTATAGGTAGGGAATGCTGTGGTGAAATCGTAGGGTCAACACACCGGCACGCACGCTGAGTAGCTTGGTCGCACGCAGCAGCTCCACTTGAGTGGCCTCCACCACGTGCAGTAGCTGCACCTCCAACGCGTGACACCGTTTTTGGTCCAACGCATCTTCGGCCGTGCTGGCGAGGGAGTCTCTCAACACGGAAGCGACGGCGACAAAAAGCGGGTCTGGCAGGACCTCAGCTAACGCGGTAAGGTGCCTCTCGAGGATGGAGACAAAGGTGCGACGGGCGTGTGTCGGACACTCTTGCAAGTCGCGCAGCGCGCACCGCAAACAGTGCAGATGCAGGAGCACGAGGACTTCCGGGTAACGGCCCGCCAAGCTGTCGCCTTCTGTGTTTGTGGTGTTGAGTGATGTGAGTGGGTTGGCTTGCTGAACTGGCGCCGGTGAGCTGCCTTTCAAAGGGGTCAGGACGGCATCGAGCACGACCTCCGCGGAGCGGGCGGTGGCGCTCTGTGCCGCGCTTAACGCGATGAAGGAGAGCAGTGGACGGTCCTCCTCACAAAAGTCGTCTACGGAGGCTGGAGGAGCCCGTGACAAGGAGAGAGCCGCTGCAGGAGGGACAATCCGAACTGCGCGCACACCAGCACCCTCCGCTGGCACTTTTTGCTTCGGTCGCGGCCCGCTCATCGCAGCAGTCTATTTATTTTCTATACAATCTGCTGTGTTTTGTTCAAGACCAGAGAGCGAAATTGGAGAATAAAATGAGTGGTGACAAGGCCAAAACTTCAAGTTGCTTTCGATCTACAAGGGCGTTTGCGCGTCTCGGCCATTATTTCTTTCCATGCGTCGATGAAGTCTATTAAAGTGGGAAACTCATCCGTAAACGCTGCATTTGTCGCGCAATGCAAACGTTTTGAGGAGCTGCCGTGCGTGAAAACTCAATCGCCGTTGCGCAGCCTGAGTCACAGCACTGGACAAAGAGTGCAAACGCATGCATAGTATATGTTTGGTGTATGTGTGTCTTCAGCGCGCATCAACGTGAACGCTGTGAAGCTTCTTTTTCTATTGAAATGATCAGGCTACGCCTAAATTCTGCAGAAGGTGGCCTGCGGGGTGGTCTGCCTGGAACACTTTCAACTCACGCCCACGCAGCCCACTGGCGATGGAATCCAGCTTCAGCGCCTTTTTGAGATCAGCCCGTGCCTGCGGCACCTGGTTCAGCTGCAGTCGGGACGTGCCGCGGCTGTAGTACGCGTTTGCTGACGCCGTGGACTCTGGGGCTAGCTGAATCACGCGTGTCAAGTCGTCGACAGCGGCGTTGTACTTGGCACACTTTTCGTAGCTGATCCCGCGGTTGTACAGGGCGTGTGCGTTGACTGCGTCCGTCGCCAGCACCTCGGTGTAGTCGCGTATGGCGTCGTCGAAGAGGTCCAGCCGCGCGAAGCAGTAGGCGCGATTGTTCAGCGCTTTTACGGTGGCCGTTGGCTCTTCCCGCAGCACCACGGTGTAGTCCTCGATCGCCTCCTCGTAGCACCCCAACCTGCGATAGGCAAAGGCGCGATTGTTGTAGGCGGTGTAGCTGTGCGGGGCCAGCTTTATCGCTGCCGTGTAGTCCGCAATCGCCAGCTTCAGCTGACCCATATTCCGGTAGGTGTAGCCGCGGTTGTGCAGCCAGGCTGGGTTGCGCTTGTCCAACTCAATCGCCCTCGTGAAATCTGTTAGCGCTTTGTCGTACTGTTGCAGCTGATCGTACACGAGACCCCGCGCGTTCAGCGAGAACGTCAGCACGGGGTCTCGCTCCAGCGCTCGTGTGAAGTCCTCCAGTGCCTCCTGCAGCTTGCCCAGTTTCTCCAGCGCGACACCGCGGTTGTGGTACGCGTTGGCGTTCCTGCTGTCGATGCGGAGGGCCGCCGAGTAGTCCGCCGCCGCCTCGGCGTACCGGCTCAGTTTGCTGTAGCAGTATGCCCGGTTATAGTGCGACTTGAAGTGATTGGAGTCCAACGTGATGGCGGCGGTGTAGTCGTCGATAGCCGCCTCGAACCTCAGCTGCTTCCGCTTGCTGAAGCCACGGTTGTGGTAAAAGTCTGGCCGCGTGTTGTCCAGCTCGATGGCGCGCGTGAAGGCCTTCACGGCGCGGGAGTGGCTGCCTTTGTGGTCGTAGCTGATGCCAAGGTTGTACCACGTAAAGGCGTTCGTGGGATCCAGTTTCACGGCGTTGCGGTAGTCTGCAATGGCGTGGTCGTAGTCTTTCAGCTTGTCGTAGCAGAAGGCCCGGTTGAAGAGGGACTTGAAGTGCGTCGGGCTCAGCTCCAGCGCCTTGGTGTACACCTCAATGGCGACCTCCAGCTCCCCACGGCGCCGGTGCTGCAGCCCACGTTGGTAGTAATACGCAGCCGTGAGGAGCGGTGGTGGGTACGCCATGCTGCCGGGCCTCGCATTGGCACCGGCTGAAGCGCCCGTTCCCATTTGCGCTTCCTCCGCCCTTTCCGCCTCTGTGAAGTTGTCGTCATCTGTGTCCGAACAGGAGGACAACACGCAGGTGGGGTCCATCGCGGAGGCAGCATCCATGTCACTGTCCGGGTCCGCCCGTCGCGGAAGCGCGCCGCCTCCCTCTCTAATGCCGTCGTTCGTCTCGACCGAGCTGCGCCGCGGCGACGACTCCGTGCTGGACGACACGCCCGTCAAGTCGTCCGCGTACGGCGCGTTCGGCTCATCGACGGATGTGTGTCGACTCGCAAGGCCGGCTGTCAACAACAACGGCGGCGGTAATCCCAGCACAGTCTGCGTGGGCAGATGCTCTGCCGCTGGCGTGGTGAACTCGGAGAGCGTGACGACTCCGGCGCCGCTGTCGGAGGCGGCTTCGACAGAGGACCGGCGGCCGCTGCTGGCGTTGCCGGCTCCACGCGCCGACATGGGCGACCACCGACTCACCTCTTCCGCCGCCGTGGTGGCAGCAGAAACAGCGAGGTCGCCCGCTACAAATGTCGGGGTTAGCGGAGGGACTGGTGCTTTGTCCACGAAGATGGTGGGCAGCGGCGTGGACGTCTCACTCGCCGCCACGACGCGTGCGCTCGCTTCTCTTTGCCGTCGCAGCTGCCACTCTTGGTGCCGCCGCCGCTGCCGCTGAACTTGGTGCTGCTGGCGCTCCAGTCGCTGGCGGTGGCGCAGAAGCTGTTCCTTTTCCTTGCCGACTTTATCCAGCTGCAGCGCAGCCTCGTAGTGCGCCACGGCGTTGCCAAAGTCGCCAAGACGGGCCTCGCACGCCGCCTGCTCGTACATCGCCCGTGACCGGGTTGGCTCGCAGTGCAGCACCTCTCGAAAGTCCTCCAGCGCCGCCGCCACCTGCGACACACGCGCCAGGCAGACGCCACGGTAGAAGAGGGCATCCGTCATGGCACCCGCCGCCTCTCTGTTCAGACTACTCCCCTTGGTGCTCTGCGTGTTTTGTTGAATCCATTCATCGAGGTCCGTGCAGGCGGAGGCGTAGTCGCCCAGCCGAACATAGGCCTTGGCACGCTGCAGCCGGGTCAGACACGTTCCAGCATTTACCTTGAGCAAGGACGAGTAGCGGGCGACGGCATCCTCGGGCGGGACACACGGATTGTAATGCGCCGTGCGGTGCGACCTCGCAGCAGCGGCGGACAACATCGCCATGCAGGCTGCGGTACACGGAAACGCAGAAGAGAAAAACCAAAAAGCAGTGGCAAGTGACTCCGAGAGGAAAACCGGAAAAGCAACAAAAACAGAAAGGATTGGAAAGGGGCAAGAATGAAAGACCGCCCGCAACGGAGCGTCCACGAAGTTGTCTCCTGCGATGCTCAACAAAAAAATAGTAGCAGATAGTTGTTGGAGAGCCGTGGGAGATGGCGCACACATAAGGGACCGCTCAGGCGGACCTCCAAATAGCAATACAAATATACAGTGTATATTCGCTGATGTTGCAAATGCTATAGAAAACCGAAAGGCTGTAAAGGAACTACTACTTTGACCGATTCCGTACGCAGCTGCAGTGCCCCCACTGGATGTGAGTGTGGGCGTGTGTGCGTGTGTGTGTATGGGAGTGAAGGGTGACGTATGCGTCGATACTGCGACGCTCTTCGTTCTTACCCTTGGTGTCGCTATTTCGCTTCCTGAAAAGGGTGCTCGCACTCACTTGCCAGGTAAACTACACTGGAGATAGAGGTGATGAGACCAAAAGAACACGGTAGAGCATTGTTGCCAAAGAAGAAAGAAATTGCATCCTATTTGAGGACAGAAGGATTCAAGGTGCTTTCGTGCCTTTTGCGAGAACGGTGAACTGCGCTGCCGCCATCGGCAGGTCAAATCTGCATTATCCGCTAATCACATAACCCTCACCACGATGCTCATCGGTGACAGCGGCGCCATCATTGCTTTGCGCTCCCTGACTAGTAGAGCAGGCTCGCCAAGCAGAACCTAAATCAAAGGGTCATTAACCGTTTCTTTTTGGGTTTGGCGTTATTTATTCCACTCACAAATAGGTTCGTCATCACAATAATACGTCTCTGACTGAAGGATGATTAGGGAGGTAGCCTTCTTCCTCTTTCACTGGCCTTGCGGTACCCTCAATTTCACGCCGATACGGTCCGTAACGCCACGACAGGCATGTAATGCGATTCCTTCATCGGTTTGCGTGGTGGTGTTTCCCCTCTCACATGTGATTGCGTGTCCGCGTCGACGGCGCCGCGTTGGCCATCTGGACCATGCGCGAGCTGTTCGCCTCGCGGCCGCCAATGTGATCCACTACAGACTTGTCCGTTGTTATGCCGCTGTTGTAGCCGATGGAGACGACGCTGCCGCCGCGCACAAACAACACAGCTGCGTAACACTCTCGTGCCGTTTCGTGGACGCCGTCGCGGCTGCGGCGACGCTTGAGCATCCGCTGCCGCTCCACGTCCGTAAGAACTAAGTTTCCGCTCGCGCTCAGCGAAACAAGTCGTCCAGTGAGAATGCTGTCGTCGTCGAGGGTGACATTGACGCGGTTGCCGATATGGGTAACTAGGTTTCTCCGCTCCACCACAGCGGCACTCGGCGATGCGGCGGCAGGAGCAGCCATTTAACAGGCGGCTTCACGGGATGCTTTACTTGTTTTCTACTGCAGTTTCAACGCGGGTCTCTCCCTGTGTGTGTTTGTGGAACAGTGCTCCGACCTTTTTTGGTGTTCTTGAACCTGCCGACGACAGTTTTTGACCTCTGCAAGCGAATGAGAAATGCCAAGCCGCTATGAAAACACAGTAATGATGTACAACGAAGGAGAGAGCGACCTTTCAACGTCTCCTTGAGATATCAAAAACAGAAAGAAGGCAGTAACAACAAGAGCAAAAAAACCTTCGCAGATGTGAACTATATCAAGAATGAAACGATGCAGCGTTTGTTAGAGCACCTCGAGGAGAAAGAGAAGGAAAAAGAAATCAGTCAAAAAAATGGTTCGAGAATTCAAGGTAAAAGAGGAGGGAAAAAAAAGAGTTTATGTCGAAACAGAAAAGGGAAAAGGAATCGGCGTAAAGATTGGACGCAGATGTGCAACCACGATGCCTCATTGCAGCTGCTGGAAAGCCAAAGCGTCAACGACATTGATTCCTTCTCTGTATCTCTCGTAGCGCAGAGGGGGAGGGGGGAGAAGGAAGGCATCGAGTGAGCGTCAAGGCCAACGATGAGAAGGTGAGACCGATGGTGCTCTTATTCCCTCCTTTTCCGCTTCCTTTGTGTGTGTGTGTGGGGGGGGGGGGGCGATCTCCCTTTGCTGCATTGGCCCCCTTGTACTAGTGTCTGTCTGGTCTTGGTTTTGCTCCACTGAAGCACCGCACAACTCGCCGCAGAGACAGCAGGGTACTCGCTTCCGCGTTTCTTACACTTCCTTCAAGCATCGGCTCTGCAATTCGACAAGCCAAAAAGCACCACCGAGAAATGCGCGCAGTGGCAGCGCAGACGGCGAGAAGAGAAAAGAGAAGGTTATTGGGAAGCAGGAGTGCAACCGCACCCAGAACCGCAGCGCCACGCGGATAAGCCGACAAAAAAAAAGGGAGGGGAAAATGTATCCGTGTCCCTCGACGGCGAAGAACGGACGAGGGTAGAAAAAAGAAAACGATGAAAACACCTTCAGCGAAGTTGGCATCGACCAAAGGAAATACGTGAGTGGGTTGAGATCCCACGTCGCACACGCGCACACACGCACGATCACTGCGCTGGTGTTAGATAAACCCATCTATCAGATCCTTTTGTGCCTTTCGCATGCGCGCGGCAAAGCGGTTCGGCTCCGCCGGCGGCTCCGTCGCAAACACCTGCTGGCACACGCTCGACTTGATGTCCCGCCACTCGTTGCGATGCAGCCGCTCCCCCTTGGCGAAGCCTTGACCGGGGAAGCGGGCAATCTGCACAAAGTTCGCTGGGACGGGTCGGCGCAGCGGCATCGAGGGCGGGCGTTGCGTCATCGCATGCGGCTCCGCCGGCACCGGCGCACCGTCGTAGATCCAGGCCGGGATGTCCAGGTTGCGGAGCCGCCTCCACCACAGCGCGCCGATGTCGCCGAACTGGCGGTCGATCGGCTTTCTCGCGGTGAGGCCGATCTCAAGGGCCGGCGTTCGCCCCGCCTCGATATCCGCCATCGTTCGCTGCGCCCAGTGGGCGATGGTGTCAAACACCGGCACGGTGATGCCCAGCTCTGGGCGGAAGATCGGGAAGCCGACCTTGACAGACTCCGAGAAGGACAGGCACTCCTCTACCGCACTCAGCGGCACCGTGACGACGGCGTCCGTCCCCGCCGTCGGTTCGTTCTCCGCAACTCGTAGGCCCGGCTCACGGGGCTGCGGCAGCGACAGCCCGCTTGCGCAGGCTCCGCTCGACGGTGACGGCGACGGCACCACACCGGGGGTTGCCTCCATCTCCTTGGCCTCGTCGACCTCGCGTGCGACCGCGGCTGCCGCTGCCGCCTCCACCGCCGCCGTAGATCGTACAAAGCTGCGGTTCGGGCGCAAGAAGACGTCGTCGTCCAGCTCGTCCACGTCGGTGTTGCGGTCCTGCATGGCGAGTCGCGGCACGATCTTAAAGACGCGGCGCACGTAGCAGTGCTGCTTCGCGTCGTTCACATCGTCCTCGCAGACATCTGGGAAGTAGCGGCGGATGCGGTTGAAGCAGACCCAGCTAAGGGGATCCATGTTCTGCACGTGGGTGCGGATGCCACGCTTCGCCAGGATGTGGGCCGTATCCTGGATCGCCTCTGCAGCGGAGAAGTCCAGCACAGGCATCAGGCCGTGCTGGAAGTCGAGGATGAAGTCGGTGACCTTGAGGAAGATCTCGCTGTGGTGGTCGTGCAGCATCCTCACCATTCCGTCGACAAACTCCATGCAGGAACCAAAGAAGAGGACGCCGTGCAGGTTGATGCGCAGGACCCGAATTTCAGGGAAGCTCGCGTCGTGCAAGATGTCCAGAAAGTTCACGCGAAGTTCGTAGGGGCTGCCGATGAGGGAGCGATTCAGCACCGGCGTCGGCGCTTCATTCGGCACGACGACGGTGGTGGACACCTCCAGCGTTGGCGGCGAACGGGTGTGCTCGTGCATGGTCTCCGCCTCCGCCGTTGCTGCCGCAGCGCCACTGAAGCACTGATCGGCTGCGGCATCTGCATGCAAGCCGGCTGCGGCGGTCGCCGTCGGTGTCGCGTCTTCACGCTCGGCCCTGGCGGCGGCTAGGGAAGCGGCATCGGTGGTGCTGCCCGTTGTCGTGGCCGTCTTCGGCACAGCAATGGACAAATGCGGCAAAGCTGCAGCGGCGCCATCAGCGGCCGTGGTCGGTGCGTTCGCCACGGACGGGTGCGCGGGTTCTCGGTGCTCCATCGGCATGAGCCGCACGCGTCCACGCGCCATGTTCCACATAAAGAACACCATCGCCGCCGCCAGTCCCGAAGCGGCCCCGATAGCCAGATCTGACACTACGGTGACCACCGTGACGACGATGGCCACCACCGACTCCTGAAAGGAAATGCGCTGAAGAAAGATCATCGCCAGCATGCGCCAGTCCGCCGTCTTCGAGGAGACGCCGAAGAGGACAGCCGACAGCGCACCCATTGGCACGACGCTGATGACTCGGTAGAGCGCGAGGGGGATGACGACCATGAGCACCGCGCAGATGAAGCTGCTGAGTCGCCGTGTTCCCGCCCCACATTCAATGTTCAGAATGCAGGGGCCAAAGACGACGCAGCCGGACATGCCCTGAAAGAAGCCGTTCACGATGTGCGCCGCGCCCAGTGCGAGCGACTCCCGCTCAAAGTTGGTCGGCGTCTCCGTGAGCTGCTGGATCTTGTAGCCGCTCATGAAGGACTCCACGGACGAGACGATCGCCGTCAAGATAGCGGCCACGAACACGTCCTTCAGGACGCCACCGTCAGCCCACGCGATGTCCGGCACCATCGGCTTCGGAAAGTTGCCGTGCAGCTCGTAGAGGTCGCCGATGGTGACGGTGCCCATCTGGAAAATGTACTCGATCGCCGTGCCAACGACGATGGCCACGAAGGCGGAGGGAACGATGGCCGTGAAGTACGGCATGACCATCATGACGGCGTAGGTGACGACGCAGATGATGGCGGTGCAGAGGGCCTGCGTACCCGTCACGTAGTTGCCATCCGGTCGCTTGAACTGCGGGATTTGATTCACCACCATGCTCAGCCCGAGACCGTTACAGAAACCGAGCATGAGAGAGGAGGGCAGAAGCCGGACAAGGCGGGCGAAGCGAAATATCCCGGGCAGCAGCAGGAAGCACCCCGCAATCACCGACACCGCACACGCGGCACCGTAGCCGTGTTTGTCCACCAGATCTGGATAGAGGACCACGACGGCACCGGCAATCGCAGTGATCTGCCCAGGACGACCCCCGAAGATGCAGCAGATAATCCCGAGGAAGAACGACGAGTAGAGGCCGACGAGGGGCTCGCCGTGGCCCATGAGGGCAAAGGCGACGGACGGCGCGACCTGCGCCACCGCCAGCGTAACACCTGCAAAGACGTCCGTCTTCACAGCGATAAGCGACCCGTCTGACCAGCGTTCCACCAAGAGGAAGCGCATCAGCCATCCCGGTCTTTTCGCTAAGACTTTTTGCTGCGCAGCGGAGGCGTTCTCGCCATTCACGGCACCTTGTGGCATCGAATTAGTATTGTTGTTGCTGCCATTGCCGCTGCCGCCGCCGCCGCCGGTCCCTTCGAGGGGCTCTGGACAGAGGCACGACACGTACCAAATGATAAACTTCTTGATCTTTGATCCTCTGTAGCGCTGCTGGGGAGCCACGGCAGTTGCGCAGACCGGCGTCGTCCTTGACGGAAACATCCGAGGCAGCTCCTCCGTCGCGTCCAGATCATCCGCGCCGTGCTGCACCATGTTATTCCTTTTGAGATGTCGAGTTGTCTCTTCTATTGGCGGTGGTTGTGCCGCGTAGGATTATTTATTTAGCTAGATTGTCCTCTTTACGTCAAGTAAGGGAAAGGGAAAAGCTATAGTAGTTACACACGCTATCCGCCTGAGGTGAAACTTAAGAAAAAGAAAAAACTTCGTCCCCTCCAAAAAATATATAAGTAGTTGTGCAGCGACGAAGGCGACAAATCGGCGGAAAGCGGGATACTTGAGAGGGAGTTGTACTTTCAGCTGCGGGCAACTCTGACGGGGGAAGGGGAGAAGCGGAAAATAGAGGAAGCCTTAAGGAGTGTGGATCTACGCGGAGGAAAATTAGAGAAGAGCTGGCGGTGCTTATCAATCGCGAATACGCCACGTCATCAAAACGGCACAAACACGAAAAAGCCGAAGAAGAAAAAAAAATGAGTCCGTAGCAATTAAAGCAGTAAAACAGAATAAAAGAAAGAATAAAAGAAACAGTCACCGATAGTCTTGGACGTCTCAGGACAGTTAAATAGCAAATAGCAAAGCAAATAAATACAAGTGGGAAAATAAAAAAGAGCTCTTGAATACAGACAACGTCACTTGAGAGAGAGAGAGGGAGCTGATCACCTGACGTTGCGCAATGCGTTTGAACGCGTGTATGTGCGTGTAGGTGTATTATCGCCCTTTTAACGAATTTTAAAAGCAGCACGTACACGAAGTTAAAAAGACCGCTGTGGTAGAGAAAAACAAAAGTAACTATGTGTATATATATATATCGGAACAACGGCACGAAGTTCTCCGACTGTAGCTCCGAGTGGCCACCGCAATGACACCAGAAAACAAAACACGAGAGATGCAATCACCAAACCGTTGGGAGAAGGATGAAGAGGTCGCGGAACGAGACGGGGAGGAGAAGCAAAGCAGAGAAGTTAATGAGGGTGCGGAGAGACGGAGCGGTGTACGGAAACACACGATATGAGAATAGAGAACAAACCTACGTTCCCGAGTTGGAGTGCGATTCCTCAGTTCAAAAAATAATAATAATAGACAGTCATAGTCAAGCAACGGCGAGAATCACAGCACAATTGATCCTTCTTGTCGCGCTTGCTGAACCCACAACCGCATCAAGGCGAACTAGCCGGTTCTTTTGATCCTTCACAGTGTGTTGCTGAAGTTATTGTCTTAGACCATTATACGAATAGTGATAGTAAAAACACAGAAGGGAAACTTACGTTTCTTTAGGACGAAATAAAAAAAAAACGACTGTACTTACACGAAACCACTCTGTTCAGAGTTAACAGCAAAACCCCCGACTTCGTCAACGCAGCATCCTATTTCTTTCCGACTTGCAGTTTTCTCCCGCAATACGAAGGAGGGGAGAGGAGCAACGCACCGTTGCGAAAGGGGAAAATCCCGTCGGTTCGCTTGCAACCAGGCAACAGCCACAGAACTAAGAAGAGACAAAACACACCAAAAACAAACACAAGCAGATTCTTCGCTGGAAGAGAAAAACGCACCTAGAAAAGAGCACGTGTGCCGTGTCCTTCTCTACTGCTTCTTGGCCTTCTTGGCCGCTAGTTTGTCGCCCTTGTGTCCCGCGACACTACTGTCCGCCGATTCCTGGGCTGCGACCTGAGTGCCCTGCAGCTCGAACTCGTCCTTCTGGCGGCGTTTGCGTGGTGCCAGGAAGGCCTCACCGCTCTCCATCGCGATATCCTCCAACCGCTTCGGCGGGGCAGGGGGGAAGATGGACTTCTCCTTTCCGGCCTGCTTCAGCTTGGCGGCCTGCATCCGCTCCTTCTTGATCTTCCGCACCGCCTTCTGCTTCTCCTTGTTCGGCTGTGTCTTCTTGTACACGGGAATGAAGCGAGACCAGTCCTCGTGCTTCATGTCCTCCCGTTTCATCAGCTCTCGCTTGATGAGGAGTTGCTTCAGGCCGTAGATGGGGTGGATGTTGTTCATGCAGTCCTCGACGATGCTGCGCACCATCTGCGTGCCCTTCACCGGACCCATCACCGCCACAGTCTTGCCCTGCACCAGCACGTAGCACCCAGTCAGAATCTCCAGCGCCTTGAGCGTTTGGCCCTTGGGGCCAATGAGGCGGTCCCGTCGCTTCACAAATCGGCGCACGCTGCCGCCCTTGACGGAGATGTTGATGATGTCAGACGTAATGTCGCTCTGAAAGATCTTCTGCGCCTGCGCGAGAGGGACGTTACGGGCGAGCAGTTTGAGGAAATCGCGCGCATCGACGATGGTGTACGGATCCCAGGTGCGGCGGGTGGTGGCGACGGTCATGCTGCCCTCCAGCAGGTCCAACTTGCCCACTAGCTGATGCTGCCCCAGCACCTCCTCCACTGCAGGCCAAATGCTCTTAACGTAGCTCTCCAGGTAGGAAGGGAAGAGGGTGGCGAAGGTGGTCTCGGCGACGCAGCACGCGCCGTCCGGCACGTCTTCCTGCGTGAGCGCCGGTACGAAGTACTTCGAATTGCTGCTGTTGGTGGTCATCTGAGGAGAGATGAAAGCCTAGAAGCAGGTGAACAGCGAAAAGAAAACTAAAAAGCTCCGCGTACCCCCTCAACGCCAGAAGAGATAAACAACGTGAATTGTACACTTTTAATAATAGGGAAATAGACAAAATAGATTGATCAAGAGAATAGACGCTTCATACAGGAGAGAGAGTGTGTGTGTTACCGCTGTCGTCAGAATCAGAAGGCTCCGGCGGGAGATGTTGTGTGTCCCTTCGAAGGGATTCTGATAAATTGCGCACGCGTCGCCGCCATTACGAGTTCAAATGAAAAGATTGATTTAGAGCGTAGAAATTGGAGTGGAAAAGGTGGAATATATCACGTTTTAGAAAGTGATGATGGAGCAATGACTCGCATCAACCAGACAAAACGAAGTTCATCTTCGTGCGACACAAATATATCGCTGCATTCAAGTCGCGCTCTCGGCTGAAAATGTGTGTGTGTGTGTGTGACAGAATCATTCTGTGTGCGTACACTTCTGTTTTTCTTTTTCCTTAACGACATCGACAAACGCGTTTGGGACTCTGCAGAAGCGCATTCCATCTTTGCGCGGGTCAGACAGGTGTCCATCATGTCGCTCTTCAACCTGTGATTCTGGTAAATGCCCCGACTTGGTGCGGTAGAGAGAAGTCAACGGCATGACTGTAACGCACACACCTCTCTCGCATTATGCGTGTGTGTCTGTAACCCGTCAGCAACGCAGGAGGGTGTGTGTGAGAGGTGTTCGTTGAAGAGCCCAGCTCATAATAAGAAATCATGTAACACGGTGCAGCAGCAAAAAAGAGAAAGCACAACGTCGAAAAGAAGAAAGACGCGTGCAAGGCTGCCAAGTGCAAACCGCAGCACAAATGGAGAAGCCATGAGCCGCAGATCGAGAAAAAGAAAGGTTGGAGGAGGCAGCGCAATTCGCTTTCCATGTGAATTCAACGCACGCCCTCCCTTCTTTTCTTCCACCTGTGACTTTACCCTTTCATCGCAACTCGCTGCCGCTTGCGTAGAGGCGGCACTCCAAATTGTCGGCAGCGCAGCGCCTCCTCTTTCCCTGTCGTGCTCCCTGACCAGTGCCCAAGAAGGAACACTATTCGAAGACCCAGTCTCCCTGCTCTGTCGCCTTTAGAATTCGAGCTGGAAGGATGACCTCATTACCGGGCGACTCCACCACGCGATCATCATCAAATGGCACAGGGGCGTTGCTGTCGGGGGGCGCGATGTGGATCGAGTTAAAGGGGCGCTGCAGCAGACCGGCTAATGTTTTGCGCACATCTCCATAGCGGCCGCCCTTCGGACAGGCAACAAACACGATGGTGCTGGCACTCTCGCACCGCATGGAGAACGCGAAGTCCTGAAACAGCTTCGTTTGATTCATGATCCGGGAGACGCACTGCAGACAAGAGATAGATAAATAGAGAATGAACTAATACGGATGAGGTGTAGCAACGCGGCGACGGACAACACAGGGCACCTCCAAGCGACTGGCGAGGTGTTTCAGTATATATAGTGCTTTTATTCTATTTTGCTACGTGTGTGTGTGTGTGCGTGACTCTAAAGGGACAAGTTTAGAGGGAACAAACAGAAAAGAGGCGTTAGAAGAGAAAAGAGGGAGGAGGTTGAAGATGTGTAATGCCGACACACTGTCAGCAACGACGTGCGGACGTTTTCTTGGTTATATGCACCAAGAAAAGCCACGACAGCATCCGCTATTGCGCTGACTCGGGGCCTTCCACGTTTCACTTTTTTTTTTGGCCTCCATCGCCGTCACCCAGAACGAAGCTCCTTCACGTGCCAACGACTCTGGGATGCGCTCGATGCACACCACAGCGGCCAGTTGGAGTGGCAAGCCGAACCACTGCAAAGAACCTGAATGTTTCTCTCCCGCAATCCTTGAAGCTTCCGAGTTCTCGGAAGAAGAAAAAAAGTTTCAAGGAAAGGAGACACGGCTCAGGACGGAAACGGATACAGCGATGTATGTTGAACGTTTCAACCCCCCCCCCCCTCCTCCTTCATAAAGGCAGATCGCTGTTTCCACTTGCACCTCTATCCATTTTTTCTTTCTTTCCAAATCTGTTGTTGCGTCTGCTACGCCCGTGCGTGTCGTGAGAACATTTATTCTTGTTCACGGGAGAAAACTAAAAGTATATATAAAAAGGAGAAATAGAAAGGAGAGACGTGCGTATCCGTCGTTCGGTTTTTTTGTTACTGTTTAGTGCGACACGTATGAATGGATAAGCCACCAAAGCAGGTCAGCGGACGGGGCTACCGGCACCCCGAGAAAGCAGTGTGTCGAGTCATCACACGCACACACACGCAAAAGATTTCTCATCAACGCCCTTCTTCCCTGCCCAGCGCACAGAGTGTTGGGCGCGAAAACCCGCATTTGTTTTTCTCATTAACGCACGTCTCCTGATTTGCTTCATCGCATTACACTAAAAAAAACACACAAAGAAGAAGCACCAAAGGCGAAGACATTTGAAAAGCAGCTTAAAGCATTTTTTCCCCGCTACAATATAAAAACCGTAAGAGCGCAAATGCTTGTGCGTTTCTGTCTGTGTGTGTGTGTGTGAAAGCAGCAGCGTCCGTTGTGCGGGTACCTCGCTCACTCTCTCTGTCTCTCACGGCTCAACAGCGGGCGGCGGCTTCGGGGAAGCAGAGGCGGTCGACTCGCTTGGAGTGACAGTTGGGTGCTGCGGGAGTGCAGGCAGCGCACCGACCGTGGTAGTCGTCAGCGCGGTCGGCGTCGGACAGCGGTCCTGCGGTAAGTGCGTGTTGGCCGTCACCGTCTGATCCTGTGGCGCGTCGGTCTGCACGTTATTGAGCTCAGGGCTACCAGTCCGTGACATTCCCAGCACCATCGGTACCACGCGCTTCGTGGCCTGCAAGTACTTCATGCCCTCCACCAGCTCCACCATCTTGTGCTGGCGGCGGAAGTACTGCTCTGTTAGTGCGACTGGCGCCGATGGTTCGGCGTTGTACAGCGTGGCCAACACGTCGTTGAGGGTGAGCAGGCCGACCATCATACCAGCCGAGTCGTAGATGATGGCCATGTTGGACGGACCGTTGCGGAAGGCCAGGTAAGCATCATAGAGAGACGAGTCCTCCGACAAGCGCATCACCTCCCGCAGCGGGTAGTCGCTGACGAGCGGTGGCGGGTCAGGGTAGGTGTAGCACAGCGAGATGAGCGAGTTCACGATGAGTGCGCCGATGATGTGGCGCTTGTCCTCGCCGAAGTACACCGGCACGCGACTGTAGCCCTCTTTCAGAATGCGCAGAATGGTGTCGCGATCGAGCGAGTCGCGCGAGGAGAGCATGAAAGCGTCCTCGGCGCTCGTGTTGAGATGCTCCTTCACCGTGTCGGTCGAGAGCAGCATTGCAGCCTGCAGCATCTTGACTTCGGAGTCGCGGAGTTGGTAGGGAGATGCGTTGTCATTGCCGCCGGACAGCGCCCCGTCGCCCTCTCGGCTATTCGTTGTCGTCGTCGTTGCTGCTGCGGTGCCAGCGTTCGTGATGGCTGGGCCGCCGCCGGACTTGTCTGTCCGCATCGGCGTCGTCTCGACGATGGTGACGTCGACACTGCTGCCGCCTCTGCCGCTCCCGCCTCCCTCGTCGTCGAAGTGCGGCCCGACAATGAGGGCGGCGAGATCCTCGCGGTCCAGCAGGTCCTCATTGTGACCCAGTATGCTGTCCAGCACCTTGCCCATCGGGTAGCTCACCGGTGCCGTGACGATGATGGCGAACCAAATCGATTGGATAAAGTACGAGCAGACAGGGATCGCCCACCGCACAAACACGGCGAGCGGGACAACCTCGCCGGCGAGGAGGACGGCCGTGATGGAGACGATGAGGGCGGTGACCTCGTCGAAAAGCGCCTCTAGCAAGATGGGCAGCGTCATGACGAAGACGGCGTTCATCAAGACGAGCGCCACCAGCGTCCAGTGCTGCAGCTTCAACACCCGCAGCAGCGACTCGGCCTGCTTGCGCTCTTTTGGCGTCCCTGTTGTGGTGAGCACGCGCAGGAAGAGGCGGTCGATGGAGAAGAGGGCGATCTGCAGCCCGACAAAGAAGCCGGCGCCCGCCACACACACAACGCAGGCGACGCTGTACCAGAAAACCTCCCTGCTGGAGAGCTCCTTCTTCGGATCGGCCGCGTGTGAGTCGGACATCCTGTTCGTTCTGCCGCTCGCCCTACGTTGCGGGGCGTCGAAGAGGAAAAAAAAGAAAGGAAGAAAAAAGGAGAATTACTCAGTACAGTTGTACGTGTGCGCGACTTGAAACACAAGGAAACCAACAAAAAGACGGTTTTTGCTTATTAATAAAAGAAGTACAACTGGGGGTTTCGTCTTGCACACGCACGCGGAAAAGTGTAGTACAAGCAAGCAAAAAGAAATGGAGGGAAAAGGCGGTACGGACTTCCCGATTCAGCTTGATGTCGCGGTTCCTTCCTAAAAAAAGGTAATAAAAACACTTCTTCGTAAAAGATAATGGAGAAGAAAAAAGAACTCAAAGGCAGGCTTCAGTGATCATGCTACTGCTGAGATGCGATTCCGCTAACCTGCAACGCTGTGTCTCCTGGCCGTTGTATAATCTCTGATTTTGCTTTTACAATATCTTGTCACGTTGGTGCTTACAGCTACAGATCAACGAGCGTGTCACATCAACATCAACTGAGGTGTTCACTCGTCGGAAAGGAAAAACCAAAGCCAGAAAAGAAAAGAAGAAGAGGGAGTTTATGTTGAGTGCGGTTCAGTGCGTGTAGAGAGACGAAGAATTAATTTATCATTACACGCCTGACGCGAATCGACGTAAACAAGCAACTGCGGTTCAGCAAAAAAAGAAATGGAAAATACAAATCAATACTAGAAGAACTAATAAGAGAAGGAAGCATCGGATCGAACTGCGGCAATGCGAAGGAATAAGTGTGTCGTATGGCGCATCGAGAAGTGAAGTTTTTTTTTCAAGGCGGAAAGAGGTAGAGAAAAGGCAAGTGCACCCAACGAGGCCGATCTCGACAAAGTTGTATCAAAGGAGTTCAAATGGTTTATTGGTGGCAGTGGATCTTTTCATCTGCAGATGTCCGTGCCAGCGTGCCAGTGTAAATGACAAACAGAGAAGGGGAAGGGGGGGGGGGTTAGGGAAGGGGATGAAATTGACAAGTGCGACGAAGGCACCAGTATAAGTAGGCGAATGAAGAAAGGGAAAAGAGAGGAGAGAGATTGGGAACAGTGTTCAACCGCTGAGGGGAGTGTGGAGCGGAGCAGCTACGAAAAACGAGTGAGAGCGGACGCAACGAAGCTACCGCCTGCATTCCATTTTTTCCTTTTCAGCGCGTGTTCCTTTCGTGGCGCCGACGCTAGTGAAAAGGGCAACCAAACTGCGAGGGGGACCGGCTTACGCGGTAGCGGGGAAAGGTGGGAAATAACCGCACCGCTTTCTTACAGCAACGTAGTTGTTCCAAGACGAGAGCTTCTCGTCGCCCTTCCTCCGCCCCTTCCGTCCCGCGCTCATTCTTTTCTATGTGCAGGTGGGGCCGGGCGAGAGGAGCGCCTTCATCATTCCTCAGCGCCTCGAAGTTATCCTGGGGTGCATTTTTATCTCTCTTATTACGTGTAGTTCTTTCGGTTATCGTTTCAGCTTCATCTTATTGACAATAAAAGGACAAAAAATGAATTCGAGACAAAACGCCCGTTTACCCACGAGAGAGATGCCGCCGCGATGAACAACACCTTGTGGCTTCCCCCTCTCTCTGTTCCCCAAACTGCTCTCACATTTCAGGCTCTCATCAAATAATAAAAGTTTAAAACGTGAACGTTGAACACCACTCACCCTTGCATGCTAACGTCACGTCACCACGAGAAACTTAATTAACTGCTGTGTCACTCGTCAGACACAGATCGCCGCCGACGCGGACACAATTACTTTTTGGGTTTTTTCCCTGCCCGTTAGGTGCGCACACACAGGCGACAACAATAACAAAAATAAAACAACGTTTTTGCGCGCACACACACGTCCTTCGCCTTCGTTTACTCCGCATCTTCGTTGTCCTCCTCTTCCTCGTCGTCGTCTTCCTCCTCATCCGAGTCGTCCTCGTCGCTGTCGTCGTCATCTTCCTCCTCCACGACGATGAGCTCGGGCTTGTCGCCCGGCTTCATCAGAATCGAGGGGCAGATGGACTGACCGTCGATGAAGGGGCGCAGGATGTGGTCAACGATGGCCCACATGTTCGACACCTCAATACCGAACTGCGTGGCAAGCGACGCCGGCGAGTACGTTTGCACGGTGAGGATCTCGTGCTGCTTGTGGTCGAAGACGCGCTGGCCCTTCTCCATCTTCTCCTCACACGTGACGAAGCCAATCTTCATCAGCTTCGCATCCGACAGCAGCGACAGCGCCGTCCAGCGGGCGATCTTGCAGCCGTTATTCGCATACTCAATGGGTAGGAAGGAGGCGGCGTTCTTCAGCAGACCCTCACGGCGCCACGACGAGTCCTTCTCTCGCACCACGCACTGCTCCAGCAGCGCAAAGGTGCGGACGCGGTCGTTTGTCTTGGGCATCACAGCATCAACCTCGCAACGCACGACGATGTCGTAACGCTCCGGCGTGCCGTCGTGCAGGATGTAGCGGCGATAGCTGTACATGCGGGGCTGCTTGCGGCTGAAGGGGCTCTTGTTGACCTTCACCTGCGCGTAGCTCTTCGTGCACGCCGCACGAGTGAAGCAGTCGTAGACCTTCGTCGACTCCTCGCCGAGGGCGGAGATCCGCTCCGCCGCATTGTCGGCCGCCTCAGACGGGCGTATGTCGTTGCCGGCCGTCTCGCTCACCCACTGCTTGTCGATGCTGCTGTCCTCGCGCTTGACGAGAATCCAAATGTTGTTGTAGTTGAGCACGCGGATGTGCCACGGGTATGAGGAGCGCGAGCACACCATCAGCAACGACAGTATTTCGTCGGTGACGACGACGAGTGGGTAGCGCTGGGTCTCGCCCATAATCTTGCGCAGCTCCGGATCCTCCGTGGTGAGGCCGCGCAGGAAGAATTCGTCGTCGTACTTCGACTCGTCCAACGAGACCGGGCGCGCGCAGGTGGCGGACTCGATGGCCGTGTTGTACACCGGCGGGGTGCCGTACAGGCCGAGCTCGACCACCTTCGGCAGGGCAGCCATGCGCAGCTTGGTCATATCCGTCTGCTTGATCACCTGCTGCACCACTGCCACGGCAGAGGCGTTGTACGTGTTCGACAGCTCCGCAATCTTGCGGCGCATGTTGTTGCGGCGAGCGTTGGTGTTCTTGGAATCCTTGCCGCCCTTCGCATTCTGCATGCCGCCCTTCGCGTTGCGGGCGTTGTTGCGGAAGTTCGTCGGTGCCACCTTCGCCCGCTCACTGCGCAGCGCATTGAGGCGTGCGTTGTCCTCGACCTGCACGAAGGCCTTGCGCTTGTTCGCCGCCGCCTCGTCGTCGCTCTCGCTCTCTTTCTCGTCCTCCTGCTTCTTGAAGGAGTACCAGTCGACCGCCAGCAGCGGGTCCATCTTGGAGTAGAGCTCGAAGGACTCGCCGTCGTCCATCACCAGCTCCTCCTCCGGTGGTCCCCAGGTGAACTGGGGGTTGATGTACAGCTTCGGCAGCTCAAACGACATGCTTGTGTTTACGCGTGTAGAAAGTTGATGAAGAACTGAGAGGGAAGGGGGGGGGGGGGTTAATGGGTGATGGGGAGACGGAAGGGAGGCAGAGAACAGAAGCGGAGAAAGTGGAGAGCGAGAACGTGAGTATGAGTGTGCATGTGTGTACACCTGCTAAACACCTCCGGCACTGTTGAGAAAACGATGGAGTACGTGCAGGCCATTGCACATCCACTACTTGTGTTGACTCAGCGAACGAGTTGAATGGAGAGGACGCACCAGTCTTTCTGTCTGTGTGTCAGTTCTCCATGAATAGCGAGCAACAGAGAAATGAGCTGACACAAGCAGCACGCACTTCCGCAAGTCCAACACTCGACGGAAGCAGCGACGGAGCTTTCAACACTTATATACAATTCGCAGAATGGACTAGAGTGAATGTTTCAAAAAGCGTTGCTCAGTAACGCCTTGAAAGTGCTGCTCTATTTTTACCTTGATTAATAGGTGAGTTCCTACGCGGAAGGTGCGTAACGTGTGAATGTGCGGGGGTAACGGAAACGACGAAAGCAAACGGGCGCTGCAAGGGAAGGCAAGTTGTTTTCTCTCTCTTCTTTTTGAAAAGAAGTGATCACAGCAGTACGAGTAATAACGGCGTAGTCTACGCATGGAGAAAAACATATATTGTTATTATTGGAGCTCATCGTAGCAAAGAAGAAAACAAAAACAAAAAAGGCGACACGCTGAGGGCAATCGGCACCTGTTATTATCATTACCATAAATAATAATCATAATAATAAAAAAATACCACCGGATATACGCAGAGGAACGAACGCAAAAAGCTGTCAAGTGCAAAACAGCATTGCAACCAAACGCAAAGCGGCACCAAAACCACCTGAAAGCGCAGCGCAGGCTCCGAGAAGAGAAACAAAACGAAGGAACGAAAAGAAAAGACGTGTTAAAGCCCAAATAATCGTGCAAGAAAGTCGTTGAGGGAGCCATAATAATTTGTGTATATAAACAACCAACACCTGGAACCACAACACGCAAAGATGAATGTATTAAGAGTGACCAGTCAGCTGTCACTTCATCGTCCCGTAAAAACTAGCAAGCAAAAAAAGGAAAAGGCTGGAAAAACGAAAACGCTGCGATGCAACGCACCATGAGAAACGTCATGCAATCGCACTACTTTTTGGAGCCGTCCGACGCGCTGCTGGCGATGCTGCTTTCCTGGTGGTGGTTCTTCGTCCCGTTGTTGTGATTGCTGCCGAGGGTGCTCTTCAGCGGCGACGTCACGTCCTCCCGCGACTCGTGCGGTGACCCGTGCGGGGAGTTAATGTTGCGGAGCCCGTCGTAGGGTAACCGCTGCGACGCCGGCGAGAAGGTGGAGAAGCTGGTGGTGTTCTCGCTGGACTCGTCCATCATGGAGGCCGCCGCCGCCGAGCGCAGCCACGGGTGCTGCAGCAGCTCCTCCGCCGATGCGCGCTTCTGCACGTCGCGCTCGAAGCAGCGGAACAGAAAGTTTCTGCACAGCTCCGACGTCTCCTCGGGGATTTGCGGGATATCGTTTGTCGAGCCGACGTAAAACATGGCGGAGTAGACGTTGTCGAACTCCTCCCGCCACGGCGGCTCCCCGCCGTTCAGCATCTCCACAACCGTGCAGCCGACAGACCAGATGTCCGCCTTGGTGCCGTAGGCCTCGCTGCGGATCACCTCTGGCGCCATCCAGAACGGCGACCCGACCAGCGTGCCGCAGCCCACCTGCGTCGCATTCGCGATGTTCGCCAGCGCCTTACTGCAGCCGAAGTCCGCCAGCTTCGCCACGCCGTAGCCGTCGATGAGGATGTTCTCGCCTTTGATGTCGCGGTGCACGACGCCCTTCTCGTGCAGGTACAGCAGGCCCTGCAAGATCTGGTGCGTGTAGAGCTGCATGACCGCTTCGGTCAGCTGGGTAAACTTGCGCACAATCGAGGTGAGGCTACCGCCCACGGCGAACTCCATAAACACCAACATCGTTTCGTGGATCGTGTGCGCGCCGTAGTAGCGAATAATGTTCGGGTGCGACAGCTCGCGCAGCATGTTCACCTCAGCCTTCACACTCGACAGCGCCTCCGGGCTCTGGCTGACGATGTTGATGTACTTGACGGCCACCAGCCTGCCGTTCGTCAAGATGCCGAGGTGCACGGTGCCGTAGCTGCCCTTGCCCAGCGCCGGACCGCAGCTGAACGTCTCCATCTCCTCCACCGTGAGCAAATTGCTGTGCTGTATGCTGGGGGACATGAGCGGCAGCGCCGTGGACATGTCGTCACCGTCGAGCACGTTGTAGTAGGGGGAGCTGTTGTGTGACTGCGTCATCTCGCAGTCGGCGCTCGGCCCACCGAGGATGTACGGCCGCAGCAGCCGGTGCGTCTCATAGCGGTAGCGCTCCTGCTTCTCCAGGTACTCAATGCGCAGCCGCGCAATTGCGTTGAGGGTGTTCTCGCGCTCAATCGTGTCATTGCAGGCGTACACCTCCATCTTAATGTCGTGAATGCGGTTGCGTATCTGCATCATGGAGCAGCGCAGCGCGTCAATCGAGACGTCGCCGGTGGTCGTCGTCTGCTCCTCGGCGAAGAGGATGTTGCGCCAGAAGTTGGCGAAGAGCGAGATGACAAAGAGCGCGGCACAGAGGCGAAACAGCTGCACCCCTTGCGTGCAGGAGGTGTACACCCCGGTGCGCACGAGTACCGTGTAGAGGATGATGGTGGGGTACACGTAAAAAGAGTACAACGCCGTGTTGCACATAAAACGGTTGACATTTCTGTACGGCGTGGGCGGGATGGCCCACATCAGCACGAGCCGCAGCAGCTGGAAGACGACGCAGCTCAGGACGGCGCACATGGGGTTGCTGTAGAACACCTTCCACATGACCGTCTCCACCATCTGCACGGGGAAGTGGAGGAACATGCTCGAGGCACGTGCCCGCAGGTCCATGTGCGGAATCCAGGTTTGGTTTGACAAAATGCTCGACGGCGCCAACACGCCAATCGCCAAGAAAGCGATGACGGACACCACCACCCAGCCGTTGATGGGCATCGGCTCGTAGGTGGGCACGTTACGGAGCAGCGTCGGCCACGCCACCGCGTCCAGCACGGAGGACATCAACGGAGCGAGGAAGACAACGTTGAGAATCGTCAAGACGCTGTAGAGCTTCTGCAGCAGATTCAGCACGAAGGGCTGCCGGTGACGCAGGTAGGAGATGAGGCGACTCTCACGGCCCTGCAGATACAGGAAAACGAGAAGCCAGATGATGTAGAAGGCGCCGACCATGTGCGCGCGACAGATGCTGCTTTGGTGGTGGGGCATAAGGAGACCCATGCCACGCAGAAACACGATGGCCACCGTCGGCAGCGGTGCGGGGAGACCGGGGTGGAAGGCGGCCATCGTGTTCTGCAGGTTGATGATGATGAGGCGGCAGAAGGCGAAGTAGTTCACCGCGCTGTAGCTCAGCTCGTCCCACGTCAGCGTCAGCTGCAGCGGGCACGGTGTGTGTATGTCGGCCCACCAGTCCTTGTAAGAGCAGTTCCACGTGGTGAGAAGCAAGTGGAAGGTCGCGAAGCCGCTGACGACGCCGAAGAGCGTCATCCAAGCCATGTCCCGCAGCTTCGGCTCTCCGGGCGGCGGGTTGTAGGGCTCCTTCATCCAGTACAAGTCAATAAGCCGCCGCCGCTCGTCGTAGTCCTCCATGACGTCGCTCGGACAGTACATATCGGGCCGCATGTGCACCAACACGCGCTGTCGCAGCAGCTCCGTCTGCACGCTGACCCGCCCGCCGCTGTTGCCGTTGCTGCCACCGGTGTGCGTCTCGACCTCCCTCGGCGGCGGCCCCTCGTGGTTTGCATCGACACAGCGGAAGGTGTGCCTTTTGGCCGTGTGAGAGACGTAAAGTCGGCCCTTTACCGTCAACTCGTTCGCGCAGCTGACCTGGGACGCGCCGCGGACCTCGATGACGCCCCCTTCCCGCACCTCCACATCTCCCTTGAAGATGGTGTTGCGCGGGTCGGCCACCACCAGCGTGCCGTCTACGATAACGCGCCGCGCTTCCACCGTCATACCGACCATCAGCCACAGAGTCGAGTTGGTGCTGATGAGCAGTGTCTCCTTCACCTGCAGTTGCATCGCGTCCGTCACGCGCGTATAGCTGCTGATGAGGGCGACCTCGTCCAGCACGATCCGGGCGGGGTACCGCACGTAGACCTTTTCGCTGAGCGCCAGGCCGCTGTGCAAGGGAAGCGCTGCGTGAGGCCGGTGGCGGCAGAAGTCAGGCATCGCCTCGGCATCGGGGCCCGTACAGAAGGAGGCGTAGAGCAGCTTCCAGTCCTTCGGCTCCTCCAGGCGTACAACGTCGCCGCTCAGCAGCCCACCAGACGGCATCTGCAGGCACCCACGTAACACAAGACGGCCACCCAGCGTCAAGTACTGGGAAGTGGGCAGGTACACCTCGCACGCAGTTATGGCCATCGCGCCGCTGCCCTCCCCGTGCATCGCGTTCGCCATGTTGTCACCGACCAAGTTGTCTCGCCTTACACTGCCGTTGCCGGCGCCATGTGTGCCGTGGTCTGCGTTGTTCCATCGGAAGGTGTCGAGCACGAACATCGTCGCGTTGGGCGGCACGAAGGTCGAGGTAGCCAGAGGCAGCGAGTAGCCCGGCATGATGCCGGAGTCGCGATCGAAGATGACTGCTTCGTCAGAGACGTTGCCGTACAGGGCGGTCACGCCGCTGATCTGCAGAATCATGTTGCCGTTGAAGCGCGCCGTGACAAAGGCGGCGAGGAAGCGGCCGCCGAACATCAGCTTTGCCAGCCCGGTAGAGGTGACGAAATGGGCGTTGCCGACGTGCACGAGGGTGTGCTGGTCAAACTGCGTGGTGCCGTAGACGGTGATGGAGATGGGGTCATGCAGGCCGACGCCGAAGTTGGCGCGAAGGGTGCCGCCGACGTTGACGGAGTTCAACACGGCGTCGTCGCCCACCACCTCAAGCAGGCCGTCGCCCGTCGCGTTGGTCGACAGCAGCACGCAGTTCTCCATCATGGTCAGCACGGAGTGCTCCTCCACCACCACATTGCCACTGATGTGTGTGTTGTGCACCGTGGCGTGCGAGCCGGCCTTCAGCACCATGACGGAGTCTACGAGGTTGGACGCGTCGGTCAGGTTGATCTTGCCAGACAGCAGCACCGAGCCGCCGAGGAAGTTGAGGCGACCCGTCAGCAGCGCGTAGGAGCGTTCGTCGAGGGCGATGATGCGCAGGATGCCGCCAGGGTAATTGGTGATGGTGTTGCGCCGGCCAGCGGAGAGGACGCTGCTGATGCTGTCCATGCCCATGCTCGACACCGCCAAGGTCAAATTGCCGTAGTTGTGGATCGCCCCGTCGCGCTCCAGCGAAAGGCGCTGCACGTCGATGGTCATCTCCCCGTAGTTGTACAGCGGCACCGAGAGCTGCCGCGTCTCGTAGCCCTGCGTGGTGATCTTCGCGTAGCCGGTGCAGTTGATTGTGCCTTTGCCGGAGATGCTGCCACCAGACCACACAAAGTAGGACACGTTCAGGCTCCGTTGCCGCAGGTTCAGATTGCCTTTGTCTTGCACTTTCAGCCGCGTCACCGAGGCGGACTGCAGCAGCTTCACATCCTGGTCAATGAGCACGTTCGGGCTGTCGTTGTCGATCACTACATCCGTGCCGCGCTCCACCAACAGCGTTGACACGCGCACGTACACCGGCGAGCCTTCGCGGTGGTAGCAGACGTGGTAGATGCCGCGCTTGTGGAACGTGCCGAAGAAGCTCACGCGGGAGCTGCTGCTGAAGAAGAGATCCACAAAGAACACATTTTGCGACGTAAAGTCGGTGCACAGCTCGTCAGTGATGACGGCGGTGTCCCGCTCCGTCAGGTTCGTGCCGTAAATGGTGCCGGTGAACTCCAGCTCGGCGTGCACCTGCGGCGGGTCCGTCGACACCCCCTCCGGCCCGGCCACCTCGTACGAGTCGGCCAGCTTCAGCCGGAGAAAGGGGAGTGTCTCGGGGTAGGGCGCGTAGCAGAGCGTCTGCACGCCGCCGCGGTGCGGAGTAAAGCGGTAGGCGCTCTCCTGGATGTCCCAGCGGCTGCCGCGCACAAAGGCACCGCGGGTGTGCAGGCAGGTGTATCCCTCCATCACACGCAGCCGCTGCTCCAGCGCGAACTTGTCGGAGACCGTGTTGGAGGCCCCGTTAAGCGGGATGGAAATGCTGCCGCCCGTGACGAAGAACTGCCGCGAGGACCCCCAGCGGGTCTTGTCCAGCTGCAGAAAGGAGCGCTTGCGGACTAGGAAAGGATCGCCGGCGAGGCAGTTGTTGGGCAGGTCCTGCAAGCCGAGACGCCCAACCTGCTCGAAGAGAGAGAACGGCAGACACGGCACGACGAGGGCGGAGGTGTGGGGTGGCATCAGCCAGCTCCCTTTGCCAAATGTAACCTTCATGAAGTGTCCGTTCGCGCTGACTTCGACCTCGCTGTTCATGATCACCTCCGTCACGGAGCGGCGCCACGACGGCCACGGGGCCGCGCTCGACCGGTTCGCCGCACGGGACAGGACTGTCGGCGCCAGCTGCATGAGGTGATCAATTACATGGCCTGAGTCGTCGATGAGGCGGATGTTGTTCGTCAGGATGGACCGCACGATGGAATGGAGGAGGGTGATGTTGGTGGGAAAGGTGGGAATGGAGACCTGAATGGAGAAGGTGCTCCCGCCTTGTCGCACCATCTCCTCCGTCAACCCGTGATAGACGGAGCCGCGGTAGTGGACGGTGGTGGCCGCTGCTAGCGTGACGGGGATGAAAAAGCAGCTGCTGCTGCTGCGGCGTCGGAGGTGGTGATAGCGCTGGCTGCCCGGCTCTATCCCCGTCACAGGATCTGCTGAGGTCCAGCACGGAGCGAAGTCGGCCCACAAAACGCTGAGCAGCAGGAGCACAAACACGCCCCATCGCACAACAAGCTTCGCTGCGCCGCTCCTCACTGTCCCTCGTGGGTCCGGCAGGCAACACAGGGAGGTGCAGAAAGGACTACGGTACGGCATCGACGATGACTTGGGTGGCAGCGGAAGAGCGCAACGGACCGCATCACCTAACGCACGCACTTCAGAAGTAGGCGGAGCACAAACCTCGCCAGAGTTGTGTAACGGGCATGAGTAGCGGGTTTCCATGGGCGACCGTGATGGGAGAGGGCACCTCGCACACGTGCCATGCGCCTCAATGGCAGGTTCACAGCCAACCCGCTCCGCTTCTTGCGCCGCGGCGTCAGATCGCCGCGCTCGCGACGAGATGCCACGCAACGTCAGCACAAAAACAGAAGGGAGCGCGTCCATTAACATGTGGGTTTTATGAAACGAAAAAAAAAATAGCGAGGCCCTATAGAGTTTTCTGACCAGTTGCCGTTCGTGCCCGCGGTATCGTGATTCGCTACACGCTGCACGTCAGATACGCCACTGTGCAAGTCACGCTTCGCAATAACAACACCGAAGCCAAAAGTAAATAACGAGAACAAGCTTTTCTCTCCCGACCTCTTCAACAGGAGAAAGAGGATTCGAAACAAAAAACAAACAAAAGAGAGAAGACGAGATTCGAGGAAGCGAGCACGCGTGTTCGTCTGCGCTTTTCTTCCTCAGCTCTTCTGATATTCGTTTAGTGGAATATGAAGTATTATTCTCCGGAAAGCGCGAAACGATAATACTAATGAATAATAATAAAAAACGTTGGAGGAGATCGATGGCAAGAGTAAAACGGACACACGGCGAAAGTCTCTCGATGCAGCTCGTCAGCAGAACAACAACAACAGAAACTCCACAAAGAAAACAAAAGCAGAGCGGCAAAAAAAAAAAATATATATATATATATATGTATATGTATAAATTAGCGTTCACAGCTCAAAGCAGAGACCACCGAAGAAGAACCAGAATTTAAAGATATAGAAAATCATAATAATAATAATGTCGAACGCGCAGCTGCGATGACGTTACCAGCAACGGTGTGATTTTGTGTGCGGCAGCGCGTGCGATGCAACGCGTGGCTGCTGCGTGAGCCGAGCGACCAATTTTGTTTCAGTTCTTTTCGTTAACTTGTGGAAGAAGCTGGAACAGGGGCAGAGCAATAGTAGTGAAAGAAAGGTAAGAGAAAGGAAGTGGTTACAGGCCAGGCAGCGGTAAAAAGGCTAAGAAAAAGAAATACGTATCGAACAGTTCGCGAGCTCGCCTTGTGAGTGTAAGCCTCTCGGCTGTCGTTACGATTGTGTTTGGCAACGCTTGTTTTCGTGTGCGTGTGAGGAAATGAGAGTATTTTTTTTCCGTGAACCTTCTGCTAGCTCGCGTGGACACCAAATAATACAACCGAGAGAAAAAAAATAGTTATTAGACCTCCCTTTAAGCCGCGTCCGTCTCAACAAACACGCGCGTATCTACCTAGTCGTAGCTTGTGTGTGGGTGCGTGTGGGTTAGTGGCGGGGGCCCTATGTGAGTGCGGATGCGCAAAAAAAAAAATCTTGCAGCTCACACTACGTTTCTGAACACGTACCTGTGAGAAGAGGCAGGTGCATCGGATAGATGTGGACGCGTGTGTAGATACATTGCGTGGCCGTTGTGGACGCGATGAGCGGGGAGAAACCAAAGGTTGATAGCACGAGCGCAGCGCACCGCGTCGACAATAGGGTATGGGCAGCAACAGCGGCAGCGAAGAACGCATCAATGAAAAAGTGAAAGCGAATGGTAAAGGAAAGTTGAGAGGGAAACGCACGATTCATTGTATGTGGAACGGTTAGCGTATCATCGCCTCAACACAACGGATGCAGCAACTGCGGTCAGTTTGGTGGAAGTGCTCAAAAGCTGTCCCCGCTTTTTATCGTCCGACAACAGAACTACTGTCGCAAAGTCATACACACATGTTAGGAAAAAAAATCCATATTTCTTTTGTAATGAGAGCCGCTGATACAAAAAAACGCTGATAGTTGTACTGCCCTTGAATGCATACGTTTAAATGCTGCGCCGTTTCCGCAGACGCCTCTTTCGTCCGACAGAATTGATTGTAACTTTTTTCTGAGGTTTCTTTTCCTCCTTAAGCGAACCTATACAGCCGCAACAGAACGGAGGCATCTGCTGCGTTGCCCTCGCGTACCAGCCACCGTTGCCCCACTCAACAAGAAAAAGATCACTCTCCTGACAAGCAGCACACACATAGCGTCGAAGGATATTGAGAAGACAGCAGCCACGCCTGCATCAGCCGAAGCAGTAAATAAGCAAACAAACACTCCTCGGGGGAGGAAAACTGCATGCAATGAGCGGCGCAAAAAGAGCAAAATTAAAAAGGGTCAGAAAGCAGATGTGACCGAAACAGAAATAGCAGCAAACGACGATTCATCCCTCAGCGCGCCGACTTCTCCTGCACCGCAGCTCGGTTTCCGGTCAGCCCTTAGTCCACCGGCTAATTTTCACTGCGCGCCTTCACGTCATCCCACGCCTTCTTTCGATTCGCCAACTTCTCACGTCATCTGAGGACGCGAAAAACAAATTAAAAAGCGAGAATGATAGCGAGAGTGAACAGCGTCGATGACACCATTTAACGCCTCGTTGGATTCTCGTGCTCAGTCCAGGAGGCTGCGCAGGAGACGTTCAAACACGTTGGTGCCGCGGCGGTGCTCTTGATTTGCCAGTCGGGCCTGCAACTCCATCAGCTCATGCGTGGTGCGCCGCATCGCCTCCTCGCGCATCATCTCCTTCTGGATCGTCCTCTCCGTCAGCTCCTGCAGCGCTGCCGTCGCGTTGTTTTCCCGCTCCCTCAGCTCCTTGTTGCGCTGCTCCGTCTGCCGCAGCACGGCGGCTCCCTGCTCACGCTCCGTGTTGATTGCATCGAGCAGGCGCCGCATCTTCATCTTTTCTTCCTGCTCTCGTTGCAGCTTCGCCTCCAGCTCGCGCTGCTTCTCTGCCTGGATGCCCAGCTGGTCCTCATCGGCTTTTGCGAGGTCCTGGTATTTCTCTGGCAGTGCGCAGCAGGGCTCGAGGCCGAGGGATTCCATCTGGCTGATGAGTCGAGCACCGAGTGTGGCGAGGTACTGCAGCATCGCGCTCTTCTCCAGCAACATCTCGTCCTTCAGTTCCAGCTCGGTGTCACGCTCTTCGAGTTCCTTTTCGGCAACGCCTCGATCGGTGGTGGGCGACTCCGGGCAGGACCGCGGCCGGGACTGTGACACCAGCAGCTCCACGAGCAGCTTGCGGTTGTGCGAGCGCATTTGACGCAGGAGCTTTGTGTACTCCTCCAACGGAACACCCTCTACCGGCTGTGGTCGAGCAACCGAGTCCACCGGCGTTCCTCCTGCGTTCTTCAGCTGGGCGTTAAGCTCCTCAATCAGCTTCTGATCCTGTCCATGGGCGGCCAGCGCCTTGGTGAGCTGCGCGTCCAGCTGGGCAATTAAGTCATCCCGCACGTCGATCTCCTGCTCCTTCAGCAGCAGCACCATGGTCACGTCCGCGTTGCCGCTGGACAGCAGCGCCTCCTCTGCACGGCTGTCGTTGCTAGAGCTGTCGCGGTCCGGCGTCGATTCGGCACGGGTGTTGCCGCGCCTGCTCGGCGGTCCGCCGTAGTCGAGTGCGCCGTCGAGCACCTCCTCCCCCTTTGTGGCCGGCGAGGACTGCTCCGGGATGCCGTACGCTCCGAGTGTCCGCTCCAGCTGCTGAATGCGCTGCACGAGGCTGTCCCGCTCGCGGCTGCTATCCGCCAGCTGTCGGTTCAGCTTTTGGATCATCTTCTTGTAGACTTTCTGCATGGCTCTCGCCTTGCCCCCGCCGCCGTCTTTGCCGCCCCCGGCGCTGTCCACCGCATCGAGCAAGGCGGCATCGCTGCCGTCCGCACCGATGTTCTCTGCGAGAATGCGCCTCAGCGCCTCTGGGCCATCCATCCTGTTGCGTCGCCATGCCACCGCCTCTCGAGTGCGCGCCTCATTTACGCGCTTCACCTCCGCCTGCAAGTCGTCGCGTTGGCTGCGCAGTTCATCAATGTCGCTCTGCATCAACAGTCGAAGACTTTCGAGCTCCTCTGGATCGACCAGCTCGGCCCGTCTCTCCCGCAGCGCCTGCATCTCCTCGTTCGACGTGTTCATTTCCACGCCGGCCTGCAACAGCTTCCCGTGCAGCTCCTCCACCTCCTGCTCCAGCCTCGAGACCTCCTCCATGCGGTCGTGGGCGAGCATCGAGGCGCGGTCGAGCTGGGTGTGCAGATCGACGACTTTGTTGTAGTGGCGGTCCACCTCGCCCTGCAGCCGTGCCCGCATCTCCTCCACCTGCGAGACGTCCAGAAAGGTTTCGGGGAACTCCACCGCTGCGCTCGCCTCCCCGCCCAGCACCCGCACCTGGGCGGCGAGGGCGTCGATCGTGGAGTGCAGCCGCGCCGTGTCGTTCGCACGGGAGGCCAAAACCGCGTCCTTCTCCGCGAGTTGCTCCAGGGCCCGCACGAGGTCGTCGTTCGTGCCGCCGCGTGCGCTGTCGAGTTTCCGCTGGAACTCGTCGACGAGACGCTCCCGCGCCAGCTTCATCTCCATGAGACTCTTCGCCTCCTGGCGCTTCTGCTCCTTCATGAGCTGGGTGATCTCCTTCGAGTGGATCTCGTCCTGGTAGCCAATCTCTTCTTGCTGCTGATCCTGTAAGTTCTCAATCTCCACCTGGTAGACCTCCTTGAGGTTGCGAATCTGCTGCTCACTCGCGCCGGAGGCGGTGAGGTGCTCGAGTTCATCGGTGAAGCGCTGCTCGAGGTCGCCGCGGTCGCGCTGGTAGCGAGCGAGCAGCTCCTGCCTCTCCGCGTCGCGGTTGGCGATCTGCACCTCCAACGAGCTAATCCGCTCATCCCGCTCGCTGAGCAGGCCCATGAGCTTCTTCGAGAGCTTGACGTAGTCCACGGTGATGGAAACCTTCGCCTCCACCTTCACCGCCATCGCCCGCAGCCCGAACTGCAGCGTGTTGGTGGTCTCGTAAAGGTGCTCGCTGCTGGGCCCCACAGTCAGTATAATCGAAGTGCGGCTGCGTCCGCCGATCGAGTCTTGCAAAATGCGGGTCAGCTTCGCGTTTCGCCACGGCACGTGTTTGGTGCCGGCGGAGAGGGAGCTGACGACGTGGCCGAGAGCAAGCAGCGACGCGTTGATCGTCTTTGCCTCATCTTTGCGGATTGGGTCGGCACTGGTGATGCCCGTCTTACTGAACCTCTCGTAACCTGCCAGATCGATGAAGGTGATCTTGCCTCGCATTTTGCCTTTGCTGGGGTCCTCCAGGACCTCCGACGAGATGTAGATGATCATGGCGGTGTGCCCGCGGCTCGACTCCGCGTTCATCGCCGTCGACCCCACCACCCGTCGCGTGTTGCCCTCCGCGTAAAACCGCATGAACTCCTGTGCGTTCGTGAGGGCGTGCGAAGTGCACCCCGTCAGCGACACGCCTGTGTCCTCGTCGTAGTGGATCTCCACCCGGTCTCTGCCCTCGTGCACCATCAAATCCCCGAGATGATCGCGGTAGATCTGCACAAACTGGCCCACCACCGCGTACGTCCGCGTCGGGTCGCTTCCGCTGCTCGCGCGAATTCTGCCAAAAATGTATTCGGCGGCGCGAGGGATGATGCCGAGGTGCTGCGGGTCGGTGTTGCACATGGTGAAGGACTTGCCGGTGCCGGTCTGCCCGTAACACATCAGCGCAGAACAGAAGCCTTTGAAGGCGTGGTCGATGCAGGGGATAGCGACCGACTCGAACACCGCCGTTTGCTCTGTCGAGGGACCGAAGGTGCCGTCGTAATCGTAGTGGCGCTCGTCCTTCACAACGACGCGCCTGTCCTCCAGCGTTACGAAGGCATGCCCGCCTTCTTTGTAATCCTGCTTGACAGTGGGCCGCAGACGGCAGTACACGAGACAGCGCGAGAGGGCGAGATCGTCCTCCGCGGCGTCTGCATCGGCTGGCAAGGAGGATTTAGCTTTTTTCGTCTTACTGTTCTTGGGAGATGCGGCAGTGGCGGCGGCGGATGGGCTGCTCGTCGAAACCGGGGAGGCGCCGGTAGAGACAGAGGTTCCGTCGCCCGCGTCGCCCAGGCCGTCGTTCGCACTCGGCTGCGGCTCGCGTTGTCCTTCTAAGGAGCGCGTGGAAAGGCTCACCGCACCTCTCACGTTGGTAGACTTCATTGCTGACAAGTGTAGCGACTACCTCAGTGAAAGGAAAATGTGGATGTTTATATCAACGATTATTAATTCGCCTTTGACAGAATATCGGTTCCTTTTTTCTTTGCTCGCATCAGCACGTTCAAGCGTTAGGGTCTCTTCGACGTGTTTTTCCCTCGTGAGCGCACACTGTGAAAACAGAAAAGGAAAATCGAGAGTCCTTTATATCAAAGGGGGAGAAGAGAAAGGAGGTACAACACACCGCAAGCACTAATGTAAGCTGTCGATGGCAGTTTGTGTGGAGGAACAGAGGTGAAAATCCTAGTAAATAACATGAATAGCAACAACAAACAAAGAAAGTGGCTACGCCTCGTGCTGTGACTGCGTTGCTCCTTGTTGTTCGGGGTTTGTGTGGAATTCCTCACACACCTACAGGACGGAGAAATAAAAGCAGAAAGTTGCTCCGTGATAGTATTGGCGACGAAGCGAGACAGAGAAGGGGAGGGATTTGAGATTGAAGTCATCAAACAGTTTTCAGGTCGGTGATGCAGCACCGCTTGCTTCTCTTCCTTCTTGAGTGCGAAGTAAACACCAGCGGAGACAGGTCACCTCCGATTTCGCAAACGAGCTCCGCCGTTTCGAGCCTTCGCTTCAAATGAAGACCGCTGGCAGTATCGCAAGCCAGTGGGCAACGGTTCAGTACACCAGAAAGCCGAGTGCCGCCCTCCCACAGGTGGAGCTTCCATTCTCTTTGTTTTCCTTTCTTCCTTTAAAATTATCCCCAGCGGCAACAAAGCCTTTGTCAGCAAAATTATTCCTTCCCGTCCTCACTCGTCGCGCGAGTGCGTCGTATCGCTCCCCGACGCCTCCTCGTCTGCTGAGGAGGCGCCATTGACCGCGTGCCGAGACCGCTTCCGGCGTTGTTGCGCCTCCTGCCGTGTACGACGAATGGGGAGCGCCTCATCGATCGCCATCCCCCAGTTCGGCGTTCCAGCCGTGCGCAGCGCCTCGTATTTAATGAGGACATCCACAATGTGGTTAATTGTCAGCACCTTGCAGCGGTTGCCGAGCTCTACACTTTCCTTGATGGGCAGCCGCGCCGACCGCACGCAATGGCGCTGCGCCGCAGCGTAGCTGAGTCCTTTGTACCGATTGTGGTCCACAAAAGCGCCGATGATGTAGGCGGTGTTCGGCTCCACCGTCGTCAGCACGTCAGGGGCGTCCGCGCTGAGGAAGACGACGCTGTCCGCTGAAAACAGCTCACTCCAGTGCTCTTCCTGTGTAACCCGCGGAGGGAAGCGGCGGAAACCATCGAAGTTGCTCAGCGCCTGAAGCACCTCTTGCTGCTGGGCGGCGTCGTGCTCCGCGTCCGCCTTCTCCTTTCCCAGTAACGATGTGATGACGGGACGAAAGGGGAAGCCGGCGCGGCGCAGCGAACTGTAGCTGAACTTCACCTGTGACACGGTGCTCTTTGTGTCCGGCACCGTCATGCACCACGCAAAGCTCAGGTCGAAGACGAGGGTGGGAACGCGGGCGTCGGCCAGCTGTGCTTCGCACCGCTGGATTAGTTGGGCCTCCGCACGGCGGCGGCCCTCGTGCTGCTCGGCCGCTTCGGCACGGCGCGTCGCTCTCTCCTCCTCCGTCAGCGTCTCCCACGCCGACTGCAGCGCCTCCTGTCGCCCAGCCGCGGTGGCCTTTTTGCGCTCCTTCTTGGCCTGCTTCTTCTGCTGCCAAAAGGATCGCTTCTCCTCCTCTGTCCACGACTTGCGACCTCGTCGGTGCTCGGCGGGTGTTGTTTGTTGAGGATCTGTGCGCCCTCCTGCCGCGTCATTAGCGTTTGGAGACGACGTGAGACTCGACATGTCGCACCGTCAGAAAATGCGACCGATCTGACGCAGCTATTTTGGGGTGGAGCGGAGGCAAAGAAAATGGAGGGGGGGGAACGGGGAAACGAAAAAGTTCAAAGTCGGCGTCGTCACTTCCAACCAGCGCGGAGAAGTCTGTAAGAAGAGCGGACTGTCGGTCATAGAAACGAAAAGGGGTAAGCTGCCAACGCGCGGAGGCCAGCAGCGATGAGCTATCCCCAGCCGTGGGAGATCCCGAACCGGTGTACATGCATGGTGAGACAAGGACAACACCCAAACTAGAAAAACACAAAGCACGTTAATTGACCACATTTGTTCATATTACTGCCTTAGGTAATAATAATATTATTATTAGTAAACAAAAACCATGTATGAACTCTCTACTCAATCAGGAGCACGACGGCAGCTCTTCATCAAAACGCCCCAACTGTAAACACGAAATTCGCGTCCCCCACCTTGATGTACTTCACATTACAGCGTCGGTGTTCGCTGAACACCGCCACAGACGCCTGTGCATTCTTTTTATTCTTACATGGAACGTGAGAGAAGTGTTGCTCCTTCTTTAGGGAAGTACACCAAGAAGTCACGTGAAGGCGTTTCACATGCGCCTGCACTTGAACTGTTCTTGCGTGCCAGTATGGGAGATCCACCGTCAGCTCATCCATTGCGCACGCGTGCCTACAGGTCATGAGGAGGAAAAGGAAAAAAAAAAGAATAGCAATATCAATAACACGTATGCACGCGTGTGTGCAGTAATAAGTAGGCCGATCGGGAAGTACAACAAGCGACGGAGCCGTGGAAAAGGCAGCGTTAACAACGCCGCACAGATCACAAAAGGAGCTGTAGAAAGAAAAAAAAAAAGGGTCGCCGTTTTCGATGTTCTGAATAACGGAAAGCGAAACGCCAGGACAGTGCGTCTCGCTGTGCCCACTCCATCCTTCCTACGTGTGCTCCACGTTCTGTCCTCTGTCATCTTCATTTCTCCAGAGGCGCTTGTGATGCATCAAAGGCATGCCCTCCCTCCGCGCGTATTTTCTTCTTTGCTCAAATGCTCGTGTACTGAATGTCTGGGCGAATGCAGGTTGTGCCGGAAAGATGAACCCCCAAATCGGAGGGGACGGTGATGATGGCACGTCCAGCAACGCCGGCCGCCCCGGCAGCGCGCACCATCGCCTCCGCCACGCGCTCCGCTTTGCGCTCCTCCTCCGGTTGCACCAGCAGGTCACCACGGCGGCCAGTGACCAATGCGCAGACCGTCGGGCCGGCGCCGGACAAGAAGGCGTAGACGGCACCGGCCTCCCGGGCAGCCTTCGCACAGGCGTTGTAATGCGGGTAGAGCGTGGAGGAGCGTTGCTGCTCGTGCAGGCAGTCGCTCGCATCCTTCAGCAGGCGCAGTTCGCCGGTGGCCAAGGCGAGGGTGAGGATGGCCGTGCCCGAGATGTTGTGGATCGCATCGCTCAGCGACACCGTCTGCGGGACCAGCTCACGCGTGACGTGCGTGCTGGCCTTCATGAGTTTGTGCGGGACGAAGAGCACGATGGAGAGATTCGGCGGTGTCGGCACGCGATAGGTCATCACGCTGCCGTCGTCGCGCTTGTAGCCGAGTTGGATGCCGCCGTAGATGGCCGGCGCCGCGTTGTCGGGGTGGCCCTCGATCTTCGAGATGACGGACAGCAGCGCCTCGGTGCTCTGCGTCTCCATCGTGAGACCGGACAGGGTCATGCCCGCCACAAATCCCGCTGCGGCAGCCGCCGACGACGAGCCGCAGCCGCAGCGGTACGGGATGTTGTTGTGCATCGTAAACTTCAGCGGCGGCATCGGCTTCTTGGCGTACTCGAAAGCGATGCGACACGTCTCTACAATCATGTTGTCCGCGCCGCGGCTGATGTGCTCGCTGCCCTCGCCCGTCACCTCCATCGAGAACTCATCCGAAACTTCCACGGTGAGCTCGATGAAGATGGACATCGCCATGCCGAGGGTGTCGTAGGCCGGGCCGAGGTTAGCCGTCGTGGCCGGCACGCGCAGGCTGACCTTGGTGGGCAACGTCGGAGCAGACTCAGCGGACATGGCGATTGGGTCGAGATAAAGGAAGAAGAGCAAAAGAGTAGTGGCAATGGGTGGTGATCCCAATCGTTAATGCGGTGCTACGAACAGTAAGAAAAACGGCAGTAAATGAAGTGGAAGTGACAAAACACGATAACGGGGTGCTTTTGCTGAGAGGCGAACACTATTGGATGAAAAGTCAATTGCGCCATTGAGAACGCCAGATTCACGGACCGGTAATACGAGAAGAAGAACCAGAGAAAAGAGAAAACGGCAAGGGAGCGGAAGTAGAGAAAGAAAGACGAGCGGCACTACGAGCAGGCGGTTCGTTTACCACCGTGCTCTACCGGAACGGAATGATACTGACGGCGCTCAACACGAGTCGGTTCAGATCCCGCTCTTGTTCATCGCTTTCTTGACAGTTCGATACCAGCAAGTGGTAGAAGTGCGCGCGTGCCAGAGTTAAAGGAGAAGAAGGAGACGAGGGGCAAGGGGTAAGGTCATTCAACTGTTCATTTACGACTGGCTTTACCGAAAGCTGACCGCTGATATTTCAAACAGCAGACCAATCTTTTCTTAACCTTCGCACTCGGCTTTCACACACTCGCCGCCGACGAGGAAACAAAACCTCCAGCCGGCTCCTTACAGTTGCTTTGCTTGTGAATTTATATACTTCTTTTCCTTTTGGAATTCTGTTAGTTAAGAATTACAAGGACAGAACACTTGGACACCGTTTCACTAGTACACCCCACATACACACACCGGCACGTCGTCAGCTGCGCGCACACTAGTCTCACGAGAGAAAATAGAGACACAATATCGTTGGCGCGGCGAAGAGAGAAAGCGCTCACTCGTCAAAGGAGAAGTGAAATACTTGAGAGAGAAAAGCACTGAGTTGGGTAAAACAGCGCGATACGTGAGCATGCCCAATCAGCCAGATCGGCGGAGCGTCGCCGTGCTCGGTAGCAACGCTCTTTGCCGAACGGTGGAGCACACCGCGCCCGTGAATTTCAATCCTTTCTTTTCACTCCCCGTCCTTTCTCGCGCGTGGCCTCTCCTTCGTTGTGTTTGTTTTATTGATTATTGCAGTTGGGGCGCGAAGAAAGTGTCCCCAAAAATGATCTTCCTTCTACGATGTTTTCTTTTCTTCCTTTTGCTTCAAATGATCATATTAACTTTGATTTGTCAGTTTTTGTTTTCTTTTCCATTTTTCCCATTCTTCGCCTCACCTGTGTGTTCACACACACACACACACACACGCACACACGCAAAACACTCACACGCACTCTCATTCACTCGTTCACACAATTAACGTCCCTTTTCCAGCGGCATTTCTTTTAAAAGGAAAGGCAAGCTTCGTTTAGCCAGTAAAAGAAAAAGACAAAAAGACCACAACGAGAGGCTCGATCTTGGAAGTTGGTGGTGTTGGAGCGGGGGGACGGCGGGTTGCGTCTCACTGCGTTGGAAGAACTGCGACGTAACAGGGAACAAGGAAAGGAAAAGATATCACAAAAGAAGAACGCTACGCGAGAGGCGCTGAGCGGAGGGAGAGGGGCATGAACACCCTCTCCAGCTATAATGCGGGAAGGGAGCGTTGCGTCCCTCCACACAGAGACACACACACACACACCATCCATTATTCGCACAGAGCACAGAGGAGTAGGAGTCGAGGGTGCAGCGCCTATCACAAAAAACGACGACCATTCATATAAAGGTGCAAGGGAGAAAAGATGAGCCACCTCCATGATGAAGCCCCTCTCACCCGCGGCTTCCGCTTCGTTGTTCCTTCACAAATACTTCACTGTTTTCTCTCTTTTTTAATCGCGAGGACGCTGGCGGAAGACGTTCATCTTCAGCTTGGCGCCGCCGATCACCGGCTGGGCCTTGCTGATCTCGTCGAAAACGGCGACGTTCTCGGCGAAGTCCATGAAGACGTGGCCTTTAGCGGAGTTGTTGCGCAGCGACACGAGGTGGGTGGCCATCGCGCCGAGGGCGGTGCGGATCTCCTCGTCCGTGACGGCGCCGGTGATGTTGAACATCAGACGGTCGCCGACGGGCTCGGGGGCCTTGCGCTCCCGTGGCGCCGGGCGCTTCACCGCAGCCTCACGCGGCGCCGCCGCCTCCTTCTTCGGTAACGCGGTCTCCTTCTTCTCCCCCGCCTCACGGGCCACCACGCGCACCGGGCGGTGCTCGGAGGGCTTTGCAGGGGGGTGGCTCAGCAGCGCTGCCCAGCTCTTCGGCTTCGCACTGGACGGCGCCGCAGCCGCGGCGGTCTGCTGGGCGGCCTCCTCCTCGTGCACCGCCTCCTCCTTGGCGGGAGTCGGCGCAGCGGCGGGCTCCTCGGTCGACTCCGGTGTCGCCTCCGGCTGCGGCTCCGGCGTGGGCGTCTTCTTCGGCTTCTCCTCGGCCGGCTCGGGGGCTGGGGTCTTCTTGGCAGCCGCGGCCGGCTTCTCCTCGACGGCGGGGGTCGGCTCAGGCGCCGGCGGTGCCTCTGGTGCGACGGCACCGATGCGGGCGATTACCTGGTGGCGGATGTAGAAGCCGTCCATGCCGAAGGTGTCTTGGTAGGACTCGAGGGTAGTGGTGATGTGGAAGTACTGCTGCAGCTCGCCGAAGGCGGTCAAGGTGAGGAAGACGTTCACGCCGCCGTAGACGGAGGCGGCGTTGACGCTGTCGACGCGCAGGCGGCTGCTCAGCAGAGAAGAGGCCCACTTCTGCACCGCCATCGGCACGTCGCCGTCCGTCATCTCCGAGATGCCGAGCTCGAAGTCGTTGATGGTGAGGGTGGCGCGGCGGCCGTAGAGCTCGGCCAGGTTCGCGGCATTCTTCGCGACGCGCTCGACGAAGTCGACGGTGAAGGCGTTCGCCACTTGCTGAGCCGCGGCCATCGTTGACGTCGGTGTTTGCTGAGACTGAAAGAGCGGAAAGAAAGAGGATAAGAAAGCTCGCTAGGTCGAGAGTTGAGATGCGAGCAGGTACTTCAAAAGAGCAGGTTAGTTACAGTAGAAGCGTTTTGCTTTTTTAAAGTGTGTAGACAGGAGAGTAAGCGTGGTGGTGAGTCGTGTGTGTTTTCCAGGCGGAAAATAGAACTGTGTCAGCGGGGTCAAATACACCCCGCGTAAGTTGTGAGCGAAAAAAAAAAGCAAAGACAAGTACGTGTTTTGTGAATGCATCAAGGCAGCGGCACGATGAAGCACAGAAACATCAAAATAATCATCTCTCTCTCTGTGTGTTTGTGTGTGTGATTTGGTTTTATTCGAGAGCAGCATTTACAATTCGAGCATCGCACAGCGCTCTTGCGCCGCAACGGGTGACTTTGCCGAGGCGTCGTGCACCTTCGCGAGTGCGCAAAGATGTGGCTTCGAATTGATCCATCACATGTGCTGTCTTCTTCCCATGGTTGAAAGCATTTTCACTGTGAGGCAGAGGGGACGCGGCTTCTTTGACCGTCATCAACATGTGTGTGCCCATAACAGATTACAAAAAAAACCTATCGCCAACCTTTACACAGACACACATTGCCACCAACAGCTCCTGCCATTCAGCAAGCAGAAATGCAGAAGTCAAAAAACCATCATCATGACGATGCGCTGTGCTCGTGAAGAACGTCAGTCGAGATGCCCAAGTTCTTCACCACCGCGGTGCACAACGCTACACTACGCGGGTCCACCGACGACTTGCTCGCACGCAACAGGCGGAGTGCTTTCCGCATGCCATCAACATCTGCCGCTGCCGCCAGCTCACGAAGCAGACGAGTGCCATGCTTGGCGTCCACCGACGTCGAGTGAGCAAGGTGCATATCCCCCACACGCAGCGCCGCCCCCGTGTCCCGCGCGTTGAGGGCCACTGTCATGGCGACGTGCAACAACGAAGAATCCACCGCCACCTCCGCATCCTGCATCTCGCGGTGGAGGGAGGCCCATCGCGCCACGCCGTCCACCGGTGCCGTCGCGGCGTACACCCCTAGCAGCAGTGTGTAGGTGGCACCGTTGGGCTTCACCTCATAGCGAGGAAACAACCGCAGCATGTCTTCTGCGCGCGCGGCCCCGCCGGCATGCTCGCAGGCAGCCACAAACAAGTTCAATGTGACCGCAGTGACAGGGACGGGCTGCCTTTCTTCCTCGTCCGCCGCACCCGTCTTTTCGGCCGCCAAGGTGCGCACGGGGTCGGACACGTGCAGGGCGGCAACGAGCGGGGTGAGCGCCAGCACCAGATTCGTCACCGGGTCCGTCGTCAGCAGCGACAGACGGCGGGACTGCAAAAACAGCTTCGGCCGCTCGCCGGGCACGTTGAAGGGTCCAGGGACCTCCGTCTCCAGAGTGTGCAGCGCTGCCCGCACCCGGCCCGCCTTCGTCAGCGCCTCCACGTACAGCAGAGATGCCATGGCCTTGTTCTCGTCAGCGATAATGGTGAAGTTTTTGTACTTAGCGATGTAGTCGCGCATGTAGGCGGCGGCGGCGGCGTCACCGTATTTCGCACACTTTGCGAGGAGGCGGAACACCGTCGTTTCGCTGCTCAGCAGAGGGCCGTCAGCGAGTTCCGGAGATGCGTTAGCACCTGCGGCGGCGGTGTCCTTCTCGCCCTCCGCCGCCGACCCTGGCGACGGTGCCTCAATCATCTTGAGCACCTCCACCACCGCCGACGGCGGCGTCGCGGCGTTCAGGGCACTCAGCAGCAGGTACGGCAGCATGAGCGACGGCGTCACCCGCTCCGGTGCCGCGCGGCGCAGCAGCTGGAGGCACTCATGAATCACCTTCGTGTCGTAGTGCAGACGGAGAAGGGTCTGAAAGCAGTGCTGCAGGCGAAGTGGCAAGAGGGGGTAGCGGACAGTGGCCCCTTCTTCCACAATAGCCTCTACCTCCGCCCGCATGATGGGCCACCACGCGACACAGTTTTGGTGCCCGAGGCGGAGGTACAGGAGAAACATCGACAGCTTCGTCACGACGTCGGGCACGATCATCTTTGCCCGCTGCAACTCCACCAAGTTCTCCACCTCGTACTGATTGAAGGTGTCTGTCATGCTGATGGCCAGGAGGTAGACGTTGAAGAGCTCCACAGAAGGTGTCTGGTGCTCCATCTCCAGCAGGCACTGCGTGAAGAGAAAGCGCAGCTCCTCCAGCTTCTGCAAGTCGCATAGCACCTTCAGCAGCAGCATCGTCATCGGCTCGACGTCCTCGACGCGACCACAAAACTGTGTCAGTGGCTTTCCCTGGAGCTTCGGTGCTCCAAAAGAATCGGAGGAGGAGGCACCACCACCGCCGCTCTGCTGCCGCAACAACTCTTCCTGTTGACTGCTGTGGTAATAGCGTTGAAACTGCTTAAAAACTTCCGCTGCAGCGAGCAATCCGCGGCCGTCCTGCTCTACGGCTCGCAGCACCACTTGGTACGGCGTCATCGGGTGAGGGGAGCCGGCAGCTGTGAAAGGGGCGAGGCGGGAGGCTAGACGGCGCATGGTGAAGCGGCAGACGAAAGGAACGGGCGGGGGGGGGGAGGGGGGGAATCAACTGAAACGGGCAGTACGAAAAGAACTGTTAAAAGTGGGTCCCTCCGTAAGACACAGTGCAAGTCCCTACGCTAACGATAACTCCAATTCGATTCCTAAAAAAAAAAAGCAGAAAGGCACCGTCTGCGAGTAGGTGACGATGTGCAGCGCACAGGCGTGTGTCGTCGTTCGCGCTACACCATCGTTTCAAGAGTGGGAAATTATCGAGCAGGAGATTTGGGGGAGGACGGGAGGAATTGGCCGTTTATCTTTCCTTTTACGTTGCGCATTCAAGTTGAATTTCGTGGCGCACGTTCCTACACGTTCATTCGCGAGTGGCACGATAAAACGGCGAACGTGCACGCGGCGCCGCAAACAAGGTCAAACAGCAACGCAGTGTAGCCTTTTTTTTTTAATTGGTATTTCAAGCTTGTGACGAGGAGGGCAACTTTAACTCAGCCCGGAGCACAAACCAGCTGTGACCTCGCAGTTTCGCCCTCGCAACGCAGCTAAAAAGAAAGCGCCCTTTGCCAGTCGACGAAGGGGAAAAGGGGAGAAGAGGCCCTTTCAAACGCTTGAAAAAAAAAAACTTGCTGAACTACACTGTTTATTATTATTTCCTTTTTGAAACGATATTTAAGTAATAGATGTCCTTGTTTACACAACAGGGCAGAGGAACACAACAGTTTCAGTTAGGGAGAAGCGAAACTACAGAATAAGACCCCACACCTCTCCAGCTCGATCCGCCCCGTCAACCAGAAGAATCATACTTCTGTCAAAGCAGTCAGTCAAACGGCAGGAGAGAAAAATAAAAGTGCCGGGCAGTGTCCCACCACGCGCAAGGAGTACAAAGAGAGGAAGAGAACGGCACAGCAACAGCCAGGAAACAGGTCTGTGTACGTCCCGACGCGACGAGTCACCGTTATTATTAGTACTGCCTTGAACCCGTCTCTGTGTTGCTGCTGCTATGACGGAGCAGCTGCGACCTCCGTCTTCTTCGACACTGCCGCCGTCGCCGCCTTGGCCGCCGCCGCCGCCTTCTTCGCTTCCTCCAGCGCAGATGTCATGACGTAGTTAATCTTCATCGCCACATAGCCAGGGGCGAACTCATTCGTGGTGCGGTGCAGCACGCTGTACGCCGGGTAGTACTCCGGCTCCACCCCGATCCCCTGCCCGTTCTGGTAGGCCTTCCCCACCGGGCTCTCGGGGTCGAGGAAAACGATGACGGTGAAGCGCTGCGGGCGAAAGACGCCCAACACCTTCTTCATGCGATCGGCGTAGTTGGCCGACCGGCTGTTCGTCTCGTAGGACGCAAAGGAGCAGTGGTCCTCGGGGGTGATGTGCATTGTCTGGTACTCTGCGCCGCGTATCGCGTTCACGCTGTACCCGCACGGCTCAAACTGTAAGTCGTGCAGCATCCACGAGTCGTCGACGACGCGGTCGATGTGCGTCGCCGCGCGGATGGCAGCCGTCTCCTCGCCGGTCGACATGAAGTGGTCGCTGAACCAGTGCTTCGTCTGCTCCTTGTCGAGGCCGTACATCGTCATGCTGAGCTGCGTGTCGTCCTCGGAACTGCACGGGCGGATGATGTCGTCGTAGCAAAAGAGGAAGTAGTGATCGCTGTCGACCGGGCCGAAGATGTAGGGCCGGCCGGTGGGGAAGTGCTGCTTCAGCGTGGCGAACTCATCCGCGAGGGAGGTGTGCGGCCCCTTCTGCTCCCACGGGAAGGAGTAGTTCTTGTGCATGAAGGAGACCCACTCCAGCTCGCCCCGCACGGCGCTGATCGCCTCGAGAATTTTGGGGATGCTGTTCAGCAAGGTGGTGGTACCGCACGTGATAAGGATGATGCGGTTGGTCATCACAAAGAGGGAGCTCTCGGTCAGCACGTAGCTCTTGATGAACTCATTCGCCTGCCTCGACACGATCTGCGCGTCCAGGGAGCCGACGACGCCGGCCCAGACGGAGTCGTCGAGGCTGCGCAGCCCGTCCACGTGGGTCTCCGGGGTGAATCGCAGAATCACCTCCAGGCGCTTCTCTGGGCCCTCAAAGCTGAACCCCTGCTCCGGGTCGTAGTCCCTCATCGAGCCCCACATGGCCATCAAGGTCACCGGATCTTTCGTCTTGGGCGAGGAGGTTTCCATTGTGGTTAATTTTGTCGAGTAATAATATAAGGCTTAAATAATATAGATGTGCGGATGTCCGGTAAGACTTCCTCTTTGCGATGTTCCACACGGTGACCTGGAAGGCCTCTTTCTCTCTCTCTTCTCAACTGCTGCAACGCGCTAAAAGACGCGGTTGTCGCCCGGTGAGCTTCCTTGCAAACAGAAGAATTACCTTCCCACCAAAAAACAAACGTTGAGCAGGTATGAAAGCTCAACGGGTGCACAAAAGATGGTTGTGAGGAAGAAAGAATACGGTGCAGCGCTTTCCTTTCGTTGCAATACTTCGTTTACCGAGAGCGGTGAGTGTAGGTTTACCCAATAAGTGGACGAGGGGGGAGGAAGGCAGAGGTTAACGAGACAAAGAAAGAGGAAGAGAACAAAAAGACTCTTACTTTTAAAAAAAGAATGCGAAACGGCAAGCCGACTTGAGCTCCTACTGGGAATGAAGCGCTGGATGCACCGCCTCACCGAAGAAAGTCTGTTCTACCGTCCCATCGGGGCGGAAGTGAAGAAGCTGTCCCCTCTTTCCTTCATTTCGAGAGTCTTCGCCAAAGCCCTTCGCGGTTGTCTCCCTCCCAGACAAACGAGGGGTTTGAAAACTGCAAAAAAGAGCTGAGATTCACAAGAGAAAGTCAGACACCAAAGGAGGTACCGAAAAGTACCAGCATCGCGGCTGCCTCCCCTGTAAGCATGTGCATGCTTCTTGGTTATCACTACTTGCTTGGGCATCAGAGCGCCGACAGTTTTGGAGATAGTTAGGGCTCTCATATTATGTATGAAAGAAAAAGAGAGAAGAAAAGCGGCTGCTCTATTGTTTCTACCGTATATATAATCGCACTCACAACGGCGGCACAGGCAGACAACAAGGAAAAGAAACACCACAAGGGAGCTGAGTCGCTTTTCGTCTTGCAAGGCGCTCCTATTTTCTATTTCCCCCTTGTCTCGGACGCCGCATGTACTGCTGCTTTTGTTTTTGATTACGCTTTCTGCTATTAACTCAACAACACAACGCACCGTAAGAAGAAAAAGTTTAGCCAAACAAGAAAAAAACGAATTTTAGGTAACAGACCACCGCAAAGTCCACTTCTTTCTTTCATTTTTAAAGGAAATGGCGGACGCTTTCACACCAACAACGGGAGCAAAAGCCTTTCTTGTGTTTTACCCCGACTTCTCTTTTTGATTTTAGATAATACAGTCCCGTTTGATTCTCTCTTCTCTTTTCAAAGGAGGGGGAGGGGGGGGGGGGCAATGCAAGCAAAGCATACAGGATCAAAGAAAACGAAAACAACGACGCAACTGCCCCTCGCTTCGTACGCCTCCAGCAGTCATACGGACACCAACCTCGACAAATCACACCCTTAACATCAACAAGAAATAAACAAACAAAAAATAACTTTTCTAGCTATCCAGCACTGGTATTTACCTTTTCCGTGGATCTCTCGTTAAATGCCTGTTTGGCTGCGCACCGCTGTTCATCTTCCATTTCGTAGCGAAAGAAAAAGACAAGAAGGAAGCAGCAGCTCTGCTCTGAGGAAGCACAACCACAATAGGGGCGATATCTTTTAAAAAAGGAGGCATCAACAGAAAGAAAAGCACACCAGAAAAGGAGGACGCGGCCGCTTCTCGATTAGGTTTTTCAAGTCTCCTTCGCATGCGTAAAAATAGAGAGAGATCGCGCCTATTCACACTCCATCTCTGTGTGTGTGTGTGTGTGTGTGTGTGTGTGTGTGTGAATCGCACTGGGGTTCTAGAAACAAAGATCTAACAGTGAGCGCGTGCACCCACACACAGAGAGAAGAAAAAGAGGGAGCGAAGAGGTGGGACTAACAAAAGAGTACGTTAGCGCCAAAGCTCTTCAGCTCATAAAAAATGGAAAAGAAAAAACACATTTTGTGTTCGTGTGCTGCGACATGGTGTTTCGCTCTAATAAGGCAAAGCATCCCATTCGCGCAACCTATTCAAGCCTTTCTCCTTGCAAAAGGCAAATAAAGTTGTCTACTACCTAAAATCGTCTTCCCTCGACCCCCGGACGAACCCTTGGGGTACACGCACCACTAAGGCGTCTTCAAGTTTCTACCCTCTCCCCCACCCCCACCTCCCTAGGCGCGCCTTCGCGGAGCAGCGCAAGCTTCTTTTTCCCTCCCCTCATACGCACTTGAAGACACACTCGCACAATAGGACGGGAGTGTCTTCTATCGTTCTATCATGCGAGAGTGAACATGCACAGGCAAAAGGGCGTCTCGGTTATTTTTTAAAGATTGCGCACCTGAGCGTGTTCGTGCATCGCGAGAGGGGAAATAAAGCGAGCGAGCGCCACGAAGAGCAGCGGAGGGGACTCGTTTTGCGTTATAGAAAGGGGAGAGGAAATAGAGAATACGTGTTGCACCGCTGCGGCATCAAATGGGCGCGAGAAAAGCAGCAGACGACACAACAGCAAACAGAGACACCATTCATGCACCTCAACGAAGGCTGAAAAATGGAAGAGACAGAGAAAAAAGTCAACAGCCATATCCACTGACGTTCGATGCATATGCGTAGAAGAAAGAGAGAGGAAAAAAGCAGTGCTCGCAATACTTGCGAAGTGAGCTAAGCGAAGCGTGCAGCAGGTGTTGTTCCTCTCGCCTCCTTCTCCTTCTGGTGTCTGTCTCGTTCGTGCCTTGCTCCTCTCTCGTCTCCCTGTGACTGCCGTTGCGGGCGTACGTGTATATAGATTGCTTACTAGTACTTGTTGTTGACTTTGCTTCAAATGCAGAACTGGAAAAGGTGCGATAAAGGCTAAATGGGAGTGTGCGTGTATGCGTGTGAGTATCCGTCTGTCATCTACCGTGCCCGATGGAGGAACAGAAGAGCCGGGAAAAGGAGGTGACACACGGCGGTACTCATACACCCGCACAGGTCTAACCGGAAAAAAAGGTCACCTCTGCAGGCTACACGGAAAGGAAAAGTCAAAAAAGTACTACGGTGACGGAGTCGTGAAATGCTCTTCAGAAAACAAAAAGGTCCGCATTCCTTCTCAACAAGGAACCGAAGACCAAAAGATATTCAACGGGTACTTCAGCTACTTCAGGTAATGGCAATGAAAAGCGAGCAGCTGACGGCGTAACGCGAAAGAGAACCCGCTTTTCTTTTTATCAGCGTGTAAACAAAGACAGTAACTTACGGAACGAAAAAGAAAAAGAAGTCCAACGTGAGAGTCGAAAGCAGAAAAGACATCGAAAACGTGTTTCCGGCTTCCTTTGTTGTTTCTTTTAGAAGAAGCTAACTTGACTGTCGAGTATGAAGTGTGCTTCCTTCTCAAAGAGAGATTTGAAAAAGAACAGTAAAAGAGAGGCGGGCACTAGAAAGTCACAGGAAAACATGATTGTCAGCTTTCTTCTCTTTTGGGGGGATTTTTAGGTGCTTAAGGAGCAGTTAAGTCGTACAAGGCAGAGGTTTTCTGCGGGGTGTACGTTCGAAGTACAAAGAAGTGAAAGGGGAAAATGCTTAGCGGATGATAACGCGCAGGAGCAAAGTAAAAGCGACGTAGTAAAAAGGAAGAAAAAAACGCTGTTTGAATATCGAAGAGAAAAACACCACGTAGCAAATCCTCAGAGCTCGGAGTTTTCGTTTTTTGGGAGAGAGAGAGAGAAAAGAAAAAGAGGATGGGAACACATGGAGCAAAGAAGAAAACACAAACATAGATGTGTGTGTGTGATCCACTCCGTATGCATTCGTTTCCAGGAGCGGGCCGTGAGAAGAGAACGGCATCTACAAAGAAAAACAGCTGCCACATTGAGTCCGTGCTCCGCGTGCACGCACACACAACACACAGCTTGTTTTCCCCCCTCCTCTTCTTTTCTCTCTCACAAACAAAAAAATAAAAACTCCACGTCTCGTCGTTTTTGCCTTCACTCCGTAGCACCGGCCAGTTCGAAGACGCCAGTGTACCCCTAGCCGCACTGCAGAAGAGCATCTTACTTCGACAGGCGGGGCTCCCTTGACACGGTGTATGAATAAACACGCACGCACATACTCGTACACGCAAGGGGACATGTAATTGCTGATCATCGATTCTGAATAATGGGTCGTATTTCTTCATGGGTTGTAGGTAATTGCGCTAACACAATTCGTCCGAGTTAATCGTCGTGCGGCTTCGGCCTTCCTCCTTCACATCGTCCAGTTAAGTCTTACGTGTCTCTTCGACAACAACAAAAACAAAAGAAGTAGAAATAGAATTTAAAAATATAGAGAAACACACACAACAACAACATCAACAGAACAAACACAAAAAGGAACGTGGACAACGTGAACGATGAGAATCGACACAGAGACGAGGAGATCTCGTCGCCGAAGTGTATCGAGGCTGAAAGAGTAGAGGAGACCTTTGAAGCGCACATCGACGAAGAGAAGAGGGAATGCCCCCCGTAGAGCAATATTCTAAATATTGTATCGTAGAAACGTTTATCTGTTGCAAACTTCCCTTCGCATCTTCCTTCGGGCTACACGTGGTAAATACATGAGCAGAAAAAAAAGAAACGCATTCAACGTCACCGTGTATTCCATGACGTGACAGATGAGAAAAGAGAACACCGCGATGTGTGAATGCGTCCCAAGCAAGCGTGTGGGCCGTGGAGAAGAAAGAAAGAAAAAAATGCGAAAGGAACGAGAGAAAACAAACTTGAGTACGTGCAAATGAAATGTGAGCTAATACACTTTTAAGAAGACGTAGTGGTGGCAGCAGTGACAAAGACAAAAAATCTTTTCCCTCTAACAATTATTTCTCTTTTTTTCTTTATAATAAAAAAATGTGCAGTTATCTGCAGCTCAACAACGTATCATCACTTTCTCAACGCCTCTTCAGCGCTTTCCTGTCGACAACATAAAAAAAAAAGAAAAGGGAAAAGGAAGAAGAGCTTTTCAGGCTCATCGGTTAAGAATGGCGACACCATCAGCAAGGAGGAGGTGCCGACAGGAGAAAGCAGCTGGAAGGCGTTGAGAAGAGCAGGAAAGGGGAAAAAAAAACGTTGAAAAGGGCAAGATAAGAAGAACAATAGTGTGATCAATCTATCGGTCGAGTGTTGAAGGCAAACTGAAAATTTCGGGGGAAGAAGTCAGCCCCAGCTACTGGTTCGCTGAGCTCCATAGCGTAGAAAGAGTGGTGTCGGGCGACCTACTCTCTCGCACACACCACTCTCCTCCTTTTCTCCTCCTTTTCTCTTCCTTTCAACCGTTCTGCAGCGCCCGCCTGCTCCTCCCAGAAGAAACAGACGTCCCTGCTGTGCTTCAACGCGACACGGCGAAATACACTCAACGCCGCAGTTGACGAAGAAACACACACGAGGCGGTTGCGGAACAGGCGGGGGGGGGGGGGGGTCAACGCGTTAAAGCGCAGGAGAAAGAAGGAGAGCGTGTGTGTGTTGAGGGTTGATGCGCACCGGAAAAACTGGCGAAAAAGAAAACAGAAGAAAACAAAAAAGCGAAAGTAAATGAAAGAAAATGAAAGATTAAAGTAAACCAAAACGAACCAAAACTGGCAATTTGAATAACATGCGAAATGTTACTGTCGTTGTCGAAATACAGAAGAGAAAAAGAAAGAAGAGGAGGTGCAGCATTTCATTCACTCGTTTCTGTCTCGGCATTTCTCCTTCGCACGCAGATGGTGGACCAAACGCGACGTGCGCGAGAAGGAGTGCGAAGCGAGAAGGAAGAACAAGGGAAACAAAGGAAGAGCGCGAAGATGCCACGTGAGCCCAAGCTGCGTTCATTCCTTTGCTAGCGCTACACAACCTTGCAAGAAGAGGAAATGCTGTCTTCTACCTCTTCCTTTTTTTGTTTTTACCCATTTAGCGCATATTATTCCTTCCTCTTTTCTGCTATTGTTGTTGTTTAGTCGCTGCGAGCGAATAGGAGCTGGTGGAACGCGTAGCCCTCACCAAACTGGTTCACCGTTCGGTTCTGCAGCGTGTACGACGTAAACGCCTGGAAGTTGCGACGCAGCGCGGCGCCGTCCGTGTCCTTGTCCTGTAGCGCCACAATCGTGAAGCGCGACGGCTGGAAGGCGTCGATGAGCTGCCGCACGCGCGCGGGCGAGGTGACGGCAGCCTTCGCGTTCGTCTCGAACGACACGCACGGCGTCGCGGCGAAGGTGCGGACCACCTCGTACTCGCCGTTCGGCAGGGCGGTGAAGTGCTGCTCGGACTGCTTTGCGTCGTGGAGGCCGCCCACCACGTCGTAGAGGAACACGTTCACCTGCACGTCCTCCTCCGTGCGCGATGCCTGGCGCTCCACATCGTCGTAGACAAAGTGGATGAAGTGGTCGCTGTCCACCGGGCCGGTGAGGAACGACTTGCCAGCCGGGAAGGCGGCCTTGAGGTCGGCGTACTCCTGCGCCACGATGTCGCTCGTCTCGCCCTCCGCACACCATGGCGACGTGGTGTTCCGGCGCAAGTAGGACGCCCACTCCACCTCGACGCTCTTCGACGCCAGCAGTGCCAGCGTCGGCTTCAGTAGCTGGTGCAGCATCACCTCCGAGGCGGAGGTCACGATCATCTTGTTGGGCGTCAGAATGAGAAGGCTCTGCGTCATCTCCATCGCCAGCAGACCGTCTGCCTGGAAGGCGCGCTGGAGCTCTTGGTGGACGGCGGCAAGCACCTCCTCCAGCTCCGCCACGGAGAACATGGTGGACGCAACGGGAGCCGCAAAGTCCAGCTCCAGGCGCTTCTCCAGTCCACTGTCGCTGTAATCGGTTGGGTTCGCAAAGCCTCCCCAGAGCGACATGAGCGCATGGACGGAAACGGGGAACTCATCGCGGGAAGATGCCCAGGTCGGAGAGGACATGGTGACTTCAGAAACACGCAAAGAGAAAAAAGAAGACAAGAAGAACGGGTCGGTGTAGGCCGCAAACGCTGTGTCTTCGCGGTGAAAGCGACTGGTCGCGGCACAGTCGCAGAAAGTGAAGGAAGCGACGGAGCGGAGAATGAAAGAAGAAACCAAAACTGGCAGAAAGGAAGGAAACCAAAGCGAGATGTTCTCGATCAGAATATTAAGCGCAAAATGCGGTTGACTTTCAGGGGTTGGGTGCGCACATGCGTAGAACACAGAATGTATGTGACAACAACGTAGTCAGCGCAAAAAAATTATTTGGTGATCGCGTTGCCGAAAGAAGAAGAAAAAAGGAAGCGACGGAAATTTTGTGGAGACAGGAGCAAGAGAGAAAAGAAGGTGGAAAAGAAAGAAGAGATCACTACGCCACAGGCGTTGAGCATATTCGAAATTTGCGACCTCAGTCTAGCCGTTCGCTTTCTTCTCGAGCTTCGCCCTCACCGTTAAACAGCCTGCAAGCCTCTAGCAAGTTGTCCTTGCTTTTATTAGCTGCATGGAAATGCGAGGTCCTTGTCCGCGGTTGCTCTGCAATCTCCACTGCCACGACAGTCATGCAAAGAGCCGGTGTGAAATGCGACCAGGAGGCTGGCACGCTTTGTTTTTCGATTCGCTGCGCGCCACCAAACAGTGGCAACGCAACGCACCATAAACTCCTTGTTACATCTCTACAATGAATTTTACTGCGTCACCGGGGAGGCAAGCACATCAACAGAGAAAGCTATACAACACGGTTTTGTACTCGACTAACCACTTAAAACGTTAGAAACTATATATCGGGTAGACGCGGAAACCAACAATGGTGCCACTGTGAGCTTGATACAACGAGCGAACAGAGAAGGCAAACACAAGACAGAGGAATAGCCCCACGTCAAGTGTTCTGCTCTCTGAGTCTCTCTCACACCTGCATCTTCGCATTGGGGCATAGTTAAACACACACACACACACACACACACACAGCACATTACTCAAATTACGACACACCTCACAACTTTTATTTCACGGCTATTAATTAGGAAAGCTTTCTATATATATACACCCCCATTAATTGAACAGGTAAGGAGAGAAGAGTGATACGGGTGCTTTAAAGCATCGGAAAACTGAAAGCATTCAGTAGAAGATAGTCAGTCACGTCTTTTTCAACATTATTGTTTTAGGTTGCGCATCTTCTCCAGACCATCGCGCAGTTGCGTCTCCTGCGTCTCGAGGGTGTGCAGCTTCTCAGCGTTGGCAGCGCGAATCTCCCCTGGTACCTTCGTCTCGTAGTTCGGAATGGACATCTTCTTCTTGGTGCCCTCGATCTGCTTCGTCAGACCTGCCAGCTGCTTCTCCACCTTCGCCACCTCCTTGTCCACGTCGATGAAGCCCATTAGCATCATGTTCACACCAACCTCCTTCGTCACGACGGAGAAGCCGCAGCCCTTCGGGACGGCCGCCGCCTCCTCCGCCGGGGCGACCACCGTCACCTCGCCCACGACACCGAGTGTGGACACCATCTGCGTCTGCGCCGCGAAGAGCTCGCGCAGCTCGGGGGTGTGGGCGGTAATCCACACCGCCGGCTTGTGCTTGTTTGTCAGCGAGTACGACGCCTTGGTCGAGCGCACGTTGTGCACCACGTCGAGGACGATCGACATGGCTGCGTCGACCTCGCCGCTCGCCCACCCGCTCGCCTCCGGATAAGGGGCTAGCATGATTGTCTCATGAGCGAAGGTGCTGTAGTTTGGCAGACGGTGCCAGAGCTCCTCCGTCACGAAGGGCATCATGGGGTGCAGCAGGCGCAGTCCTACCTCGACGACGTAGAGCAGCACATCCTGCACGAGCTGCTTCTTGTCGCTGCCGCTCTGGATCGTCGGCTTCGTCAGCTCGAGAAACACATCACACAGCTCGTAGAGCCAGAAGCGGTAGACGGCGTTGGTGGCCATGGCGAAGTCGTACAGACCCACTGACATGCCCTGCGTGGCCTCGCTGATCGCCACGTCGAGGCGCGAAAGAATCCAGCGGCACTCCAACGGCAGGGCGGCGGCGTCCGCGGCGGGGTCGAACTGCTGCTTGCTCGGCACGTACTCGGTGCCGAGGGCGTGGTAGAGCACGTAGCGCACGACGTTCCACAGCTTGTTGCCGAACTGGCGGTAGGCGACAATGCGCTGAATGTCCAGGTTCACGCTGCGGCCCGACTGGGTGTAGGAAAGCAGACCGAAGCGGAGGGCGTCGCTGCCGCACTCCGGGATGCCGTCCGGGAAGAACTCCTTCTGCTGCTTGATCGCCTTCTCCACCTCCTTGTCGCTCAGGTTGCCGCTGCGCACCGTCTCGTTCAGCGTCTCCAGCGACACACCGTGGATGACGTAGAGGGGGTCGATGACGTTGCCCTTTGACTTGGACATCTTCTCGCCGTTCTTGTCGCGCACCATGGCGTGGAAGAAGACCTCCTTGTAGGGCAGCTTGCCGGTGAGGTGCAGCGACAGCATCACCATGCGCGCCACCCAGAAGAAGATAATGTCGTGTCCCGTCTCCATCAGCGTGTTCGGGAAGAAGCGCTTCATGTCGTCCGAGTCGTTCGGCCAGCCGATGGTGGAGAAGGGCCAGAGACCGGAGCTGAACCACGTGTCCAGCACGTCCGGGTCCTGCTCGAACTCCGCCGTCGCCAGCTGCTCATCCGTCAAGTTGAACTTCGCCTTGGCCTTCGTCTTCGCCTCGTCCAGGTTGCGAGCCACCACCCACGGGTCGGCGTGATCAGATGGGAGGGCGTTCACGACCTTGTAGGCAGGGATGCGGTGACCCCACCAGAGCTGCCGCGATACGCACCACGGCTTGATGTTCTCCAGCCAGTGGAACCACACACTCTCGTGTGAGGCGGGGTAGAGGCGGAGCTCCCCGTTGCGCACCGCCTCGACGGCGCGGCGGGCCATGTCGGAGCAGTCCACGAACCACTGCGGCATCAGCATCGGCTCCACGATGTCGCCAGTGCGGGTGCACCGGCCGACGCGGTACTCGTACGGCTCCACGCCGCGCAGTAGGCCCATCTCGTCCAGCTTCTTCACAATCTCGCGACGGCAGTCGAAGCGGTGCATACCTGTGAAGGGCTCCATCGTGACGTTGCCGTGGAGGTCCATCATGACGAGCCGCGGCAGGTTGTGGCGCCGGCCGGACTCAAAATCGTTCGGGTCGTGCGCCGGGGTGATCTTCACGGCACCGGTGCCGAAGTTCATGTCCACCAGTGTCGCGTCCAGCACGATGGGAATGGTGGCATCGCGGAAAGGGCACTTGAGGCTCTTGCCGTGGAATTTCTTGTAGCGTTCGTCGTCGGGGTGCACGGCGACGGCGGTATCGCCCAGCAGCGTCTCCGGCCGCGTCGTTGCGATGACAATCTCGTCGTCGCTGTCCGACAGCTTGTAGGCGACGTGGGTGAGGGTGCCCATGTCCACCTTGCGGTCGTAGCCGGGGATCGACACCTTCGCCGACTTGGGCACCTCCATGAACTCCACCTCAAGGTCGGAGATGGCGCTCTGCAGGGTGCAGCACCAGTTCACCAGGCGGGTGTCGCGGTGCACCAGGCCGTCCTCGTCGAGACGCACGAACGCCTCCAGCACCGCCGCGGACGACTGCGCGTCCATCGTGAAGCGCTCCCGCGTCCAGTCGGGGGAGATGCCAATCTCGCGGAACTGCTTCGTGATCATGCCAGCGTGGTTCTCCTTGAAGTGCCACAGGCGCTTCATGAACTCCTCGCGGCCCAGTTGGTGGCGCGTCTTGCCCTCCATCTTCATCACGCGGCGCTCGACCACGACCTGCGTGGCGATGCCGGCGTGGTCGGTGCCGGGCACGTAGAGCGCGTTGTAGCCTTTCATACGGTGGAAGCGGGTGAGGCAGTCCTGCACGGCGCCGGTCAGGGCGTGGCCGAGGTGCAGGAAACCTGTGACGTTCGGTGGCGGGGCGACAATCACAAACGGCTTGGCCGTCGTCTCCGGATTGGTGTCGGAGGCGGGCCGAAAGAAGCCAGACTTCTCCCACCACTGATACCACCCAGCCTCCACCGACTTCGGGTCGTACGTGGCCGCCATCTCAGGAGCCAAAGACTTCATCATGAAGAAGCAACGTCGAAACGTTTTCGTATTAATTTTCTTGAGTTTTTCTTTCTTGCAACGCTCAACAAAATAAGGCCAGACGCCGAGCTCGAATAAGCTCGATTAATAACCCAGAAAAAAAAGAGGCAGCTTGCGATTCAGCAACAACTCCCGAGTTCTGCGAGATGGCCCACGTTAGCGCGCACACACTCGCAAAAAGGGAAAGGCGATTACCGACACCGTATTATAAAAGAGAATCCGAGAGAAATTCTTCCTGCTTTTGCGGCGAAGTGAAATCAAAAGTTTTACGTGGTGGAGAAAACACACGGCAAAACCACGAACATGTGAAGCGATGCGCATGATGGAAGATAACCCGTCGGCGTGCGATTCCAGAGAATAGGCAACGAAGAAGAGCAGACAGAGCGGAGAGAAGGAAAGAAAAATGTATGCTGACAAAGGAAAGAAAATGACATATCAGAAATGCTGCTCTGCGGTTCGTGTACATCGCGCAAACAAAAGCAACGCCAATCCATCTTCTTTGGTGTTGCTGCTGCAGGGTATAATGGCAGGAATACATTTTGCGGACGTCCCTGCATTACCCATGCCCCGGTTGTTGCCTTCCACCGGGCGCCTCTCTGCGAGATGGCGCCGCGGCACCGAAGAGGAACTCGGCGTTGCCCACTTGTACCACGAAGCACTCCTTCTCCAGTCCGCCAAAAGTCGAGACTGGAAAAGGGCGAAACTACCACCGAGAAAAACAGTAGCTGTTTCCCTACACGGACTGTGTGGCGCGCAAACCCTTTGTGCGGTGCATGGAGGTTCTCTGGGTTTTTTGTTTTGACGAGCCTCAGATGTCAAGAATAGAGAAAGCGACGGGAACCATCATACGTAAGAGATATTTTCCAATATATATAAATTACTGGCCCTTTTTCCGTGTTTATCTGCTTATGAATGGCACCACTTAAAAAACTGAGACGCATAGAAGAAAAACAAAGAAGCGCAATCATTACCAAGGAAGAATAACTTTGCGTGCGAGTCCCTTCATTATTTTCGCCCGTGATGGCCGAACACAACGCGTTACGCTGATTGCTTTTGACAGATTCACCGACCTCTCTCAAGCACCTGAGATACATCCAAACTCTCCCGTGGCTCACATTGAACGTTTTCCTGCTGCCTTCGTCCTTGAGGAAGCATTTTATATACAGTTGGCGGCGAATCGATTGAAAACAACAAAGAAAAAAGAAAAAAGAATGCACCTCTTCAAGCAAAAAAAAAAAGAGAAAAACCTATCGCGGAAGCATGACCACACTTTTCTCCACAGTTGCGCTAGCATAATCTCGTCAGCGTTGCTGCTCCTAATCAGCTTTGTGAAACCGAAATAAAAACCGCTAGACGCCTTCTATGCGCACTAACTGACAGAAGTGTAGCAACGCCGTGAAGAGGAAGTGCGCAGTCAAGCGTCCGGCTCAGGTGCCACACCGCTAAGTATCACGCCTTCATCATTCTTTCTTTGGCATTGTTTGTTAATATGACTATTACTGTTTTGAAAGGAAAAATGAGAAATCCACTCTCTACGACGGCGAAAGCAACACACACACCCACAAAAAGAAAAGAGAAGCGCCAGTTGCGGCCCTGAAAGCTTGCAGCACAAATGTGTGTCATCGAAAAAGGGGGAGCTGCTGGAAGAAAGCACAAACAATGAATACAAGCAACGCACACATGCCTTGTTGAAGAGGGGTAACCAAGTGTCTCTTTCGTTTGGTTTTTGGGGTTGTTACTGCTTACCCACATTGTAGGCAGCTGTCCAGCACGATCACGTTAACATATACGAGGACAGCTATCTACGCGGAGCCCACAAAGAGGGAAGAGAGAGAGAGAGACTGTGCTGCGACGCGGTGCACGGCAGAGAGCAGCCACCGCCAGCAAGAGGAGGTTTACCGGAAGCAGCAACGGGGTTTTTTTTTGTTGTTCACTCGTGTGCATGCTGATGAATGTGTAAAAAGCAGAGAGAGGCAACTTCGGTCCAGCAACGCCAAAACAAAAACAAAATAAAAAGAATGAGAACTAATAACAATCGAATGCGTACAAAGATCGTTGGCGACATTGGCGCGCATATGTCCCAGACACGGAAGTAGGATAAAAGGTTGTGAAGCGTGGAAAAATAAAAGGCAAGAGAAAAGCAGCGCTTTCAGAAGCACTCACCATCAAGACGACGGTGAGCTCTTGCTCCTTTGATCCGCCTTCATTGCTGATCCCGTGCGACTCACACACGCGTTGAAGAAACCCGCGTGTGACGCCGCGCGCACATTACACCACGCAGCGAAAACACATGACAATACGGAAGACCAACAGCAGAAAGGAAAGAAACAAACAACGAGGCCGATTTCACAGAACGGCGTCGGGCATTTTTTTCTTTGTAACGCCAGAAAAAAAAGGGTGGAGGGGTATTCCAACATCAGGAAGAATTCAATTGCGAGGAAAAAAGAACACTTCCCTCTTCGCAGCAAAGCCAATTTTTTATTACCGCAGGAATATCGCATTCACACACTCTTACACACACACACACACACACGGCAAACCTGGAGAGCAAGTAGAGAAGGCCGGTTGATTTACGCATAGGTGACACATCAACCACTACCTCATTCTTTTTTTCCAATAATTTGACGTTTGCTCTGGTTTGAGCGGGCGCTGTGAAGACATCAGACGTGGACGAATGCATAAAAAGAAAAAAAAGGAAAAAAAGAAATCTTAAATCTTAGCAGAAGCATCAACCCAATAAAATCATAGGATAAATCAACGCAAATATATATATAAAGCACGAAACAAGAACGAAGGGAAAAAAACTGTTATGTTTGGCGGCGGTGCATGCGACGATCATAATCCAGCTAGCAGTACGATTGTTTTCGCTCTTCATGTCGCTGCGCCCAGCAGCTCCATTTTGTGTTGAGACGGATCTTTATTCCCTCGTCAGGTATTTCTGCAGGTCGGGTCTCGTTCCACGCATACAAAAAAAAAAAGGGAAGTAATCTTAGTGGAAAAACACTAGAAAAGAGAAAAGAGAAAAAAAGAAGGCCTGTGTACGTGTCGTAACTTCTGCGAACCGTTTGAAAGAATGGTGTTCGTCGCCCATTGATGTGTCGCTCCACTGTCATCTTCTTTTCTTTTTGCTGTTTCCTTTTTTTGTTTTTGGTGGAACACGAGCATACAACCGCGGCAAGAGAAGGAAAGAAAAAACTCTTTTTAACATATCAATTACTTTCCTCACATCAACGACTCAACACTGTCAATACCTAAAAATGAAAAAGAAAAAAGAAACATAATTTTATTGTTCTTCTGCGGTGTAATTTCAAACCCTCTCCTGGAGCCCACTTGTAAACTGAAGGAAGAGAGCACTTAAAAGAAAATTACGTTATAAACTCACACATTTTGTCTGGCGAGAGAGAGAAGGAAAAGATGATTCTGCACAAACTTGTCGGAAAGCACAATGAGGACGACATGAGTTGCTCGTGTTGATGACGTTGCTTGTTTTTTTTTTTTCATGCGTGCGTGCGTGTGTGTGTTTTCCAGAAGCAAATTACCTTTGCATGTGGAAGCGGTTCACACTGCCGACGAGCAAAAGGAATGAGGTGTCGCTTCTTGGGACTAAAGAGCTTTTTTCGTATCGTTCTTTATTTTCACTCATTGCTGAGCTCCGTCCGCTTCCACTGAAAGAGAGCACTCGTCCCCAATGCCCGCACCAGAAATCAATCTCTTTCCTCTTCACGTCTTTCCTTTGAGTTCATTTAAAAAAAAAAAGGTCTCACAAGCACGCGGCTACCAATTGAAAACAAAGACGCGCGAAAGTGCAGGTGCACAGGTTGACTGGCTGCTCCTTACAGAGGTCATCTACCCATGCATCAGCTTCTGCCTGTGTTTCAGAGAAGAAGAGAAAAGGGCTCGTTATCACAAACGTTTTTGCGAAGTCACCATCACAACTCGCTCGCCCAGGAAAAAAAAATAGGCGGTGAAATGAGGGAAAAAGGCAACAAGAGAAAAACAAAAAGAGAAAAGAAATAGAAAAGAAAAAATGGCGGAGAGCGTCGTAGTGCACAAAGAGTGTGTAGCAACGTTGCGCGGAAAGAGACGCCGCAAAGGGAAGGAGCAAATAAAGTAATGCAGCTCCCCCACACGAAGAACGGCATCAAACCCTTTTGAACCCTCTTTTCCTTCCTCCTTCGCGGTACACGTTTTAGTCCCCTGAGACGGACATCGTGGCATATACGTTCTGTTGCATGCAAACGATGCTACATGTGTGTGCGAGTGCTTCTCTTCCCTTTGAACCACTACGACACAGCTGACCGCCCACTACCATTATATATATAAGCAGATCTCACCTAAAAAAAGGATAAAAAAAAACTCAACATGCCAAGTTAAGTTAACAGCTATACTTATGCATAGGATAATATCCATATATATATATATGAAGGCCGACCAACGCAGAATTCGAGTGTTCATCTAACCCCCCCCCCCAAAAAAAAAAAGGTCTCAGAAATTCTATTCCCCTTTTCTTGAATTTGTTTTTCTGAGTCGAAGAGAAGATAAAGAAGAAAGATCTCATTTTTTTTGTTGTGGCTTTTTGTTCTTTTTACGTTTTTATACTCTGCTCCTCCGCCTGTTGTGGTGGTGGGATTTTTTGTTTGTTTTGCTTGTTTGTTGTTTTCATCGGCTGCTTCGTTCGATTTACACTTTTTCTTTGAATTTTTCTTCCTACCGCCCTCGACTCCGATTATCTTCAAGAAGAGAAAAAGAGGGGCTTTTCTTGTCCACGCCTGACAAAACCAAAAATAATAAACAAAGGGGAAAAACAAAAACAGTGTGTTGACGCTTCCTCTAAAGAAAAAGAAAAGAAAATAGCTTTCGTGTTTTACGTGCCGCATTGCGGCCGTGCTGCTAGCGCTCGCGTGTCCGTCGCGCAGCAGATGGGTGCGGTTCGACTATTTTGCATTTTCTTCTGTCTCCCGCTCGACACGCGTGCCTCGCAACGCACACCACATCGAGAAATCACGTCTACTGTGGAGAATAAAAATGAAGAAAGTATGTATGCTGAACAGGAAAAGAAGAACGAGAAAAGGGTAGGGCCTTGCAATTCTGTGCTGGTGGTGAAGTAGGGAAATGGAAAAAAAAAGAGGCGGTGGTGCGCGGCAACGCGCTTTCAGTTGCGGTCTCTTCTTCTTTCTCGTTTGCCGTAAAGGAAGACGCAGCGATACGAGAGATGGTGTGCGCCGCAGCGCACGCATACGCAGCACGCATTTCAAGTCCTCTTTTACACCTCTCGTTGCACCTTTGCTTCCTTTAAACCTTATCCTACCCCAATGCGACGGCCCCAACGTTCCAGATTGCTTGCCAGGAAAGAACGCTTGGATTCTCCTTTCCTCGTCGTTTTTCTCGTTTGCTTGTTTTTACAAGAACAGCTTGCCGGACTCCTGAAGCTTCGACAGCGTCTCTACCTGCGCGTTGCGGCGGCGCGTCATCTCCGCATCGCAGTAACCGTAGGCCCATTGGCGAATGTTGCCGTCCCACAGCATCATCGACGACAGCTTTGCGATGACACTCTCGTATGGGTCCGGAGAGAGCGAGAAAATGGCCTTAGAGCCGTAGTACTCTTTGCCGATGGCGGCCATGATCTTGCGCCATAGCTGCCGGTTTGCCACGCGGTGTGGGTCGCGGTAGTAGGCCACGCTGATGAGTTGACGCAGCATGATTTGGTGATCCTTCCGACCCACCATCGCCTCCTTCGACAGGCGCAGAATGGACTTGTTCAGCGAGTTCTGATGCGCCGCCGTGATGCACTGGCGGTCGTGACTGCGGTCGGCGCGAGTGGGGCCGTAGCGGAGGCAGCTGCGGCGCTCCTGGCGCTCCCGCTCCGCCAGCGTCGTCGGCGTCTCCTCTGCGCCGTCGTTGAACTCGTCCTCCTCCTCATCCCCCTCGTCCTCGGACGACTCGACGAATATGTTGCTCCCCTTCACCACTAAACTGTCTGTGCGCGGCGTGAAGAGTGGCCCAACAGAGCTGGCGATGGAGGAGAAGCTTTGCTCGAACTGGTCACACGGCGAGGACGGGTCGGAGTCGTCGGATGACAGCATCACCGTCACCATGCTTTCCGCCTCAACAGACATAGTAGTTGACATTGCTGTTGATGTGACTCTTTTTTTTCCCTTCTGTAGCTGCCTGTTTAAGGAGTGTGTGTTTCCTTTAATGAAAAGCGCACTTCTTCACTTTCGATAGTGCAATTGTGTAAGCGGCGTTGCGTGCGTGTGTGTGTGTGTACTTCGTTTGGGAGTCGAAACCAAAAAAAAAGAGACTACTTTTCTTTCAGATGTGATTTGGCAAGCTGACTTTGAACGAAGAATACTTGAGGGCAGTGGACGCGTTTTCTTTTCGTTGAAGACGTGAAGGACAAGACAGCAGGAAAAAAAAAGAGATCGCAAAAACGGTATGTCGTGTACTGGACGGGGTTCCCTCGAAAGAGTCACCAGTCGCTGCGAAATGGGTAAGGTTGGGCGTCAGTGAACGGATAGGAAAAACGACGCCGAGTGGGAGACAGTTAAAAGACGGAAAAAAAATGCAATACAATACGAACGACAATTGTCAAAAGACGACGTGCGGCAACAGAAGCGTGAGAGGAGACGTGGAAGAAATAAAAGTACGAGTGTTCTGTGAAGAAGGAGACGGCAGCATGAGCAGCGCACGGTAACGCATTTGAGCACGCCTCAAAGCTCCTCGGCAACGTTTTGTCGAGTGTTGGTGGGCAAACAACGATTCAACTTTTCCATTTTTTGTGGGGACGGGACCTCCCACGAAAGAAGCCACGTTTGTTTTACGGAAACTAGCGCAGACACCCAGCACGTCGCGATGTGTTTGCGTGTTTCACGTGGCCGGAGAGCAGAAGTGCGGCCGCAACGACGCCAGCCTCTGCGTTGTTTCGCGTCACGAATGGCGCTACGCGGCTATCCAACGTAGACACGTGGGACCCATTAAACGATAAGCAAGTGCCTTCCCTTTTTCTTTTTAGAACCATTAGTGAAGTTAATAGTACGGAAACAACAACAAAAGAAAACACCACCACAAAGCGACACAGAGAGGGAGAGAGAGGACACCCATCGCTTTTTGTTTTCTCCCACAACACACACACACACACACACACGCAAACACAAAGGACACGAATACACCAGCGCTGCAAAAAGAAGAGCAACGATCAAAAAACGACGTAGCGACATCGCTGCCACAACGCCGTTCGTCCTCCAATTTGAAAAAAAAAACAAGAACACAGCGACAGATTTCTCACGGAAACAATTGCATTCCAGAAAAGACCCTTAAACACCCTTTTTCTACGGCCCCCTCCACCTTCAAAAAAAAAGGGGTCAGGCTCTGCACTCCTTGCACGGACACGCACGAAAGCTGTTAGTAAAAGCCCAGAACAGAACAAAACCGTGAGTGCGTATGGGATGGAGTGCGCCTATGACAGATGCGAAAACAAAACAAAAAAAAAACACCGCGAAACAAAGAGGGAGCAGAAAATAAAGAGAATACGTTGCGGCGTGGTCTGCGGAGCGGCAGACCCTCTTCCTCCTCCTACCGACTAGCCGCTGCCTAACGAAGGAAACGATTGGCCATTGACCGTTGCCGACCGCCATCGCATAGCCGCGGCACGCCCCCCACAGCAGCCGTCGCTCTCTCGTTCGAGCAGCTTCACTTGGCCTTCAGCTCTCTAGTGCATCTTTCTAGATTATTTTGTGGCTGGTGTTTTTCCTGCTCCCGTGAAGCCATCTTGTCTCCTTACTTGCCTCCCTTGGTACGGCGCAGCAGGGCATCCACCTCACTCTGCTTCACGCGGTACAACACGTAGGGGAACAGCGCAGGGATGGCGCCTAGGAAGATGTACGCCGTGAACTCCTTGATGTAGCGCGCATGCAGACGCTCGTAGCGGTCGCGGGTGAGGACGGAGATGACGCCGCGGAAGCTCTCGTCATCGACGCCCTCGCCATAGAAGTACGCGTCGCCCTCGCGGATGAAGTTGCTGAGGGCGGTATGCGACGTCGCGGCGTTGCCCTGCTCCACGTTGTAGGTGACCACCGCAACGGAGACGGGGTAGTTGCCCAGCGCACGCGGCGTGACGGTGTAGCGCAGCGTCTCCGAAGCACCGTAGGGCAGCGCCGCGACTGATAAGGTCTTGGCGCCCTCCTCCAGCTGATCCACCACCTCCACATCGAAGGCGGGGCTCTGACCGAGATTCGTGACCGTCACTACCACCTCCACCGAGCTGCCGAGGATGATGTCGTCACTCGACGTCGTCTTGGACACGAAGAGCACCGGGTGCGGGTTGATCTCCGCCTCCTCGGCGATCTGCGCAAAGCACGTCGTCGCCACCAGTGCGACGAGGCACAGAGAAAGCAGCGCCTTGAACAACGTCATGGGAAGCAAGCACTGCCAAGCGGGAGAGAGAGCTGTGTACCTATAGAGAAGAAGAGAGAACAACGAAAGCCGTAGAGAGACTTGTGTTACCCAAATATATAAAAAAACGATGTGTGCAAATGGGCAGTTTTTCTTTTCGGTGTTGTTGTTTTAGGCTCTATTTTTTTTTTGGTTGTTCCGCAACGGTGGCAGCAGCGGATTAAGAAACGACCAGACAAGGAGTGAAAGTGAAAGGGAGAAGCCATCGTCGTCACACCAGCAGCAACACATTGACACACACGCACGCACACACGCATCCACCTAGATGACGCAGTTCGGGTTCAAATTGGTGGAGCTCTGGAATGGATACAACATCCTGTAAGTCGCGCATCGACGAAGGATGCGCCTGCTTGTAAAACGTGCATCAGGAAACCACAGCAGGAGAATAAAGAAGTACTGTTATTTTCTTGTATTACACACTTAACACTCTAAAGCAGTTCCTCTGGGACAGAAAGAAAATTGTGAAGGGGGGAAAACGCCGCTTTGCTGGGGTGCTTCACCGTATCTGCAAACGCATTACAGTACATAGGTCAGAACATGAGCGACTCCAAGTCTTCGATAGTCATGTCGGCAAGTTCGACGTGGTGCTCCGCTAAGCGGCGGCACACCTGCTGCGCACCGTGCAGGTTACACAGGTGGTCAAAAGCGTCGCGGGCGGACGCCGTGATTTTGCCGATGTCCACCAAATGACCCACGCAGCGGTCCACGTAGGACCAATCCCCCACGTCCACGGCGTACGACAGCAGCGGGGCAACGACGTCCGCGTCGCCCAGGACGCGGGCCTGTTCCAAGTGCTCCGACAGCTTCTGCAGACTGCAGCCCTGCTTGAGAATAAACGGTAAAGCCTCGTGATAGGGCACAGCCTTCTTGGGGCAGGCGGAGATCATGTCCAGCACTTGCTCCCACGTGCATTGCGATATAAGGGGCCACAGCGCGATCAGCTCCGCCCGCGACATCCGCGTATTGCGCAGCATCTCCACCGCCACATCCGGCCGCTTCTGCAGCAAGGCAATCTCAAGGAGGTTGCAGCGCGTCACAGTGACAAAAGGGACGCTGTTGACAAGCTTTTCCTCCCACTCAGCCCCAGCGGCCTGCAGCAGCACCGCACACGCCTCCGCCATGCTCACCTGCGCCACCGGCGTCGTCACACGAGCGCCCCTGAAGGCGGCACTGATGGTGGCCCCGTCGCCTTTGTTTAGCGCCTCCCAAAAGAGGGACCACTCCACGTCCTCCGCTTTGGTCCGCTGCAGGGCGGCGGAGAGGCGCACCTTCTCGTTGAAGCGCGCCTTCACGTCCTCAACGCCGACCCCAGTGTAGTGCATGATCGACTTCAACAGGTCAAAGGTGTCGGCCGGGGGCGTGTGGTAAGGGTGGCGTTGGTAGAGGTGAAGGGCGCGCTGCCAGTTGCCGGACTCGAGGGCGGCGTGGAAGGACGCCGGCAGCGGCGCGGCCTTCCACGCCCGCTCACGCGCGTGTTGCTTCATCTGTGCCAATTGTTTTCCTCTTTTTCCCGACGAAGAGAAGCGTTCAAGTCACGGCTTTATCGCCAAAACGCAAGAGAGAGCTGATGAAAAGAAAAACGGCGCTTTCTGTGGGAAAGAGCTTCGATGTTCGGACAGGGGAAGCACTGCTCAAAAGCAAGCATCAGATTTTAAATACCTTCTACAAATCCACGTTGCACGAGCTGGCAGCAGGAACAGTGAAGAGAGCAGCATATTGAACAGTGAAGGAGAAGAGGAAAGATAGTGAGGATTTCAAAAGAATAATAATAATAAACCCATCATATTTGTTTTGTGTGTGGAGCAGACAAGTTCTGCGAGGGGGAGCTCCTTCTGTGTGCTCGGCACAGCACAGGAGCAAGGGAACGGCGCATCTCCTCTCAAATGAGGGAGAGAGCCGATTCGAAATGCGCTGAAAAACAGAAAAGGAAAAAAGGGCGGGGACACTTCGACCTAAGCCGTACCAAGAACTCCTCTCACAGGTGTTATTCTTTATGGCGGCGTAAACAATACATGTCAACAGAAAAGATCAAGACACCGTAGCACCAACGGCTATCAAATGAGAAACAAGAAGGAAAACTGTCTTGGTACCTCAAGACCTATGTACATACGGCATTTAACACACGCAAAAAAAAAAGACAGAAACAAGCGGAAAGAGCTCAGCACAGCCAGAGAGGTTAACATCTTCAACGAATCAACGAAAGGGAAAGCAAAGGACGGCATTGCACCCTCTCAAGATGAAGCAGAGAAACAAATGGTGTCTTTGGGGCAAGAATTAAAAACGAATACGGTCACTGCATCATCTGCACGTGCTTCTCACTGACGACCTTTTCTTATTCCTACGTCGGCAACGACCAAAGGCGCCTACGGATGAGGGCTGGCCTGCTTCATCTGCGGGAAGAACCGTGCCTTCTCCTCCTCGCGAAGCGCACGTACCGGGGCGTACGAGCCGAGCTTTGGCAGGTGCTCCGCCAACAGCTGCGCACGAGCGCGGCGGATGTACTCCTGAATCTCCTCCTCCCTCTTCCTCGCCTGCGCATCGACCTGCCGCTCCAGCTCCTTTTCCTTCTCCTTCAAGCGCTGGCGCTCCTCCATCCGCTGCTGCACCTCGGCAATCATCTGCTGCTTGAGTTGCGCCTGCTTCTGCTTGTTGTACTGCTCCAGTTTTGCCTCGGCGGCCAGCTGCTCCATCGCCTGCTGACGGAAGCGCAGCTCCTCTGCTGCCTCGGCCTCCCTCGCCAGGCGGCGCTGCTCGATGAGCTGCTGGTTCTCGCGGGTGATGGCAGCGGCCATGCGGTCGCGGCTCGCCTGCTCTGCCTGTCGCAGCGTTTGTTCCTTCACCAGCCGCTCCTCCTCGTAGTACTCCTGAAGCAGCGTCTCGAGCTCGATCTTCTTGCGCTCCTCCTCGGCGATGCGCCGGCCCTGCTCTTCGAGGATACGCGCCTTGACGGCATCGCGCTCACGTGACATCTTGTCGCTCATCTCGCGCCTACGGGACTGCTCATCGAGGTAGGCGCGAATGGCGGCCTCCTCCTTCGCCTCCCGGTCCTGCTCCGCCTTCTTGATGGCTTGGCGCAGGCGCACAAACTCGTCCTGCTCCTGCATCATCCTGCGCTGCTTGTCGCGGCGGGCGAGGGAGTCGAGAAAGTCCTGCTCCTGCACCCGGGCCACCACCGCGTCCACCGCGATGCGCTCCTGCTCCCGCTGCTTCGCTTTCTGAAGGGCGGCCTCGCGGTGTTGGCGGATGAGCTCTAACTGCGCCTCTTGGTGCCGCTGGAAGCGCTCCATCTCCTCCATTTTCTTCTTCTCCTCCTCCTCCTTCGCGCGTCGGTCTTCCTCAGCTACGTAGTCGAGATAGCGCTTCTGCTCGGCGGCCGCCTCCGCGATGGCGGCGCTGCGGTCCGTGACCTGCTCGGCACGTCCTTTACGCAGGTACGCGTGGTTCAACTCGTCTTGCAGTGCACGCACCTCCGGGAACTCACTGGCGAGCTGAAGCATCTTCTTGTCCTTCAACTCCAGCCGCTGCTGCTCTGCCAACTCCGCGGCGAGGGCCTCATCCGCAGCGGCCGTGCGCACCTTGCGATCCCGCATCGCAGCAAAGTTCTCCTCCTCTTTTTGGCGTGCGAGTTCGGCCTGCAACGCCTTATGGCGGTTGACGCGACGCAGCCGCTCCGCACGGGTCTCGCTGGAGCTCATCTTCTAAGCTGTAGAGAAATGTACCTTTTTTGGGGGGAAAGAAAGTTGTGGTTTTTACGGAGCCAAAGTGGCGAGCGGGTTCGGTTCTTGACGGATGCGCAGTGATGGATAGATACACCTACACTCTCCACACAATCCGAACGGGAGAGGGAGCTTCCGTGTGTAAAGCTGAAAACTGCCTTCTTTTGTCGCTGCTGCCACCAAGAGACGCCGTGCTATATCTATCTATCTAGAAGAGAGAGAAAGTGATGGCTGCTGCAACCAACAGCAACAAAGAGGGGCACGACTTTTCTTAATTTCTGGCGGAAAGAAATAAGAATCAAAAAGAGAAGAGGGAGAGGTCGAGACGGCTTACGTAGAGAGACACCAATGGAGGCGCCCCATTGAGCATCGTGACGAGCAGCTGGTGTGCAGATAGGAAAGAAAAAGGATTAGGCCTCGATCTCATCCACCCTGCAGTGAGAATTCTTTGCGGTCACCGTGCAGTTGTTGTCGTCTTTTTGCATTCATCGGAGTAGGCGGAGTCACGCCACTGTTCATAATACGAGACGTAACGGCGCTATCGCTCCCGTTAACCGCAAAAAAGCAGCCGCGACGCCGTGCATCGACGTTTTTCTTCCAGTCAGTTTTGTTTTCCTTTTCTATGTTTATTATTTGTGTTAGAAACGCAAAAACAACGAAGATAAACGATCGAGGGAAATGAACAGTAAGAACAGACTCACGGGACAACAGACGACAAACAATACTCAAAACAAGGAAGAAAGCACACTTGTAGCCACCAGAAGTTCACAACGGGTGAATCTGAGATCTGAGATGCTCGTAGTAAAAGAGAAAAAAAAAACGCGTTAAGATTTATTTCCAAGAGGATACAGGGAAAACGAAAAGTGGACGACAACAGATAACGCTCAACAGACCCAACGACGCGCGGTACGCGTCCCTAAACCGTCTTTCAAATTCCCGTTGCTGGTACAACAAAAGCAACAGAAGCGCGCTGCCGCAACAAGTCGTCAGACACGCCGAAGAAACGTCTCAAAGAAAAACCGTTCCTTAATTCTCGTAGGAATCGCCTCTTAGCGGATAATTTCGTTCTCCGACGGTGGAGGCTGCACGCCGCAACGCTCGAAATTGCTATCAAACTCGTCCAGCGGGATCGGCCGAGGCGGGCGCTTCTCCTCTGCAGCCTTCATAAACTCCTCGCCCACCTGGTGCCCGTACATCGTGACCGCCGGGCTGTCCTTCGAGTACAACACAATCATGGGGAGATTGCGGCACGTCTGGTAATGGCAGTGCAGGGCTGCAACGGCGGTGTCGGCGTCGTCGACAGTGCCGTAGGTGACCTTTGCGTACCGGTGTGGGCCCTCGCCGAACAGTTCCATGTTCTCCACAGCGCCATAAGCGGAGAAGAGGCGTTCGAGGTACTGCGCATTGGCGATGGACGAGATGTTGGACACAAACAGCACAGCCTTGGAGTTCATGATTCGTCGACTGGCACAGGTGGAGTGGACAAAAATTGAAGAGGAGCAACAATCGAAGTATACTTTGCCTGAAACGTGGAAACGACAAAAAATCCCCGCGCGAACTTCGTGGGGTTTCTTTTTGACTTTTTTTTTTGGTGTGGGAGAGAATTAGGTTGAAGCGAGAGAGAGAAAGAGAAGGAGAAGTGAAGAGTAGCTCAGAGTGCATTTCTGTGTCCCCCTTTCCTGTTCCCGTCGTTCGATTATTATTATTATTCTTACGATTATCGTTGTTGTGGCAAAGATGAGAAAGTACGCGCCATGCGAACCACACTCATGTCCGTTGTTCGCGAATTCCGCAGAGCTAACCAGAGAGGGGCAGAGAAGATCGCTTCATCCCACTCTGAGAGTCCTATACGAGGCCTACAAACATGGAAAACGCACGTGTGCTTTTTCTTGAATCATCTCGTTGCAGATATTTATCAGAATGGAATCGATTCGCGCACCCTCCGCGGCGCGCACGCCGCTTTTTCTCTCTCTCTCTCTCTCTCTCTTTGATTCCCACTAGAAATGTTATGGTGACGAGATGTCACACCTCTATCGTGCACTTAAATGTTACACTCAGAAAACTACTGTCGCACGTGTCTTTAGCCTCACCACCAGATGTCTGCTTTTCCCTTCTTCACTACAACGCCGATGGAGCCAGAGAGCAACACACGCAGGTGAGAAGCAAAACAAGCAAAAATAAAAATAAAAAACTCCGCCCATCGATCGTTGGCGCCGAACCAAGCCGGATAAAGAAGCGTTTGCGGACTCAAAGAGGAGGTGTCACACGCAGCTCTTCAAAAAGTGAGCAATGTGACGCTGCGAGTCTCCACCACCGCTGAATTGTTGTCAACTGTGTGTTAGATAAAACGAAAAGTGTCACCGACTCTCCAGTTTTCTTCCATGTTTTTCCTTTTCCTTTTCTTGAGACACCGTACAGCTTTAGAAAAAAAAAAGAGCGAAGTAACAGGGACAAGGCGCGAGGATTCATTCGTGTTGAACCACTCGCCTATCAAAACGAAAAAGATAGCACAGCCTCCTCCTTTCCTATTGCCGTTGTCACTCTGGGTTTAGGGACCAGAAGGCTTGCGGTTTAGCTTCATGTGTGCGCTGAGCAGGTGACCCGCAGCGTGGCCGGCCATGAGGGAAAGCTCGCCGCACATCACCGCACCCGCCACAACACGCGCGATCTGGCGTGAGTTCTCGCCGGGGCTCTCCGCGTTGGCCCCCGCGCACCCCATCAGCTCCAGCATGGCACGCTGTGAGGGCAGACCCGTGCCACCGCCCACGGCGCCGACCTCGATGCTCGGCATGGTGACGCTGAGCAGCATGTCCTCTCCAACTTTGTCGATGGAAGTCATGCAGGTGGACGACTCCACCACCTGCGCGGGGTCCTGGCCGGTGGCGATGTACATAGCTGCCACAACGTTGGCGGCGTGTGCGTTGAAGCCGCCGATGGAGCCGGCCAGCGCCGACCCACGCAGGTTCTTCGACACGTTCAGCTTCACAATGTTGTCGACGGTGCACTTCAGCACCTTCTCCACCACGTCCTTTTTGATGACCGCCTCTGCCACCACCGACTTACCGCGGCCCTCGATCCAGTTCACCGCAGAGGGCTTCTTGTCGGTGCAGAAGTTGCCCGACAGGGAGAGCACGCGGATGGAGGGGATGTGCTCCTTCAGCACCCCCAACGCTTTGTCGCAGCCCTTCGTGATCATGTTCATCCCCATCGCGTCCCCGGTGAAGGCGGAGAAGCGCATGTGGACCTCGCGCCCCGCCATCGCGCATTTTATGCTCCGCAGCTTGCCGAAGCGAGTGGTGGACTCAAAGGCAGCCTTCAACATCTCAAAGTTGTCCTCACAGAACCGGCAGACGGCGATGGCCTCCTCGAAGGAGTCAACCTCCACCACCGGCGCACGCGTCATGCCCTCCTTCAGCAGCGCGGTCCGACAGCCGCCGCTCAGGTTGATGGCACGAGCGCCGCGGTGCGTGCTGGCGACGAGGGCCCCCTCAGTCGTCGCCATCGGCAGCGCCACCTCCTTCCCGTCCATCATCAGCGGGCCTGCAATGCCCACCGGGACGGGCACATAGCCGAGGATGTTCTCGCAGCACTGACCCACCACACGTTCCCAGTTGTAGTTCTGGTAGGGCAGTGTATCCAAGGGGTGCTTAGACGCCGTCGAGGGGCACATGTCCGTCTTGACAATTTCGCGCCGAATGCGGATGGCGCGGTCGTAGTCCGGAGCGAGGGCCTGCTCCAGGCCGTAGAAAGCGATCTTCTTGCTCCGCACCTGCTGGATTATCTCCTCATCGGATTTGGACGCCAAGCTCATGATTTTGGCAGAAGAGCACGCAAGGGCAATCGAGCGACGCATGGTGTCGTAGCAGCGCGGCCGTGTGCCTTTGGGTGAAAGAAGAAAGCGAAAAGGATTACGCAGCAGAAAGACGTTTTCTGTTTTTTTTTCTTTAATTATGGTATACACGGTTATATGCGAGGAAAATAGTTTCGTTAGATCTTGAAAAGGGGGTCTCTTTTATATGTGTAAGTTTGTCTGTCGAAACAGATTGTTTTTGAGGGATAATTAAAAAGCAGGGAGACTGCTTACAAAACTGGCGCGCGATGGAAAAAACCAGGAGGTAATGAATGGACGAATCATGAAAAGCGAAATGTGTCAGTTACGAAAGTTCCTTCCCTTCGCACACAAGAGAGGTATCGGGGATTGTTGAGGATGTTGCACGGGTTTTTATGAAGATCGTGGTCATTTGTTGCGTCGTCCGCATCGTTGATCGCAGCAGGGAGGGGTGCGAAAAACAAAAAAAGGGAGGAATAAAGCAATTGATGCCAAAAGTCATTGAGAGAGAAGGTAGTGGGAAAGAGGGATGAAGTTGCCACGCAAAAACGGCCGATCGCTTCGATGCACGGCAGAGACGCATCGGAGAAATCGATGGGCAATGATACAATCACAACACGCTAGGAAAGAAGGAGATCTAATGGGAAAACAAAACGCCGGAAGTGCGGCGTATTTTTTGTTTCTTCTCGTGGCAGCTGTATGTCGTGAGAAAAAAAAAAGGCTCCTCGAGTCCAGCGTGCGGGCGATGCAACCGCATCTAAAGGCGCAGCAACAGTCGCACTGCTTGAAGCAGACAGATTTCCTTTTCTTTTGAGTCAAAATAATAAAACAGACACTAAATCAGTGATTCGTGAAACGATCATCTTAGTTCTTCTTGCCGGCCGGGCGGTACGGCACCTTCTTCGTGTAGCGCGTCTTGCGGTCCCCCACGGGGCGGGCACGCACGGTGCGGCTGTGGATGGCGCACGCGATGCAGAAGCGCTGCTTCATGTACAGCTTCGGCATGGGGAAGTTCGCACCGTACACCGGGGACGCCTCCGCCACATCGCGGGCAGAAGCGGCATCCAACATGCGGCGCACCACGAAGCGGCCGACCGCCTTGTCCTTGGGCGTCAGGCGACCGCAGTTGAAGCAGTGGACCGGCTTGACGCGGCCGCGGCTGTGCGGGGGCTTCGAACGTCCGTGATTGCGGCGCTTGGTCGTCATGATGATGTCACAAAGCTAGCACGAGCGAGACAAAAAGAAAAGAGTTATTTTTTGGTAGAAGCGACGCAAAAAGCGAAGTTGCAGGGAGCGGGTTGTGAGAAGTCAATATAGGAGAAGAAAGGAAATGAAGAGGAAGGAAACGAAGATGGTTAGAAAACAGTTAGAACAACTGTTGAGAGACGACGCTGGGAGAGAAAAGAAAACGAGGAAAAACCCCTCAATATACGCACACAATACAGAAAGAAGCATCAAGTCCAGCTCCCAGTACTTGTTCCGCTGAGCAGCTTGCACAAGCGACAAATACGCAAAGGACATGCACGAAGAAGTGTCGCGACGTGTGCACACGGGAAACGCGCATGGCAAATAGCGACGTGGACAACGTTCATGTGTTAATCCGCGTTCAGCAAAAAGAAGAAAAGCAAGTGTGATACTTAATCATAAAGAAAAAGACGAAATAGAATAAAGGGAAAAGAGACGACAAGTTGACCGCTAAATATCAAACCAGCGCGCACAGAAGGAACACAAAGGTTGCTATCGATGTTGACTGCGCTCAGAATGCCAGCTCCCTTTCTCTCTCTCTGTCTGTGCGGGCAGGGGGGTTAGCACCCAAGACACTACGACGACGGATCCTCTGGCGGCTCAGAGGCGGTCTCTTCACTCAGATTGTGGTGGTACCGAATCTTTGGTGACGGAAAGTGCACCCGCGAGTTCGACGCCGACGTCGTCAGCGGCGCAGCACCTTGTGGGTCCCACGGCGAGGCCGCGGGTGAACGAAAAGGGATGTCGGGGTACGGGGCGGCCACGTCCGGGGCAGACTCCGCAGGTGGCGATGTTGGCGCCGCTGCATCCGATTTTGCAGTGAACTTTGTCTTCGCGTGCGTTGAGGGCAGCGGTGGAGTCGAAGTGCTCCAGGAGGCAGCAAGCGCCATACGACGATCTGCACCGCTGCTCAGCCGCATTTTTGTCCCCATCGTCTCCGCCGAGAGCATCGGTCCTTTGCTGGACGCGTTGCACGGAAACGGTGGACGCAGCGGCGGCATGCGCGTTGGTTGGTTGTACACACTTGCACGCACCCACGCCGACACGGCAGAGCGCTCCTCCCGTGCCTGTTGGGTCTCCTTGGAGCTCTCCATTTGCTGGAAGCTGTAGGGGTCGAAGTCGCCACCCGTCTCGGCAGCTCGCATCATCGCCGCTAAGCAAGGTTGGCTGATCGGCGCCGGGCCGCAAGAGTGTATGAACCGCGTGAGTCGCTGATACAGCTCCTCCTCCTTGATCGCGTGCTCCGACTGCGCCACTTCCAGCTGCGAAGCAAGAGCGTTGCTCTCCTGCAGCACACGTGCGAGGGAGTTCTGGACAGACTCCAACTGAGAGCGCAACTGCCGCTCATCTGCTTCGTTGGCGGCCTTGTTCGACTGCAAGCGCACCTGCAGCGCCGCCACCTCCGCCTTGCACTTCTGAGCGTTCACCGCCATGTCGTGCGCGATGACGTCGCCTTCGTTTGCGGCGTCGGTCAGACCCTCCTCCACGCCTTGCGCCATTCCCTGCTCGTACGCTTCGACGGCAATGCGTTGCTTGGCCTCCTCGTACTGCCTGCCTCGCGCCGTCAGCTCCTCTATCAGATCTTGCTTCAGCTGCCGCAGCTCGATGGCTGCCTGTTCCCGCTCCTGCTGGATGAGTTGACTGTAATGGGTGGTGTCGTTTTCCATCTTCGCTCTTGTTTGCTGCGTCAGCGTCTCCTTGAGCTGGGCGTCGTCTTGGGTGCGGCGAAGCTCCTCCTGCAGCGTCAGCAACTTGGACTCAAGAAGCTTCCGCTGCGCCGACTCGTCGCCGTAGTTTTCCTGCAGGGTGTGCAATTTCTCTGTGTTGACTTGGTGGTCGTTCAGAGACATCGTCAGGTGTGTTTTTTCCTCCTTGAGTTGTATTTCGTTCGCCCGCGCCATGTTTTTGAGCGCCTGTAGATGCCTGTTTGCGTCGTCAATTTCGCTCCCAAGTCGCACAACTTTCGCCTGCGTATCGGCAAGCTGGCGATCCAGCTCGATGCGCTCGCCAGCACTCTCATCGGCCGCCGCCTGCACCTCGTCTCCAAGGGTCTTGATTGTCTGCAGAAACTTGGACAACCTTGACTCTAGCTCGCGGTTGCGAGCCTCGGCTTCACCAATGAGAACTTTTTTGTCTTCCAAAATCGACTTTTTACTTTCGCTGGAGGCTAGTAGCTGCTCAATCGAGTACTCAATCTGAGCGCTCGTTAAACTCTGCTTGCTCGACTGACGTCGCTGGCGTTTCAGGTCAGAGCTCATGTTATCAACCTCTCGCCGAGCGTCACGTAATTGCTCATTCAGCGTGAATACCTGGTCTCTCAAGCGGTCTACCAGCAAAAACTGATCTTTGCTGAGGCCGTTAGCGGCCGCGGTGGCGGAAGGTTCAGCAGGACCTCCGGTGATCGCAAGCAGCTGCGATGACCCACCTGCAGCGTTGTTCGTACCAACGATTCCTGCCGCGGCGAGATCTTCATTACCGCCTCGCGTTGGGCGGCCCGCGCTGGCTTTTGTCGTTGCTCTCTGGTCCTTGCGCCGCGATACTTCGATGTAGAAACACATGGGTACATTAGGACCGCGGCCGCGCTTCGCCTTCAATGGGATAACTACCAGACGCTGCCCGCCCTCTCGCATGCCAACTGACATTCCCTCAAATCCGCGCATAGAGGCTGTCACGCCCTGATGATTAGCTGGCGCCGCGAACTTGACTGCATCCTCGCACTCCTTCTCGAGAAGGCTTCCAAGCTTTGGAAGTTCGCCTTTCAACTCGCTGCATTGCACGACCCATACACGGTAGAAAGCCTTCACCAGATCACCGACAAAAACCTGCTTACTTTCCTTTCCCTGCGCAATGTCGCACGCAAGGATGTTGTCCTGCGGCTCCCCTGCAGCTCCGAACATGGCCACGACAACTTGGGCACAGAATTCGATCGCACCGTCCTCAGTGCTGAACTGAAGAGACCAGTAATGACTAGCGTCATCACGAAAAGTAACGTACGCCGCATCCCTCGCGATGTGGGCGCCGGTATCGTTATTTGGTTTAATGTCAGCGGTGCAAATGTACTTGTTGTCGCGATAGCATCCTAGTTTATATGTGCATGTTGTGGTTTCTTTGCGTCCAATGACGGCGCAACTAACAGGGCCATACTCGTCGTAATTATTCGTCGCCTCAGAGAACGAGTAAAGCACAACGTTGACAACACAAGTAAAATCGGTGTCCGACATTTTCTTTCCCTTTCCTTGTACACCTAGATAATAAAAAGGATTCGATACAAATAAATACACAATAAAAACCTTAAATTTGTGTAACTGAAGATACGCATCAAATACTCGGTGAGCTCCGTAGTGCTCTGTGCTTTGAAGAGAAGAGCAGTAGAAGAGGAAAAGGGCTTAGAGCAGGAAAATTCGTTTAGGAGAAAACACATTTGGATGTTGCTATAAGCACCTCGGGAAAAATAAAGGTAAAAAGCGACATGAAAGTGATAACTAGCATAACAAAAGCCCATGTTTTACGCTTTTTTGTTGGACTTCCTCCCAAAAGTTTCCTGCATGTCGCATTTCACACGCTATTGGGGAGAGTGTGCGCGTGTTCACTAAACGGCGTGAGACACGCTTAGCGGAAAATACACCCCCGCACGATCAAGCACAGTCACCCGCTTCCACATGAAAGCAAAACCGCTTTTCAGCGCCAAAAATCAACGGAGCAGCCTTGATATTTTTTCTTTAATATGTGATCCAATAACAATTGGAAAACAAAACCGATCAAAAACGTGTCTCCACCAAAGCCTAAACCAAACTCGAAAGCCCGCGAAAGAAAAGAAAAGAAGAAGCCTCAGTTGCGTGTTCTGCACCTACAGCGTCAGCCACTCTTCTTCATTCACGGTCCTTTCCAACTCGCAGTAGTCAACGTCCTTCGTATCGAGTTCCTTTTCGTAAAGAGAACTCCAAGGTGCCGTCTTTGTTACGACGTCGGGTGCCATTTCAAGAACATTCTCTGTGAGACGTCGAAGAGAGGCAGCATCCACGTAATTGGGAGGCAGAAGCACATTGCGGATGCGCACCTTCTCGAACGGAATTCCGAGAACAAAGCTACCGCGGCGCGCTATACCCTCCAGTTGCTTTGCATGCGGTACTTGCCGCTTCCGCAACCAATGACTTTCGGCGGCGATGGTGATGAGGAAAATGTCACTCCCGCGCACGTACATAAAATCGGGAAGGCCATACACTGAGTCGTCCTGCGCAATTTGACCTCTGCTGTCCCCAAAATCAAAGAGAACCTCCTTGCTTGCGTTCACTTGGAGAAGAACGCGGCTGTTGGATACTGGATTTGTGAGATTATTTTTTGCGGCCAAACACTGAACAAGAAAGCGACTGAGAGAAGAGCGATACCCCGAGACGATGTTGAAGCCCAGGAAATCGTGTATGATGTCGATTTGAGGGTAGCGGGAAATAATGTAAGCCTGCAACTCAACAAACGGGTTCGACTCGTCAACAGACAATTTGCCTGTTGACGGATCCTGAACGATAATGTTGTTGAACGCCTCGTCAAATGTTCCTTGCATTCCCAATCCATACATGCAGCAAATGCGGTCCAGCAGACGGTAGTCTCTCGATCCGTACACCTCCAAGCGCAGAAAAGCGTCACGAAGCTCCTTTGCCTTGTTCACCTCGCCCTTCCACCGCAGTTTTGATGCCTCTTCCTGTAGCCACGCGCGTGTCTTTTCGCGTACGCTATCAGCCGATATGCCAGTCAAAGAAACAACAATCTCGATATCGTGAAGGACATGCTTGCGCTCGTCGGCCTGGTTTAAGCAAAAGCTTTTGAGAATGTCCTGCTGCAGCATCACCTTTTCCCGTTCAGCGGGATTCAAAAGGGGTGGAATACGAAATTCCCATTTGTTCAGCCGCCACTTTGCAATGCACTTCTCAGTTTCTTCTAAAAGAGCTAATTCATCTCTGTTGACGGTGTGACTGCCAAATCTGGCAGTCATGTCCTCGTGACTCAGAGCCTTTGCACCGTATGCAGCGTGAAAGCGCAATGCGTTTCCGCTACGGATCACCTGCAAAACACGGAAGCACCGAAACGGAAGAGACATTATTCTCTTCAGCTGTGTTTCTGTTTCTTTTTGTAGGTAGCTGGGTGCCCAGTCTGGGAGGAGAGAAATTAAAGACCCGAAGGCAGAGAGAGTAGGTGAAAGGTATTGCTGAGTAAAACAGGAGGTGATTCAGTCCGCGTTGTTGTACTTGTGACACAAAACATGCGTCAGAGTAGATGAAAAAGGAAACCCCCGTTTTTACAACGGTTCATCATCACGTTTTCCATAGAAGGGTGAATGCTCTTCAGGCACTTGTCGACCAAGAATGAAAAGTGCTTCAGATATGAAAAGAAGATCGGTACTTTTCGCTACCGTTCTCACCGCTTTTCTTGCTACAACGCACCACAGAAAAATAACACAGTAAATACAAACCTAATTATCGATAGAAGAGAGAAAAACAGCAGCTAGGATTTTGGAGATCTAACAGAGCGTTGCTGTGTCTTATGCATAGACATCTTGAACCAAGCCGGTTCGCTGCAAATGCGCGCTACGTAGAAAAATAAAGAAGCTGACTCGTAAGTGTTGATTTCGCTACTGTTAAAGAGCAAGAGGAAGGGAAGAAAAAAAGGAAAAACTGCTCACAACGCATCTAGAACGACTCCTTGGAATGAATGTGACGCAACCATTCGGCGTCAAGAGTGCTACCGCCCCATTCGATGTAGTGGTTATCCATCGGGTTATGCATCTGTGAGTCCAAATACGGCTTTTCGCCGTATTCACCAAAAGCGTTAGCTGCAAAAAACTTTGGCAGACCGAAGGGGAAGATGAAGTAACAGGGAAAGAACCACATCAACAGGCGGCGGAGCATTTCCCAGGTTGTTTCATAGCGACGGTTGTCGCGGTCGATCCAGAGCTCCTGGCGACCAAAACCCCAAAACATCCAGAAGTTCAACTGGTGCTGCGGGAAGACAGAAGTGTTCGGCGCCTCACGCGCGTAGTTGAAGGGGTACTTGGCCTCATTGTGCATCTCGAACTCCTGGTAGCGGTACAGCTTGCGGGCTGTGCGACGAAGCATTTTCTACTGCTATCTCTACTTGCGTTACTTATCTACTACTACAGGTTATATGGTAACGCTATCGCTCAAAATACGTGCTACGTATAGCTAAAACGAGAAGGGAGAAGAACGAAAATAATAATCAGATTGACGCCGTAAGAGAAAGAGAGAGAGAAAGAGAGAGAGAGAGAAAAGATATAAACGGTCGAAAAACGTAGGACACAGCTCAACTTCATAACAGGTGACTTTCGCTCTCTAGAGGGTTCGACCTCTCAAGTTCGATTTTTCTGGTAGTGTTGATCAGATTCCTTTTCGCCGGTACGGCACGTTACGCGAAAGCACTTGTTTAAAAACGAGGTTCTGTAAAAAACAACAACCGAGCAACACAACAGACGGTAAACATAACAACAGCTCAATCTGCAGCAAAACAAATACTGCTGGTCAGCGGCAAAAAAAAGAACGAAATATAACAGAGTTCCACGTTTCACTTATCCTCGTCGTCCGCATCAAAAATGCCCTCTCCGAGCTTCCACCACGCAAGTGTGTAGTACATGTGCAGGTCGTGGTGCTTGTCCGCCTCGTTCAAATCACTCCAGTTGTCACCTACGACAGGCCAGTGATACATAGAGCGGTACGTCGAGAAATACCAAGGAATGTTCTTATCAAGCTTCTTCACAAAGCCAGGCTCTTTCATTCCGTGAGGAAATTCACCTCGAGTCGTGAGCTCAAGGTTTGCATACTTCATGCAATGGTGACTAGTTCGACGAAACATCTGCTCTTCTTGTATGGAGAAAAACCTGTAAACAGCGTTGTTAGTGTCCATGTTCGTGGGTGAAATCGAAAAGAAGAGAATTTGAGAGGAAGAGGAAGGAATTTGGAAATGAAGCAAAAGCGATTGTGGCTCCTGCCGAAGCGAATTTTTCACGCATAGTATGCCTCGCGGGGAAAAGCTCCGCTGCCAAGTGCCATTATTATTCTCAAAGGAGAAGAAGAGATGAGCTCACCAAAAACAAAAACAGCGCGTGCGCTACTCTTTCGTCAGCGTTGAAAACGAATAGGGTCCATCTTTTCCCGCATGTTTCTTGAAGGTAGACTTGCGGTCCGATTCTAAAGCGCTGTAGAGTTGAGTAGCTTACGTTTGATCGAATCATAAGGACTCATCGTGTTGACGAGCGTACGTCTCGTCCCCAATGCACTGGGTACGATGCAGGAATACTTGTCGGTCCAACTATGCTTTCTACGATGGTGTCAAGGGGAGGGAGTCTGAGATTTGTTTGGTAGCCATTGGTGACTTGAACCTTTGTTCAGACTTTCGCGTCTCGTAGTTCCTTCCTCTCCAGAATCATCCGCAATTTCGGTCGGAGCAGAACGTCCATCGGTAAACCACTGACTGGAAACTCGGGAGACGAGCTTCTCTAACGCTCCTGCATGCCACTCACATGCACCACGAGTACTGTGAAGAAGTGACGTGAATAGCGGCCGGAGGGAGGGAAAGGAAGGAAAGAACACTGGGCATCTTGTTGGATACCTGGGCTCTGCGCAGTTATGTGGTGACGCTTCGAACCCGTTTTCAGAGCCCAGGCGAGCAGTCGTAATACACCTGCAGGGCTACGATATCTTTTCACATTGTTTTCACTTCCCGCGATTCGTTCGCCACACACTCGGTACGGAATAAACAAAAGCAGTCGTCGTTCCCACTTTTGGTTGAAGGCTGGGACACACCAGAATTCGAAACGGCAGCGTTCCTCCCAACCCCCCCCCCTCCCCATTTTGGCGGGGGCATTAACGGTGGCTCGTCGCACCAGAGAGACGCTGTTCATCGCGAGAAATATAGACGAGTAATGCTCACCACAGCGCTGTGCATTTATTCCGCGCTCCAACGTCGCTGTTCAAGTATCAAACAAAGAGAAGCGTCACAGAAGTGTTGCCTTCCAGAAGAAAGAAGAAGTGAAGGTGGCTTTAAAAAAGAAATGGAAGCGAAAATGATGCTCAGTGTTGATGGCTAAACAGCTGCCCCTGCCGAACATTCTTTCTCATTCATTTGTCGAAGGAGCATTTTTGCACCCTGGAAGCTGGATGTTTTCGTTGATGAAACGAGGAGAATGTGCATTCTTCATCTTTCAGTCCTTCGTATCAGGCCAGATACACATTTCGCTCGCAACGAGTTGAAAATGAGGTTTTTATTGGCCATATTTGTTGTACCTGCTTTTTTTTTTCTTTCACGGAACTGTTCTGTTGCTTCAACTGGGAAAGAATTCCCTTTTTCGATTTTCACAGCAACGGAAAGCATCCTCTCTGGGCTTTTTTTTTTCGCGCTGCTGCCTCTTGAATTTGTTTGTTCGATACGTTTTGGTATTATTGACTGGTCCCTCGGGTGTTTTCTCATCTCGTTCAATATTTCGACATTAGTGTTAACTTGACGTTATGTGAGGGGAAAAAAAAATCTTCTTACACACGTTTACCGCCGCTGGATTCGTAGAGGATTCTCTCACCGTGTGCCTCCAGCTCAAATGCAATGCGCAGGATGATTTTCGAGTGTTCTGAGAGAATAACGGTTACATTTGCTTGCGGTTTATGCTGTTGTGGCTTTGAATGTGTTTAGCTATCAAAACTGGTTTATTGTGGACTTTTGGCTCTCGCACGGAACTTGCGTCAGCTTCGCCTGTCCATGGTGATGCGGTGGTGGTTGTATTCTATGTGCAAATAGAAAACTGAGCTATTGGCTTAAAAGTCAGGTGCGTGTTTTTTTTTTCTGGTAACTCTTTGATGCTTTGCTCCAACGGTCTTTGTGAAATATCGATATTAGGTCTTATGGAGAAAAAAAGAAATAACTCCTCTGTGTGGAAACAATGCTTTGATGATGAAAGACGCTGACCTACTCTACCAGATGCTTGGAATCCACAGGAAAGATTTGCTTATTCTAAAATTTGTCTGCTGCATCTTTCTACTATCGGTTTGAAACGACTCTTTGTGCTTCTGCAACAAGTTTTTATCAGTGAACGGTTACTCGAGTGCTCGGTGCGCAATTCCCTGCCAAACTTGGCTTGAAAACCGCCTAGGATGCTGCCTGTCCGCGAGTTAAGAAAAGAAATGTCGTGAGTTGTGTTTTCTTCGCATGATTGCGTCGGGAGTGCGTACTATGCGAGTGCATGTGCGCGTTTACAGGTCTCAGAATGTCTGACAGTGTTTTATTTATGTTGTTTGTCTAACCTCCGAAGGGGAAGACAGCGTCTTCGATCTTGACGTGTTTCCCGTCAGCGTAACACGCTTCCGGAACGTGGTTATGTGTAGTTGGCTTTCTACTGCTCTCAAGACTCGAAATGGGAGAACTGATTTTTTTTTTTCCCCAAAGCATACACAACGACTTTTGGTGCCCCCGCTTTCAGTGTTAACCAAAGCTGAGGCGACTTGTGTTGTTGAGACTGAAGGTATATGTTTTTACTCAGTGTTTCTCTTCTTTTGGGGAAAAAGCTAATTATTGCCGTTATAGTCTACGTTGCAGAAGATACGTTGATTTATTGTGGCTGAGGCTTACCAGCGATTTACTGAAGTAAATCGCGACAGTTAGTTGCAATTTACCTACTTCTTTGCACCCTAGCTGCATTTTGTATTAAATGCTGATGCAAGTCGTTTGGGGTGCTTCTTTGTACACTGCGTTTCCCTTCTTCAAAGATGGAGATTTGTGAAATCGGAGGTGTGCTTTATCTGTTTCCGACTTTTAGTGTTAGCATAATGGTCTCGCGTTCGTCCATCGAATATTTTTCCTCTTAATATATTGAGTGTATGGCTTCAACTGCTGCTCTCCCCGTGCTATTAAGATGAAAGTTATCAAAAAATACGAGGTGAGGAGCATTCAATTTGTCAGTGATACAATGTTCGAAATTCTTTTTTTCGAATGAACAACGATGTGCATCTCGATTGACGTATCTCCAAGCACTTCTAAACTTTAAAGTGCTCCCCAGGTTGAAAAGAGCTGGTTTTACCACGGGCAAAAAGCTAGATGGCTAATAGTCGTTGCGCTCAACATAAACTGAACTAAAAAAAAACTTGCTGCATGTCTTCCACATTGTTGTTTGGTGGACTAAAACACACGGCTGCAATGTAGGCGGATAATGATGGTCAACTCCTTCAAGAGAAGTTAACTGTTTTTGCATAGTCTTTTCTTTCAAATTCTGTAAACAGCAACCGATTTTAGAAACTTTTGAGGACCGTCATTGGTTAGTCTTTATATGTTTTGTTGCTTCCTTATTAATAACCCTGTCTCTGCGTTACTGGCTAGCTTTCGGGCATTAGTTTCAAAAGTCTTGTGTTTGTGATTGTCAGCTGGACTTGCCTAGTCTCTTTGCCCTGCAACCGGTTTCGGAGTGAAAGCACAAAAGCGATTGACGTACCTGAAACCGGTGTTCTGCCTTCTTTTTTATATCGGACTATTACTGTTGTCTGACATCCGCTTTTTTTTTCTTGATTCTTTCACGTCGACAATGAGGAGTGTTGCAAATCCTACTGATACTGAGGAAGCTGCTGTTTTCCAGAGCAACTCCTTCTTTCTTACCTTTTTGTGTCCTGTTGTTGCCGGCAATACGTGCAATGCTGTTATCCCAAGCAAATGGGGATAGCTGTTAACGTGATCGCAAAACTTGTTTGCTGCAGTATTACAATTTATGAATGTCTTTTTTTCTCCTCACGCGGAAGTGCAACATCGATGTGTGATTGCTTCAAAAAGGCAAGAAAAACATACGAATGCAGCTTTCAACCTTCAGTGTTCTACCTACGTGGCTCCGTCAGCTACTCTACTTCGCATTATGCTTGTTGATTTTCAGAAGAAAAAAAAACACACCGAAAAGCTAAGGCTTTTTTTTCTCGCGTTTCTTTGATACTTGTCTCTGAACGCCGCATTTTTTTGTTTTTTTCCTGTTGTTTTTCTTGGATAATTTCACTCTTTTTTCCACCTCTTATGTCTTTTCATTTTTTTTCTTTCCTAATGGTATTTACTCTGAGTAGGATTCATGAGAAGATTCTTGCGACCACAAATGTCGATTAATATTCACCTAAAGGCGCTTACGCTGACAGATACGTACTTTGCCGCCGCCGCTAAGGCTGAGGAGAAAGACAAACTTTCACTGACCAATGCCGAGCAAGGAAAAGTTGTCACGCGTTTCCCGCCCGAGGCGAGCGGGTTCCTGCACATTGGTCACGCGAAGGCTGCGCTGATCAATCGCATGCTTGCGGACAAATATGAAGGCAAGATGCTCTTCCGCTTCGACGACACCAACCCTTCCAAGGAGAAGGAGCACTTCGAGGCAGCCATTGAGGATGACCTCAAGACTCTCGGCGTGTCGTACGACTCAGGTCCGACTTACTCTTCCGACTACTTCGACCTGATGTTCGAGAAGGCGGAGGATATGATCAAGCGTGGGCTGGCGTACTGTGACAAGACCCCTCGTGAAGAGATGCAAAAGTGTCGCTTCGACGGCATCCCCACCAAGTACCGTGACAGCCCGGTGGAGGAGAATTTGCGCCTCTTTAACGAGATGAAGAACGGCACGGAGGAAGGGCAGCTGACGTGTCTGCGTGCAAAGGTCTCCATTGACGACCCGAACAAGGCAATGCGCGACCCCGTCATGTACCGCGTGAACTTGGAGCCTCACGCCCGCCACGGCACAAAGCAAAAAGCGTATCCGACCTATGATTTCTGCTGCCCCATCGTCGACTCGGTTGAGGGCGTGACTCACGCTCTGCGCACCAACGAGTACCACGACCGCAACGCGCAATACTACTGGTTCTGCGATGCCATGAACATCCGCAAGCCCCTCATCGAGGATTTCTCTCGCCTGAACATGGAGTACTCCGTCATGTCCAAGCGCAAGCTGACGAAGCTAGTGGACACGCACGTGGTAGATGGCTGGGACGACCCGCGCTTCCCGACGGTGCGGGCGCTGGTGCGCCGTGGCATGAAGATCGATGCGCTTCGCCAGTTCGTGGCCGAACAGGGTATGTCGAAGACCGTGAATTTTATGGAGTGGAGTAAGATCTGGTATTTCAACACGCAAATCCTCGACCCTACCAGTCCCCGCTACACGGTTGTGTCGAACACTCTGAGGGTTCGCTGCGCAGTGGAGGGCCAGCAGCACATGGAGGCCGACAAGCGCGCCTTACACAAGAAGAACGCCGAGCTGGGTGAGAAGACGTACTACAAGTCGGACGTCATCTTCCTCGACGCCGAGGACGTCGCGCTCATTAAGGACGGCGACGAGGTGACGCTGATGGACTGGTGCAACGCGTACGTGAAGGACATCAAGCGGCCCAGCGCCGCTGCTCCGCCGACGGACGCCACCATCGTTCTCCACCCCGAGGGCGATGTGAAGAAGACGAAGTTCAAGTTCACCTGGGTCCCGGAGAATGAGAAGTCGATCATTCTCACGCTGAACGAGTACGACCACCTGCTGACAAAGGCGAAGCCGGAGCCGGATGAGTCGCTGGACGATCTCATCGCGCCGGTCTCCCGTTACACGCAGGAGGCCCTCGGCGAGGAGGCGCTGTCGGTCCTGAAGAAGGGCGACATCATCCAACTGGAGCGCCGCGGCTACTACATTGTGGACGACGACTCCGCCGAGAAGAAGGTGCTGATCTACATCCCCGACGGACGCGATAAGGTTAACCACCTGTCGGCGAAGGCCCAACACCTGAAGACACTGCCTAAGAAGGCGTCGGCTGCTGATGATCTGGCGGCGAAGCGTGCCGCCAAGGCTGCCCAGAAGGCCGCGCAGAAGGCTGCTGCCGCTGCGAAGAAGAAGTAATGGTTTTCCTTGCGTTCTCAGGGGTCGAAAGGATGAAAAGCGCCTGTTATTGTTTCTAGCAAGGCAATCTGTTGTACCTGTGGTCATACTTCGTCCCTCCCGCTTTTGTTTTTCTTTTTTGGATTGCTGTTTTTGGTTGGTGATGCCCAGCACGGACAAGTTGCATTGTCGCGCTTTCATGTGCGCATTCTGCGTTGCGGAGCCGCTCATGAGGAAATCGTGAGTGATGGCAAAAGAGGCTGAGGGGAATTTATATTGGTCTAGCGAAAGGGAACCACTGCAGCCCCCTTTTTTTTTTGCGTGGTTGCAACGCCGTTCTCTCACTACCTTTATCATCCTCCAAAAAGAAAAAAGGAAGCTGACCTCAAAATTGCACTCTCTCTCACTCTCTGTGTTTATGGCTGAAAAGACTTAGAGAGCGTAGACCTCGTCAACTTGGTTTCTTTGCGGTTTTTGTTTTCCTCACATGGGTGCGGTGCGTTGTCGATGGTTTTAAGTATGTGCGTTTCTTTCCGGTTTTTCTTTGATTTAACACTAACAACAGTGATTTAATGTGTTCTTTACCTCGGTTATTACCTTTTTTTTTTTCAGCGTCCTCTCGGCTGAGAAGAGTCGTTGGCACTTGCGCAGCGCCAGCCGTACTGCCGTTGCGTCAAACACAAAAAGAGCACATTCCACACTTTCTTCGTTACGCGGAGAATGATCGCGCTACTTTGGACGCTGCTAAACAGCTGTTTGCATCGTTTTTTCCCCCTTTTTATGTTAGCGCAAACGGCGAAAACGCAGATGCGTATTCCAAATGATTTCAAGCGATGCACGTGCGTCGTCTTCAAGTCTGACAAAAGAGTTGTTTTTCGCAGTTTTCAGTTCTGTTATTTTGAACGTGGGAAAGTATGAGAGAATTTTTACCTTTCTACACTGTCTTCGCGCTCCTCTCTCCTTCTCTCTTTTTCCTTTGTAACGACAAACCCTTTTCATGGCTATTTCAATGCCATCGCTTATTTATTACTTTCTCAAAACGCAATGCGCGCCAACTTGAATACAATATCTGTTGCTTACCGAGCAGTACACAAACTCGTCTGAAGGGGCACGGAAAAGTGCTGATTGGATTGCTTTCTTATGCCGAAGAAGCCCTCGATATCCTTTGCCGATCTTGGACTCGGCATCCCTTTGCCAAGCGTCCTTGCAAAGTCGCGCGACGAGCGCCGCAAGGAGCAGCGTCTCGAGAAGAAGGCAAAGCAGGAGCGCACGCGAGATGCAATGGCGGAGGTGGCGGCGGCGCGCGATGTGGTGGCGCGACACAAGCGGCTCGTGGAGGCTGAAGGGGCACAGGAGCGCACGCAAAAGGAGCAGCGCAAGCGTGAGCTCTTCGTGGAGCACCTGAGGGCGAGAAACGAGCGCGAGGAGGCGGAGGTGAAGCACACCGTGGAGTTGGTGCAAACACAAGAGCGAATCATTTCTGAGATGAAGGCGGCGCGGCGCGAGGAGGAGCAGGGGGTGCGACGTGTGCGCGAGATGCTGGAGAAGGAGGTGGAGGAGAAGGCCAAGACGGCGCCGACGAATGTGCACATTGACGTTGATCGCACCGCCGAGGTGGAGCAGCAACGGGAGGGCCTTCCAGTGCTACGCGAGGAGCAGCCAATCATGGAGGCGATCAACGGAACAAGCCGCACCTCCGTGCTTGTGTGCGGTGAAACAGGTAGCGGTAAGACGACACAGATCCCACAATTTCTGTGGGAGGCGGGCTACGGCCACGCGGAGGGGGGCACCTTTGGCCGTGAAGGATGCATCCTCGTCACGGAGCCGCGCCGAGTTGCCGCTGTTTCAATGGCGCGGCGCGTTGCCGAAGAGCTCAACGTCACTTTTGGCGAGGAGGTGTGCTACCACGTTCGCTACGACAACAACCTGTCCGATGCGTGCAAGCTGAAATTTGCGACGGAGGGTATTGTGCTGAAAGAAATCCAATCCGACTTTCTGCTCAAGAAATACAGCGTCATCGTCATCGATGAGGCCCACGAGCGGAGCATCTCTTGTGATATTCTGGTTGGTCTGCTCTCCCGAATTGTGCCGCTGCGCAACGACCTGTTCCAAGAGGAACTGCGCAAATTCAACGGTGATGTGAGCAAGGCAACTATCAAACCCTTGAAGCTGGTGATCATGTCCGCGACCATGCGTGTGGCCGACTTCAAGGATAACCGCGCTCTCTTCCCCGTCATGCCGCCGCTCATCAACGTCGAGGCACGCCGCTATCCGGTCACGAACCACTTTGCCCGTCGCACGGAGCTGAAGGAGTACGTTGACCAAGCTTTCGACAAGGTGCGTCAGATGCACAAAAAGCTGCCCCCCGGCGGCATTCTTGTCTTTCTCTGCACGCAGCAGGAAATCAATGACTTGTGCGACCGCCTACGCCATCATTACGCCAAGACGAAGATCGAGTACTACGACAGCGGCTACACAAAGCACCGACTTCTCACCGGGAAGAGCGAGGAGGAGGTGGCGGCGGCGTCCAGCGATGACGACGACGACGATGGCAGCGACAGGGCCGCGGGAGAGGCGGAGGAGAAGGACGAGTTTGGCCTCCGCACGTCCGACTACGCCCTCGACGACGAGGGCAACGGAGACAATCGCGAGGAGCAAGAGACGGTGTACGAGGGACGACTCCGTCGGCCGCCGCAGCACGGGGGCCGTAAGCGGGTGCGCTCGGAGAAAAGCGCACCGGTGCGTGGCCAAGGCTTGGACGAGGATGAGACACGTGCAAGGGCGATGATGGATGGCGCAGAGGCGGAGGGGGAGCCGGAGGATGAGGTGAACGGCGAGTACGACACGCTGCACGTTCTGCCACTCTACGCGCTTTTGGACTTTCAGAGGCAGCAGGAGGTGTTCAAGCCCCCGCCCAAGGGCACGCGGCTGTGCGTCGTCGCCACCAACGTGGCGGAGACGTCCATCACCATTCCCAACATCAAATACGTTGTGGACGCTGGGCGGTCGAAGACGAAGGTGATCGACGAAGAGACGCGGGCGAGTTGCTTCCGCATCGAGTGGACGAGCCAGGCATCCGCAGAGCAGCGCAGCGGACGTGCGGGTCGTGTCGGCCCCGGCCACTGCTACCGACTCTACAGCACCGCCGTGTACTCCAATTTGATGCCGAAGCACGGCGACCCTGAGGTGTTGCGCACCCCGCTCGACTCCGTCGTGCTGCTGATGAAGCATGTTGGGGTGAAGAACGTCGGCGGCTTTCCGTTTCCCTCGCCACCGCGTGAGACGGACCTCAAGGCCGCGCTGCAACATCTCAACGTGATTGGCGCACTGGACCGAACACGCAATTTCAACATTACGCCGGTGGGCCGCAGTCTTGTCGCGTACCCGGTGCCGCCGCGGTTTGCGCGGGCGGTGCTCGAGGCGCTGCAGCGCAGTCGCACGCCGGCGGTGCACGACATGGTGGCCGCCATTGTCGCCGTCGCCACCACCACCACCACCGTCTTTACCGGGGAAGGCAACCAGCTAAAAGCGCGAAAGCTCAACGAGCACGCCGACACGCCGGCCGATCCCCGTCAAGCGCACATACGCGCTCTGCTGAACCCCGGCAGTGATCTGGTGACGTACCTGAACGCCTTCCGCGTCTACAACAAAGACCCCCGCAGGAGCTGCGCGATGTACTGTCTGGTGCAGAAGAGCATGCACGAGGCGAAGCTCCTCTACGCCCAGCTGCGCGTGCACATGCGTGAGCACGCCGCCGGCGACGAGGACGAGCTGGCAGATACGCTGGATGAGGGCGAGACGGTGATGGCGGAGAAGGAGGAAAATCCCTCCCATGGCGGCGTCGGCCTCACCAGAGAAACAGAGTTGCTGCTGCGTGAGGTGTTCATTCCCGGATTGATGGACCAGATTGCACGGCGAGCCACCGTGCACGAGTGCCGTTCCCTGTCCGTGGAGTACAACGACAAGCGCGCCACGAAGACACCCTACCTTGTTTTGTCAACGCGCACGATCGCCTACATCCACCCCACCAGCTCCGTTGCGCGGACGTTCCCGCCGCCTGAGTTGGTGACATTTGGTTTTCTGCAGAAGGTGCGCCGATCGGACACGAAGGAGGCACAGGCGATGATGATGGGCGTCACGGTGGTGACGCCGGAGTGGTTGCGCACCTACGGCTTTGAAGAGGAGCCGTAGAGCCTGCGTCGCTGTATTTTGTGCTGCTTCTGTGTGCGCGTATCTGTGTGCACAAGACTACTTCTTCGGTGGAAGAGGAATACTCTTTGGTGTTGGGTCGCACCACCGTTCGCAGCTGTACACTAGGCGATTCATAAGTTGCGTTTGGTAGGGTATTGAAGGTGATGGAAACAAACAAAAGAAACTCGGCGTGCCTGTTTTATGCCACGCATTGATCACTAAGAAACCTTTCATTTTTCTTCTGATTTTTCTCATTAATAACAGCGAGTAACGTACAGAATCGTCGAATAAACAAATACAGCAATGCAACATAACAGAACAAAAAACAACCTTAGTTTCTATCTGTGCGGTATGCACGTCTTCAGCCTTTTGCAGAAATAGCCGCGCACAATTGCCTTTGTGGTACGCCCAGCATCACTTGTACCTGGTGCGTTCCCGATTCTATTTCTCCATCCGCATTCCGCTTCTCCTTATTCCCCCACTCTCTTTCGTGGCTGTCACCTGCGGTTTCTCAGAAAAGCACATTTCCTCCCCAGTTCTTGAGGCGTTAGCAATGAACTTAGGCGTCGTTGGTGGCCCTCAAGGCCCCAAGGCGCTGCTCGACGCCGTCCGCGAGGCTGTGCGCGACAGCAACCTTGACGCGCTGAACCGCCTTGCAAAAGATTTTCTCTCTATCAACGACAACGTCACAAAGTGCCGCGACGAGAACGGCAACACCATCGTGCACCTCTCCCTCGACAAGAACCCCACCACGCTCGAGTACGTCATCCTGGCACTGCACGCGGACGTCAACGCCACCAATGCGCAGGGCCGCACCGCGCTACACGAGGCCGTCACGCACAACTACGTGGAGTGCTGCGATTTGTTGCTGGAGCACGCCGCGGACGACACCATTCAGTCCACCACGCAGTCGACGCCGTTCCACACCGCTGCCGCGTGCGGCAGCGTGGAATGCATGGAGGTCATTCTGCAGCACAGCGACGCCCCTGCAGAGAAGGTGAATGAGCTTGACCGGCAGCGCAGCTCCGCCCTGCACAAGTGCGCGTTTGACGGCGATGTGCGAGTGAGCCGGTGGCTGGTGGAGCACGGCGCCACCATCGACGTCGCCGACGCCACCAACGCCACGCCGCTGCTGGTGGCGGTGAAGATGGGGCAGATAGCGGTGGTGGATTACCTGCTGAGCCAGGGTGCGGATTGCAACCGCAGAGATCAGCAGGGCAACAGCGGATTGCACTTCTGTGCCATGCGGTGCGACCTGCCGGTGGCGCAGCTCCTCCTCAGCACCGGGGCGAATCCGCGTCTGGCGAATGCGGAGCTCAACACGCCGCTGCACGTCGCCGCCCAGTTTGCACGCCCCGACGTTCCTGCGTGGGAGCAGATGGTGGGCCTGCTGCTCATGGCCGGCTGCGACCCACTGCAGCTGAACGCGTCCAAGAAGAAGGCGAGCGACTACGTTGGCCGCGGACTTAAGAAGGTCTTCACAAAGGAGGCGGTAGAGCAGCGCACGCGCAAGGAGGCGAAGGCGAGAGAGGAAAGCGAGGCCGAGCTGGCCAGGGCGTGGGAGGCATGTTCGAAGTGGAAGACGAAGGTGCTCGCCGACGTCTCCGGTCGACGCGCCTGGGAGGCCGCGGAGGACGAGCGGCTGGCAAGGGAGAAGGAGGAGCGCATTCGGGCCGTGAACGATGCACGCATGGTGTACGAAGAAGCACTGGCGCGGTGCCGCTTCCAGGAGGCGGAAATTGTGCGAAAGAAGGCGCTGCTGGAGAAGTCCACCGCGAAGGCAGGCAACTAGCGCGTAGGAAAGAAGAGAGCGTTGAATAATATTTTTTCTCCTCGCTTCCCCGCATGATATCAAGAACGACTGCTGAAGGTGTGTTTTAGTTGCTGTCTCATTATTGCGCTTTTTGAAAGAATTACCCTCCCCCCTTTGTGCTTCTCTTAGTGCGATGGATTTCAATACCATGTAAAGTAGCCTGTGCACGGTGTGCAACTTACAGTGAAACAGAAAAGAATATAATTCGAAGGACGAATCCGAGAACGGTGATGCGTACTAAATGATCCCGTTACCTTTTTTTTTGTAAAACGAACGCTATTGCTTTCTCGAGGGGATAGATATTGAGAAAAAAGGAGATATCTTTCTTCTCTTCTCTTACTTTCATCGCTCGGCGAGGCGGCACTGCGGTTGACGAGTTTTCTCTTTCCACGCGGCGTGTGACGGAACGGAAAGCCTCCACTGGGTGAAGATGTAGCAGTGTCCATGGTTTTTTTTTTCTACAAGGCGGAGCTGCACGCTGACCTCACTACTCCTACACATCCTTTTCTTGGGTTTCTTTTTCCTGTCGCACCTGAAATAATGGCTGGACTACTAAGTAGCGACTTTGCAGAGAGCAGCTAAGATACACACATTTCATCGGATTCCATGAAGTCTGTCAAGGAGCGCGACGTTGCCGGGATGGCTGCCTTTGAGCTGGCTCTGCAGTACAACTACATCCGCCAAGACCGCTCTTACCACTTTGTTCAGCTGCTCACGGCGCTGTGCTCGTTCGTTTTCTTCTCCCAGTTGGCGGTCATAAACGTGCTGCTCGTGTTGGTACCTCTTGTGCCGCCCCTCGAGCCGCATGTTGAGTTTATTCGCCCTTACACCCATCCACTTCTCTTTGTGCTTTCTTTGATCGCACTGTTGCTGATTCGCGCCTCGAAGAAGCGGTTTGTGATCGAGCCGGGCGAACAGACGATGGAGCGACTTAACCGCGATGTTCTTGAGCCGTGCTTTGGTATGAAGTTCGATACGCAAATGGGGAAGTTGTTTTCTGACTTCCGCGCTGGAAGCCTGCGTGGCCGCGAGAACTTTTACTCCCTCCGCTACCTCGAGACTCCGTCTCCGCCCGCACAGTCGGCTAGTGCGGAAAGTTGAGAAGCCACTGAGGGTGGGGAGATCGCTGAGGTGTAGGAGAAAGAAAATAAGGGCAGTAACGGTAGGAGCGGCGACCTGTCTTCGCCCCTTTTAACACCGGTCTTTTTCTCTTGTGCGGATGCCGACGTGCGTGTATATTTGTGTTTCAAGGTGTTTGGTTTGATGACGCCTTCTGCTAAACGATGAACCACAGCACGAATTACTTTTTTCTCCCCAAAGAGAGAGAGAACTGTTTATTTAATGAGGAGCGATCAGTTGGGTGTGAATGGGTGAATGCGCCTTATTCCGTTAATGCGGCCTCTGTGTGATCTCCCCAGTGTTCGGCGTAGGACCATCACCAGTTTGTGCGGCAGTTTTCTTTTTTTGGTTTCACTGCGCATGATTAAAAAAAGAAGAAACAGGTTATATGCATACACAGCAAAACCAATTTCAGCGATGTGCTCTCCACCTCCCCCCCCTTCTATCCAATTCTATGTTCCCAAAGGAAAAGAACGCTCCTTTCTGCTACCCAGTCATCCTTCAGAAGAGTAGCAGCAGCAGCAGTAAAACTAACAAAAGCGTTGAAGCTACTGAAGTCATATTGTGTGCTCAAAACGTCCTACACGCACAACTGTTTTATTGCTAACGCATTGATCACTGAGGTCATTTTGCGACAATCTAAGTGGAAAACAAAACAAAGACAAAAACGTCTAATAATAAAGGCGAAAACACAAAAAATAATTTTAAAAAATGACGTTACAACGCTCGTGTTTCAGCGGATTGAGGGGCACTGGGCTCTTGGTTTTATTCACTCTGCTGGTACTGCAGCTCGGTGCCGAGGCTCGTCGCATCGTTGCCGTTGGCGATCTGCACGGCGACTACGAGCAGAGTGTGTCGGTGCTCCGCCTCACCAACCTCGTCGACAACAACACTCACTGGATTGGCGAGGACGCATTTCTCGTGCAACTAGGCGACATTTTAGACGTGGGCCCGGACGACATTAAGATTGTGAAGTTGCTGATGCGGCTGCAGAAGGAGGCGCAGGCGAGGGGCGGCGACGTGGTGGAGCTGCTCGGCAATCATGAGCTGCGCAACTTCCGCGGCGACTACACCGCCGTGGACCAAGCGAGTTTGGCGGCGAACGGCGGCAAGGAGGGCCGCGACACGCTCCTCTCCAACGCGACGGCGGTGGGCACGTACCTACGTACCCGCAAAGCTATCTTTCACTACGGCCCTTTTCTCTTCATGCACGGCGGCTTCTCCACCGCGACGGCCAGCATGATCACGAGTCTGAAGCGCGTGGAGGACTTCAATGCGGAGCTCACGCAGGCCCTCATGAACGGCACAATCTCTCCGCTGGCGAGTGACGGCCTCGATCTGGCCGAGGACGACGTCGAAGACGTGGGAAATCCCATCTTGGTGCGTAGCATTCTCAATGTGAAGTGCGACGAACTCGCAAAAGTGCTCAAGAAAAAGTTCCCTGGCATCGACTTCGTGGTGGTCGGCCATGTCCCGCACGACCCGCGCGACTTCAACGGCTGGCGCCTCTGCAACGGTCGGCTCATTGACATCGACTTCGGCATGTCGCGGTGGAAGAAAGGCGACCCCGGCCACGTGGCGGCGCTGGAGATCGAGGAGGCAACGTGGCACACACAGCTCATTGAGACCTCCACCGCCATCGGCCCCATCGCGACGGACGACGTGGCCGCGTCTGACGCGGTGACGGCGCACCATCTGCTGCGTCTCTCCATGCTAATTGTGGGGGTCGTGCTGTTGGCGTTTCTCATTGCGTACTGCGTGCCATTCCGGTCTGCGATCGAGCAAGAGCCGCTGCTGGATTGGCCGGCCACCACCTATGGTGCTGCGTAGCTTTTTAATCCGTAGACGTCCGGGAAAAAAAAAACTTGCGGCAACGCATTAGAATAGGAAATGCTGTAGGCTTCACATATTAAGCAGGAAAGGTCGTTTTGTTTTTTGCTTCGATTAAAGCGCTGCCTTGCATTATGTAAACGAGAAGCTCCTGCTGCCTTTCATCTTTTTGTTTTCCTTCTCGCTAAGTTGCTTTTGTTTTTTCTGTTTTGAGGACTCTCTTGTAGAGGCTGGAATACCAACGCTGAAGTGGCGCAGGCTGTAATGCTTCAGTTTTTTGTAAGGTTCTTTTGTGTCCTTTTTTATCACGCATTCTGCGAGTTGCTTCTGCCGCTTTTTTCTTTCCTTTCCTCCTGTCCGCATAAGAAGTAAGTTCGATGACGCAACGTGTTGCGCCTCTACGCGTTTACCAATACTATTGTGTGTGTGTGTGTGTGTGGCATGAAGAACTCTGTAGGAATTCTCTTTTCTTTAAAACATATCCATTTTTTCCTACTCTGTTTTGTAGCGCATCGATCGTCAGAGTTTAACTCACTGTAAGTTAACACACAGTTACGCGTCAAAACGTGGTGCGTGTAGAGTGGTGTGCGAGTGTACGCTGTTGTCGCCTCTGTCTAGCAGCCTTTGAGTCGCCGTTTGAAGAGAAGCACTAGAGAACGGAAGTGAAATACATTTGAATAGTGAAACACAAGCGCACAGCCAAAAGCACAGCATCTCAAATACACCCTCTCTGACACACTCCGCTCATAAATAAACAAAACGCGAAAACGAAAGCAATAAGAAAACAAACAAAACGGCGCCGTGCACGGCATAAATCCGCATCGATCAACTCTTTTTTGGTTTGACGGTGAAACCGTCCAACTGCTCCTATTGAGGGCAGCCGAAGTCATGTTCACAACGGTGCGAGGGGTTGAGTTGTGTCTCCGCGTGATGGGGGGCGATAACGATGGTATTGCGCCTACAAGCGTTGTGTTGGCTCTGAGTGAAGGCGACGTCTCTCCAAAAGTTGACAGGGGCGTTGTGGCTCCCCGCTAGATTGTTCGCTGCTCAATGCTCCTCTCTCTTCTCTCCCCTTCCTCCCCAGTTTATGCAGGTACATGTGCGTAATCAACACCGCTTCTTTTTTCTTTTTCTTTTTGACTTGCACGTGCGCTGAAACGCTGATACTTATCGCTGTGCACAAACTCACATTTCCGTCTAGAGGAAAAGGAATCTTTCCCTACCGACAACACGCAGTACGCAACGATAGAAAAGAAAACATCTTTCATGCCGAAACGCGAGAAGGAAAAGAAGTCGGCGGTCAACACCGCCATCTTGTCAAACCTCGCGGAGGAGGAGCGTGCGATAGTGGTGTACTTGGTCGGTTGCCAGGAAATCGACACGGCACAGGATCTAATGGTGCTAGTGAAAGTCAACAATGAACAACACTGCATAAGTCTGCGCGATGCCGTTAAAGAGGCGCAGGCGGGTGCATCAACCTCTGGAGATCCGCCGACGGCCTTCCTGCCGCAGCTGCTACCGCTGTCTCAGCAGGTAGTGCAGGCGGGAGGCTCGGCAGCCTGTGACACGCTGGTTAACTGCCGCGAGGCCCATCGCATCGAAGTCTACAGCTTACCGAATGTGCCGGGGGGTGGGGAGGCCAATGCGGGTCGACGAGGGAGTCGAGTGGGAGAGAAGAGGCCGAAGGCTGCGGCAGGCGCTGCCAGCGGGAAAGGGAAAGGTCACGCTGCGGGGTCGGGCGGTCACGTTGCCCCTCCTGAAGGCGCGCACTGTATCGGCGGCGCCTCCCTCTCGCTCATCCCCCTGCTCACCAGCACTTCGATGGACGCCATCGTTCCGCTGTCTGCCCCAAGCGTTGTCGTTGCTGCGCTGCGATTCCGCGTGTGCTGCCGGGATGCACCGCTGCTCACTCCGGAAGGCGTGCTGCAGTGCCGACCCGTGGTGCTGCGGGTGGGCGGCGTGCAGGGGCTTCCATCGACGCCAACGGGCAGCGAATCCGTGACGAAGGACGGCGCTGCAATGAGCACCGTCGCCTCGTCTCGTGTTCTGCGAGCGCGCGTGCAGCTGGGCGATGCGTGTGTCTTGACTCATGCCTTGTCCGTTGCTATGCCTTCCCCCTCTACTCCTACTACTGCTACTACCGCCACTTTAGTACCGCCTCGCCGGCCATCCCTAGAAGCCCAATCCCTCTCCACCCTCGCCAAGGCGGAAGCCCCGTTCGATTACCATGAACACGTGCTCTTTCTCGGCACAATGGGAAGTCCGTTGGAGGTCTACCGACAGCTGTACTCCACGCCGTGCACGGTGTCGCTCTGGCAGTCCTTCAACACGAGTTCAGCAGAGGAGGCGGCGACGTCGCCGGTGAAGGAGCAGACGAAGAAAGGCAGGTCGGAGACGTTGCTCGGAAGCGGCGGCTTCTCGGTGCGCGATTTTCTCTCGGACGACCAGTTGCGGTTCTCAGAGTCGGTGCAGCTGCTGCCCGATCGAACCACGGTGACTCTCGCTGGCGGCCAGACGTGCATGACGGCTGCAAGCACGATAGAGGTGGCCCTGGATTTCCTCCGGCCCTTCCCACCGCTTCAGCACGTGGACCAGACCGGCGCGTTGCTCCGCCGGAAAGCGTTCCTCACCCACGCCATTGTTCGCTTGCCCTATCAGGCGCCGTGGATGGCCGACTGTCTGGAGCTGCTGTTACAGGAGGTGACGTCCATCCCGCGTGCGACCGAGGATGTGCACCTTTACACCCCGCCTCCTCCGCCCCCATCGGCGGACAGTCAAGATGCCCTGGAAAAGACGACCTCTGGCGGGCGCACCAGCGGCGGCAGTGGAGCAAAGGCCTCCAATGCCGGAGGGGGTGGTCGCTTGGGCAGTAGCAGCCGCAAAGCGAAAGGGGGCGTGAAGCCGGCCACCGGCACAGCGGCGAAGATGTCGAGCCGAGTCGGCGTCTCGACCTCGCCGGAGCCTGTCGCACCGCTTCCAACGCACCGCTTCGACGCACCGCTGCAGCTGATAAGCCCTCCCGGACTGAGTGGCTTCGAGGTGACCGACGGCAAGGAGCGGGTGTGGTGCGTAGAGGGCACCGTGCCAGAGGTGCATCACGTCCTCACCCGGCTTACGGCGTTTCTGGAGACACACCAGTACGCCCACGTCGCAGCGGCGATGCTCTTCAACGCGGAGCTTTTTGTGCCGGGGCGTGCATATTTGTCGTTCCCTGCGTTGGTCACGCCGCCACCCGGGCTCAGCTCAACGACAACGGCTGCGGGCAGCCCGCACAGCTCCGCTGTTGGGGCGGTGGCGCTGGAGGTGGAGCCAAGCGGGACGGGCGGTCGATTTCACCGCATCCGCCTTCGCACCCCGCTCGAGGCGCTGCGCCAGACGCAGACCCACTACCTACGCCACATCCTCTCCGACGAGTGTCTTGGCTGTCTCCACTGCCTCTCCGCGCTGCTGCGGGCCACGACGATGCGGGAGGTGGAGGTGCGGGGCTGGCTGCCCTCCGCGGCGCTCCTCATCTCCCTGGAGCGTTCTTTTGGACAGACGCTGGAAAACGACGACTTGTACGGCGCCGCGCCGCTGCTACCCACCTCGCACGCAACGACCCCGACGACCCAGGCCGGCCGGCTGACAGACGCAAGTGAAATCCCGCTCCCCCTTTCCGGTTCTTCTGTCATGGACGGCGTGCTGGTGGGGAAGCTCGTGTTCTTTGACGGCACGATCAAAACGGGCAAGGGCCCTCGCCGTCCGATCCCGCCGGCGGTTCGCCAACGCTTCCCCGTCGTGGTGTGGATGGTCGTGACGGAGACGGAGGAGGAAATCCTCTGCGCCTTTTCCCACAGCGCCCCCACAGGACTAGTGCAGTACCACGTAGAAGGGCAGGTGGTGCAGACGGCCGGCGTGATGCTGCTGTACGTGCTGAAGTGTGTGTGCCTGGCGCGGAGCTTTACGCACAGTCACAACGAGGAGTACGACCAGCTGTTGCGGGAGCGGCAACACGCGCAGCATGCGAACTTCGTGCGACGGAGGATGCTGTGGCCGGTAGGAGCCGGGGCGAGTGGCACGCCGGCAAAATCGGATGGTCAAGACTCCGAGCGCCGTCTGCAGCACAGTCAGCGGACGGATAAAACAGCAGCAGCGGCAACGACGAGGTCTGGCGGACATGCGCAGAGGACGTCAACTTCGAGCAGCGATGACGGGGCAGATGGCGGCAACTGGCTGGCATCCGACTTCTATGACCACCTGGAACCGTCTCCGTCGTCGCGCGACGCTCCTTCTTTTCCCGCGACGAAGACAAAAGATCGACGCAGCGGGGATTCGGCTAAGAGCGGCGCAGAGGGGCGCCCGCACGCGCGTGACTTGGCAGCGGCACACAAGGCGATCATGGAGGACGAGCGCGCCATCACCGCGGACACCCTCCCCAGCCTCACCCCCACCCCCACCTCCGCCACCCCCACCTCTGGATCCCCCGTAGGCGGTGAGAGGCTGCCGCCGCTGCACCGCTGAGGGAGAACCCGAGCGAAATCGGCAGAAAGCACACCCACCCGGCTGAGTCTGCCGATCGATGAGAAACGAAGATGTACATTAACTTCCTACGCAGAAAAACTCTGTCATTTACAAAGAGACAAAAGAAGAAAAAGCCTGCTGGTCGAAATCTAGAAGAATCCTTTTCCAACATTCATTGGCAAACGATGGCGCCGACTGCTTTTCTTTGTTCCGATGAGAGCGACTGGAATGCGTTCCATGTAGTGTACGGAGTGTTCTCGATGAGCTCGTTTTGAGCTATTCGACAGGACTGGCGCATTACACTGCCTGCTCTCCCACCAGTTCTCATGCGGCGTTTAGAACTTCACCTCATGCCTCTCCTATCCCTTACTTCATCCAATGCGCTTTGTCGATCTTGCGAGGGTCGACGTACAGCACATTTCTGTGTCAACATTGAGAAGAATCAGCGAGGTTTTCTAGAGTGTATTCACCGCCGTCTTTTTTTTTCATGGTGTGCATGGCTTCGTAGGAGTGCCTTGTCCATTTATCTAAAACAAAACTATATACCTGACAATCGGTCTCTCGCATCACGTTGATGCACAGAAGCACAGTAGTCAAACCGCATTAAATTCTGGCCAAAGAAGGGGCGTACCAGCACGAAAAGGGTCGCACATATTTCCACTTGTTGGGCTCTCAGCTACATTCAAACCCAAGAAGAAAAAAGAACCGACCAGAGCGCAGCAATGAAGCTCATACTGAAGACGATCACAGGAAAGCAGCACGAGGTGGAGGTCGAGCCGACCGCCACGATCCTCGATGTGAAGAGGCTTGTGGAGGACGAGTACGAGCCGGCGTCGCTGCGGTTGTGCTACAACGGTGCAGTGCTGGAGGACAGCAAAACGGTGGTCGACGCGGGTGTGAAGGAGGGTGAGTCGCTCGTTTTGGCGGGACGGAAGCGCAAGATTCCGAAGCCGCCGGCGCCGCCTCCGGCCGATGCGCACAAAGCCGAGCTGCCGACTTCTTCCTCTACCGAGGCAACGACGCCTGCCTCGGCGGCACCGGTGGTGGCGAATAACGGGTCGGCGCCCTCCTCGCTACCGGAGGCCACGACGCCGTCGGATGCAACGGCTGCGGCCGCCAACGCTCCCGCGCCGACACCGTCTTTCCTCGCCGCGGCAGCCCCCGCGTCGACGTCATCGATGCCGGAAGCCGCCGCGCCCGCCGCCCCACCCGCCGTCAATACCTTCGGCGCCCCCACCAACCTGATCGACGAGGTCTGCTCGATGGGCTTCGAGGACCGTCATCAGGTGGCCCTCGCCTTGCGCGCTGCCTACATGAACGTGGACCGCGCCGTGGAGTACCTCGTCGACGGTATCCCGCCGCACCTCGTGCACGAGCTCACGCGCGACACCACACCGGCGGCGCCTTCGCCAGCGACGACGTCCACGCGGGGTGCGCCGACGTCAGCGGAAGCGTCCGCCGCACCGGCCCCCACCACCGCCTCCTCCGGCACCACCGCCCCGGTGCCGTCCGGGCCGGAGTCGGAGCTGCGTGCCGCCCTGGCTGGCATCCCCCAGTTCGATCAGATTCGCGCGCTATACCTGCAGAACACCGAGACGCTGCCCATCGTGACGCAGCAGATTGCCTTGCGCCACCCTGCGGTGTACGAGCTCATTGAGCGCAACCCAGAGGCTTTCTTGGCCATCATGAGCGAGACCGGCAGCCCGGGGATGACGGAGAGGTCACCGCCGCAGAGCGGGACTACCGCCGCGTCCACCGCCTACGGGACCGCAAGGCTGGATGAGGAAGGTGGCTTTATGAACCAGCTTCCCGCGGAGCTGGAGCTGACCGACGCGGACCGCGTCGCCGTGCAGCAGCTGGTGGAGCTGGGTGGTGGCATGTGGGATGAGCAGAGTGCCTTGCTGGTGTATTTGGCAACGCAGCGCAACCAGGAGGTGGCGGCGAGTATTTTGTTTGAACACGGAGGCGTGCCGCCGGAGCTGCTGACCGAGATCGCCAATCAGATGGCGGAGCAGGATGAGGACGAGGACGAGGAGGGAAATGAGGGTGAGCAGCAGTGAGCAAACGCTGGCTTCTTCTTTTTTGTTTTGTTTTTCGTCAGCGATTTACGTTGTGAGGGCGGGGTTTAGGGACGAAGTGTGCGGATTTCTTTGAGTGCATCATTGACTCTTCAGTTCGGCAGCTGACGACCCAACTCATTTTGTTCCTCGCGTTTCTGGCAACTATTTACTTTATCTTCTTTGTTCTCGTCGTTGTTGCTTCCTTCCTCGGTCTTGGCCTTTTTGTTTTGAAAAAAAGTTCTTCAACTCTCTCCGTTTTGTATTCGTTGTTGTCAACGTTTTCGGAGTTTAGCGCGTTTCTTCTGGATAAGGGCGCAAGCCTCTGCGTGTTGCTTCTCCTCAACGGACTGATCGCCGATATCGCTGCAATGTGTTCGCCGCCTTTAGCGAGCACTCCGCAGTAATTAAAATATAAATATATATATTTAACAAAAATGGGTAAAGAGAAGCAAACGAAACAAGCAAGCGCTCCACCACCTCCAAATTCGAACCGTGGCTTTCTTGGCGTATATCTATTCTAAAAGGCGTGAATCGAAGAAAAGCAACACCCACAGCCGTCTGTCTCCCCCCTCTTCTCTACCCTCCGCATCTTCTCCTCCGTCAAATACTTTCTTGTTTCTTCACCTCCCACCATTTTCCGCAGAGCCGTAAGCTCCGCCTCCTGCCAGGTGTACAGATACACTCCTTCTTTTTTTTTTCACACGACGGCAGTTTTTTCTTCTTCTGTGGCTGAATGCGTAAGTGCGGTGCTGCAGGAAGCGCTGTGGTGTTCGTTGTTGCCGCTGCGTCATCGTTTAAAAAAGAAAGAAGGAAGGATAAGGGAACCGCCTCGCACCGTATTAAGTGATTGCGCCACCTTTACTCGACCACTGCGGTTGGGGTATCACGCATACATACCCCCCAAAGGAGGTGCAAAACTGTGTGCATCGCGTTCAACGCTGAAAAGAAAAGGAATAGCTAATATGATGGACATTGCGACCGAGCCGGAGGTGCGCTGGGGAGCCCACGTGATCGCCCAAATGCTTCGCAAGAAGCAGTTCGCCGACGTCCTTGAAGCGCTGCGCCAGAACGAGCTGAACCGCACCCTCGACCTCACCGCGCTGGTCTGCATGGGCGTTGGGGCTGTCGTTGGGGCGGGCGTGTTCGTCATCACCGGCCAGGCCGCCTCCCTCTACGCCGGACCCGCCCTCTCCCTCTCCTTTGTTCTCTGCATCTTTCCTTGCCTCTTTCCTTGCCTCTTTACGGGCTTGTGCTACGCGGAGCTGTCGGCGATGGTGCCGGTGGTGGGGAGCACCTACACCCAAACTTCCCTCGCGCTGGGGGAGCTGGCGGCGTACATGGTGGCGGTGTGCCTCACGCTGGAAAACTTGGTATCGGGCTCGGCCGTCGCGGTGAGCTGGTCGGCCAGCGTGTGCGCCTTGCTGCGGGAGTTGGGGGTGCACTTTCCAGAGCTCTTTTCCCACTCCCCTGTCGTCGTCGACGGCTACCACTTTGTTGCCTCGGGGTCGATTTTGAACCTGCCGGCGGTGGTGATCTGCGCCGTGGTCACGGCGGTCCTCTGCGTGGGCATTCGCGAGTCGGCCATGGTGAACAACGCCTTTGTGTGCGTGAAACTCGGTGTGCTCAGCTGCTTCGTCTGCTACGGTCTGTACTACGCCGTCGGGCACTGGGACACCTTCAGGGAGAACATCACGCCTTTCATCCCGCCGAACGAGGGCTCCTTCGGAAAGTTCGGCACCAGCGGCGTCTTCCGCGGCGCGGGGGTCGTGTTCTTCGCCAACGTCGGCTTCGACACCATCTGCGCCACCGCGCAAGAATGCAAGCAGCCGCAGCGTGACCTGCCGCGGAGTCTCGTGCTGACACTCGTCATTTGCACGTGCTGTTAATGCGCCGTGACCATCGCCTTCACCGGCATGATGCACTACACGGAGCTGAACGTTGACGACCCCGTCATTGAGGCGCTCGTGCACGTGCGGGCGCCGTTCCTGCTGCGCGCGCTCGTCGACGTTGGCGCCATTGCGGGACTGACGTCGGTGTGTCTGATGGCCTTTCTCGCCATGCCGCGTCTGCTGCTGACGCTGGCGAAGGACGGCCTCATCTCACCCGCACTGTCGCGGGTGCACGTGCGGTGGCACACCCCGGTGGCGGCGACGGTGTGCTCTGGCGTCGTCGGTGCTGCCGTGGCGGGCGTCTTTCCGCTGGATATGCTGGGCGAGCTCATCTCCTTTGGGACGCTGGTGGCCTTCTTGTGCGTGTGCGTCTCCATGTGGCGTCTGCGCTGCACGGCGCCGAACTTCCCGCGCCCCTTCAAAGCGCCTCTTTTCCCCTTTACACCGGCGCTAGGCATTTTGTTTAACACGGTGCAGCTGCTCGCGCTTCCCCCGAGCACGTGGCGCAACTACAGCGTCGTCGTGGTCATTGCCTTTTGCTGGTATTTCTTCTACAGTCGTCATCACAGCACACTGCAGGTTCACCCGTCCTCGGCGCTGCACAGAACGGATCATGCGCTCTCTGTCGGCGTGGCGGCCGCTGCGGTCGATGAAGAAGGGAACGCAGTTGGTGAAGAAGACGAAGCCGACATGCTTGCAGAAATGGAGAAGGCCGATCGAAGGTTGACGTGCATCGAGGAAGACTCCCGAATGACGCACGCCACTTTGAGAGAGGACGATATGCCGCTTCATTGACCTCCTTTTTTAGAAACCCTTTTTACCGTACTTAATGGAAACATGTGACGTATGTGCTGCTGTGCTGAGGTTTGACCTCTCTACATTCAAGCCGAGTCAAGAGCAGTGAACCGGGGACGATCGGTTCTTTTTTCTTTCTTGAAGTCGTACGTATCGTTACATACATCAATACACATATATGTAGGCTTTCACGTTTTATCGAATTCGCTTTTTACTGTTTTATCTGCTTATGATGCACTCCTGACCGCCCGTAGAGCCGGAGGAGCGACGGACTGCATCCGTATATCGTATCGGTTCACATTTTCTTTGCCAATAGCTTGGTGACGTCCTTCACCTTTCATAAAAAAAGAGCTCAAACAATGCAGAGGAAAAGAACGAGAAGGGCTCTCTCTTCAACGCCACTTCACGTGGAAGTGGCGGCGTTTCAGCGCTGCCGCTGGGCACCACTGGGAATGAAAATGTGAAAAGGTCAATATAGTGCTCAAACGGGATGATGCAGTGTTCTTCAAGTGAGGGACATCATGTGGCCCTTTTGTTTTGCGCTGCGGCGCCTGCAGTTCAGCAATTGACACGGCGCTTCCCATTGTACTTTTTCCTTCTCCTCCACTTCCCCGTATTTTTTCTCTTTTTTTAGTAAGGCAGTAATCTAGGCCTGCGTACTCGTGACGTTGAACGTTCTCGCATTAACAATTTTCACGCCACAAGATCAGAAACGTCAGCTTCGCCGACCGCGTCTTGTGCCTGCAAAAGCACGAATAAGCCACCACGACTGTTAGAGTAGTTCTTTCTGTTCTATTTTACCGGTGTTTCTTCTCGTCCGCTTTGGACGCACCTTCTTTTTTTTTTCTCTTTCTTTTCGTTTCTTTGTTGTTGACCGCGTTTGCTCGTCTTCGCTTCCCACTATCCGGGTTTTTCTCCCCTCCCCTTCTTTTCCCCTTAGACCAAACACCACTACACACCCGATCAGCCGTTGGCGCTTCCGCGTGCAGCGAAGATGATGTACACGGGCGAGATTGAGAACGGGCAGATGCACGGCCGCGGCTGCCTCGTCTACCCCAACAAAGAAAAGTACGAGGGCGACTGGGTGTACGGCAAGCGCCACGGCCACGGCGTGTACACGTACGCGGATGGCAGCAAGTATGACGGGGAGTGGGTGGAGGACAAGGTGCATGGCAAGGGCACGTGCTACTACGCCAGCGGCAACCGCTACACCGGCGACTGGACCTTTGGCCGCATCAACGGCCGCGGCACCCTCGAGTACGCCGACGGCGATCGCTACGACGGTGAGTGGAAGGACGGCCGTATGCACGGCAAGGGCATCTACTACTACTCGAACGGCGACCGCTACGAGGGCGAGTGGAAGGATGACAAGCGCCACGGCAAGGGCACGGTGACCTACGCCGGCTCCGACGGCAGCGTATCGGAGAAGTACGAGGGTGACTGGGTGGAGGGCCGCATGCAGGGCTGGGGTAAGTACTACTACGCCGACGGCGGTGTCTACGAGGGCGAGTGGCAGGACGGCAAGATGCACGGCAAGGGCACCTACATCTTCCCCAACGGTAACAAGTACGAGGGCGAGTGGGTGGACGACGTGAAGCAGGGCTACGGCGTGCTCACGTACGTCAACGGCGAGCGCTACGAGGGCTACTGGCTCGACGACAAGGCGCACGGCACCGGCACCCTCACCTACCTGCAGGGCGACCGCTACACCGGCGAGTGGTACCAAGGCAAGAAGCACGGTCAGGGCACGCTGGCCTACAGCAACAAGGACACCTACGAAGGCGAGTGGCGCAACGACAGCGCGACGGGCCACGGCGTGCTCGAGTACGCGAATGGCTGCCGCTACGAGGGCGGCTGGCTGGACGACCGCCGCCACGGCGAGGGTCAGCTGCTGCTGCCCGACGGCTCCAGCTACGAAGGCGGGTGGGTGAACGGCAAGAAGGAGGGCCGCGCTCGCATCATTCTCAAATGCGGCTCCGTCTTTGTCGGCAACTGGAAGGACAACCAGATCGTGGGCCAGGGTGAGTTCCACCTGTCCGATAACTGCGACCTCAGCAATCCCGACTACTGAGTAGAAGAAAAGAGTTTCATTTTTTGGCGTTCTCGTCTTTTTCAGTTTATTTGTTTATCGCTAAATGTAGAACAATCGCACGTGCTCAGCAGCTCCTTTTTTTCATTCCCGCCTCACTCGTTGGCACTCTTTCTCATTGCCTCTGCCTTTCTCTTTTTCGAAAGTCACCAGTCTGCTTTCTCCCTGATGGTTTTCCATTCTTTGCCTCCTGCGGAATGGAAGTAGAAGAGCTGCCGCTTTCCGTTTTTAGATGGAGATCGTCCTGGCTTTTTTTGTTTCTCACGAACGTTGCAAGGCGTGGCATCACCTGGGCGTGCGCGGCGAGGGCTCGATAAGAAAGACACCTGTACATATTGTAGGCTTCTGTTTTGTGTCCTCCATCAGCCCTTTCCGGCCACCGTTGATTTGTAGGGTGGCGAATGACAACTCTCTGTCATTTTTTCTTTCGCACCTTACCTTCTTTTTTTTTGCTATCTGTTCGCTTTTTATAGATATCTTTCTGTGTGCTTGTTGAGGTGGCGTTATTCAGTATATTTATGTTTTTTCCCTCCACGACTGGATATGGCGCTTGTCTGGTTGCAGGCGCCCGCAGGAGCGCGCGCACAACGCTGACGGGTACGGCCGCACTAACCAACGGACACCCGTTCACACCTGCATGGCAGCGAGGCATTGAATCGCCCATCAACCAAGATGCAGCAAATATTTGATGTAGGTGAAGTGCCGAGAGCAGCGCAGTGTGCGGACCTTGTGCAAGCGTGGCGACTGTTTCATACCCTCCCTTTTTTGTTTCTTCGAAATGCACTTTCAAGTGTGTGTGTGGTGGTGGTGGTGTGGTGGGGGGGGGGGAGGGTGGAAAGTTATGGTGGTCGCTGATTTTTTGGTTTTGTTCTGAACTCCTGTTCTTTCCCGTCGCAGCTCTCACCGGCCTCCTCGGCCTCCTCTCTGTGGTGAGTGAGGCGTCGTAGGGCCGGGTTTGTAAGGGTGGTAGAAATGTAGAACAGAATGCAAGTTTATCGGTAATGATGTGTGTGTGTTTGTGTGTGTGTGTTTCTTGAACATCAGCTGGTTGGCGGTTTCTTGCATGCCTTTTTGTCTTCTTTTGTTTTTTTCTTCTCTGGAGTCTTTCGATGATGCGACGGTGAGGGTGTCTACAATAGAACGCACACACACACAAGGTATGAAGCAGAAAATACAAGGGACCAAACATGCTCCACGAGTACGCGCGTCACGAATGCGTGCGCGGAGCTCAGCACACCTGCAAGAAGGGTCGATCGGCGCGTTCGCTTGCCTCACAGCGGCGACGGCGTATGGTGCCGTGCGTTCGAGAGCAGTGTGCTGTGCTTTCTGCTTCTTTCGTAGCATTGCCGCCGCGCCGTACGAAGAAAAAGTCGGCGTGTGAAAGGTGACATTCGAAGAAGCGGGCCGGCGACGCAGCGAAGGTAGAAGGTATTGTCTTCTCGAATGAAGAAGTCGAACTTCATCCAGTGACGAGAAACAAAAAGGCGGCGTCGTGTGTCTTCTTTGTAATTCTCCTTCCACAGCAGCACCGAGGCGCTTTCTCCTTTCACTCCTTTCTTTTTTCGCGTTCTCTTCTTTCTTCTCCCCTTCTTTCTTTTCTTTTCAATGCTGTGTGCGCACGCAAACGCACCTCCACCCCACACGACCCCGCAGTACCTTTCTTTCTGATTGGTGCAGATGCCCTCTCACGCGAGGGGATCAGCGTTCGTCCCTGGACCCCTTCTTGTTTGCCTCCCGTATTTGCCCTCTTCGTCCCTTTAACTTGTTGTCAGCGTTGCCTTTCGTGGTTGTCTAGTCTTCACAGATGTGACGTCGGTGAGAGGTAATGCAAGAAATAAGGAGGGCAGCGGAGACAGCGAAAGGGACCAGTTTGCGAAGACTTGGTTTTTCTTCTCCACACGGCTGTAGGCGGCGAGTGGCAACAGACCATCTTGCTGCTCTTTGCCTTGCGCGCGAAGCGACGGTGATCACCGCGACGTGCGATGCATGCGGAAGGAAAAAATATATAAGATGTTCTCGTTGAAGGAGACAAGGAAGCAGCATGAGGATCCGCAAAAGTAAGCAACACACTCCCCGACCCTGTTCGTTTGCTTCCTCGCAGACAAAAAACCACATTACATCGTTGAAGGGAGAGTTTACTATCATTGTGTGTTTTGCGAAGGAGAAGCGGAAGGGTTTAATTGATATGAGAGAATAAAAGGGTAGTTCCAATTACCCATTCGATGACAGGTAGAGACGCTGTGTGTGAGTCCATTCTGTTGCACAGTTCTGGAAACATAGGAGTATGGCGTACAATGTACGCGCAATCTCTAACCCCATCGGCGCTCGCTGACGCCGCCGCCACGGGTGTTGTGCGCAATTGGGGGCCTCAAAGAGGTCCCCCGTCAGGCGGTCGGTGTACCCGCAATACGCTCAAAACACGTCCCTAAGGGATGACGAGCCACGCGGACGTATGGGATGAGTCCGAAGACGCAGACTCGCGTCTTTCGACGAACTTGGGTAAAGGAACCCGTGCCGGCGTTGGTAGCGCGGCGTCACGGAGTGGGCGTTGAGTGGAATTCCACCCTCTGCTCTTCCCCATGGGGCCGCCGCGTGGCAGACGCTTACGGCACCACGGCGATTTTGACCCACGGGGTGGAGGAGTCGCAATTCGAACTGAACCCGCCCCCTGCAGTGCCATCTGCCGGGGACAACGGGAATCTGCTTTCGTTTTGTGACTCCGACTTTTTTTTTTCAAGCATTGATGGGAATTGCTTGACCACGCTGAAAAGAGCAAGGTTTCTGCTTTATTTGTACCGTGGCTGCGAATGATTGAAAATTCTTCAAAAAATCTGATGTTATCGCATCTCAAAAGCCTTAGAACCAGGTTGCTTATCTCCACTCACTCCACGCAGAGACTGTTCTGCACCAACAGACACGCACACGATACGCAGGCGCCACATAACCCTAGATGGGTGTTTTTTTCCTCCAGCTTAGGTCACTGAGAGGGGGCTGCCGCGTTGCGTTCTCTTGTTTTTCCCCAAAGGGGCCCACCGACACACATGTCGACACACGAAGGCTCGAGTGAATCAGACCGACCTTCCGTCATGCTACGACCGAGCGTAGCTGAACCGAGCACCAGTGACATACTGGTCTACTGAGTTGGATGAAGCGTAAAAAGAAGACGGCACAATTCCAGCAGTTGCTGCGGCCACTGGATGCCCTTCCTGGCGGCTAAGTTTTTGTTTTCTGGCGAACGAGCTCGGAAAAGAGAGGGGACTTCGATCACCGCAAATTATTTTCCAAACACAACGTCTGTAGACGTTTTTGCGCAGAGGAGTAATCTGCATGCAAATGCGTTTCCTGAACACATTATGGACGAGCACGCTGGCATTTAATCTACCCAGCTTGAATGGCAAAAAAGCGCCTTTTTATTCTCTCTCTCACTATCTTTTAGACTTCGAAACCTTTTTCTTCTTCCCCTCAGGTCGTGTGGGCTTCGGTGACTTGTCGAACCAGGAAGAGACTCTTCTCCTTTTTGTTTTTCACTTTTCTTTTTCCTACTTGCTCAAGACTCGTGACGCATGCGACGGCGGAACAGCATAGGTGCCTTTTTCATTCTTATTTGAAGGCTGTTAAACTTGCTGTTGAGGCTGAAGGTGTCGGCCAACGTCGATCTCTACATGTATGCTGCCGACACTGGGAGGGGAAAGCACCCGGTCTTTTCATTTTTTCTGCCTTTTTTCTTTTAAACTGTTTATATATATATTATCTTCTTGGAGTTTCTCGGGTCTGAAAAGGAAAAAAAAAACACACATGCTAATTTCACATCACAGGAAACAGAAGCGCGATGGATGTGTCGGTGTTTGCACCTTAAAAGCGCTTGGTTGTTTGCTAGACTCCCGAAATAAAAAGAGGGGAGTTGAGGACTGCGCGCGCTGGCTTCGCGAGCAACGCGCAGCTGCCACCGTGAGGCTGTTGTAAAGCTTTGCGATTACAGCACTGCTTTGCACGAGTGACACAGAAAGCAAAAAAAAACCTATTGAGTACGACAAAGGCACCAGAGCAGACCTTTCCTAAAACGCTGCTTTTTTTGTCGTTGCCCTCATATTTTCGGTATTGGGTTTATCGCTGTTTTACAGCCTTGTTTTCACCACATCTCTCTCTCCTTTCTTCTCACGGGCCTGCAAAGGATTGCTTGTCGTCCTTTCTCACACTTCTACAGTCTTTCGCACCTTTTCCATGTGGGTGCTGACGTGCAAAGCACCCTTTCTTCTCTCCGCACACGTATAACCGCCACTTCTGTTTTCCTTTTTTTCAAGTCCACATCGTGCAGCTACCGCCCTATTGACCACTCCCCTTTTTCTTCGTGCTGTTGTGCGAATTTCAGCTAACGAGAAAGCAAGTGAACAACCTCTAAGTGTTATCCACCTCTGTTTTTTTTTCCTATTTTTGTGCTCAGCGAAAACACACCGTTACTCACGCAGGAGCGCCTCCCAGCTTCGCGTCACACAATGGAAACACTCAAAGGCTTCGCGCGGCGCACCACGCAGAGCCTGCGCGAGATGGTGTCGGGCGGCGAGTCATCCCCCGCGGACGCGCGGTTGACGGAGATTTCAAGCAAGGTGAAGACGATGGAGGCAAAGGGGGAGGTGATTTGCCAAAAGGTGATCCAGGCAGCTCGGCTCATGGAGGAGCTCGGCACCACCTTGAAGGAGCTGGGGGAAGAGTACAAGGGCGTGCCGGACCTCCCAAAGGAGAGCCGTGAACTCGCCGAGGACGTTTTTATTGTCGGCATCAAGCTCATGGAAACCTCGCAGGAGCACCAGAAAGGGCTGAAGGACAACGGCTTCGAGCTGCTGCGTGCCTTTTCGAAGCAGTGCGCGCACCTTCGCGAGGTGGAGGAAACGCGACGACACCATCAGCTCGAGTACGACTTTTTCAAATCGAAGGTGCAAGACCTCCGCTCCGTTCCTCAGAAGGACTTCACGCGTCTGCCGCGCAATGAGCAAATCTTAGAGAGCTGGCGGGTGGAGTTGTGGCGCGTGTCGGAGCAGAGTAAAGCGCTGTGCTCGCAGCTCTACGTGGACGGCCGCCGCGCGATCGATCGAAGTGTGCTGACGACGGTGCAGGTACTGCACAGCTTCGTCGAGATCGCCTCTTCCGGTTTCGCGCAGACCTTCCAGAGCGTCCGCCTGCCGTCCTACCCGCTGGAACCGGTGCTGCCGCCCACCGCCCTCCCCGCCGCGCCTGCACCCTCTTCGAGCCCCGCCGTCCACTACGGCGCTAGCGGCGGCAGCTACGCCCCGCCGTCGGCCCAGGGCTACGGCTACGCCGGCGGCAACACCAGCGCTTCCGGCAGCTTCAACGTCCCCAGTAGCAGAGCGAGCCTTCTCGGTGCGAGTGGCAACGGTGGTGCGCCCGCCCCGGTAGCACCGCCGGCTCCCGCGGCCAGCGCCGGCTCCTTGCTCGGGCCCCACACCCCGCTGACGTACGCGAGCGCCTCTGAACGAACCGATGCGACAGGCGGCGGCGCGGATTACGAACCGCCGCCACTGGACTCCTCCGAAGGGCGTGGAGACGCCTCAGGAGGGTACCAGCCACCAACTGTGTAGCGCGGTCTTCCGTTTCATACCTGTTCGAGCCTTTATAAACACCCACCCCCACCCACACACATATGAAGGAAAAGGTCCGTGCCTCTTCGTTCAAAGGGAGAAGTGCCTCCATCTGCCTTTACCGCCGTCGTCCTCTGCTGCGGATGCGTTCTTTCGCGATGACAACTGTTGTCTCGAAGCCGCAGCAGAGGATCTCTTGAAGAGAAAAAGACCTCTGTTCTGTTCCTCGTTTGCGCGCCGTATTCTCTTTCTCTTTTTCCTTTTCCTTTCGAGATGCGTTGCTTTGTTGTTGCTTAGATGCCATACATCGCAGCTGTGCCGCAAGATGGCGCCGCTCTCTTGCGTTTTTATTGCTGTTGCGGGAGTTCTCGTTGTGTTTCCTCCTTGACGGAAGAAAAGGAAAGGAAAAGCAAGAGCGTGCGGGCCGATGAAGAAGAGGACGATATGTAGAAGAAGCAGATAAATACTCCTCCCCTCCCCCTTTTTAAAAACTTGTTTTGCGGATCTTACACCCGAAATAGCGTAGCATGCAGGTGACTTTTAGCGGTGCCTCATCCTTTGCTCTGGGACATGCGGTTTGTGCCACGCAATGTGCGTCTGCGCTCTTCCTTCCCTCGACGTCTCTCCCTCCTCCCTCCCCTTTTCTCCCCCTTTCTCCCCCTCTCGACACCGCTCCAACTTTTACCGCTTGCGCTGCTGACGGATGCCTAGCGAATCTGTTAAAAGACAAAAAGGGTTTCTTTGTGTCACTACTGTTTTCTGCTGCTCAACACTGCTCAAACTGCAGTGGATTCATCTGTTGACGAAAAGCATCAGCTTCCCTCCTTACTTTGTTACTATTACCTATTCCGTATAGTCCTATACACATCCCCGTCTGTCAACGAATTATGCCCGACGCCTACCAGCTCATCCGCAACGCGACCACCGTCTTCGAGTACGGTGGAAAGAAGTTCCTGATTGACCCGATGCTGGCGCAGAAGGGCGCCTACCCGGGCTTCGAGCACTCCGCCAACTCCGAGCTCCGCAACCCTCTCGTGGACCTCCCGATGCGTGTGGAGGACATTTTAAAGGGCATCGACGCCGTTATCCTGACCCACACCCACCCGGACCACTGGGACGAGGCGGCGGTCCAACTCATTCCCAAGTCACTCCTCTTCTTCACGCAGAACGCGACGGATGCGGAGCTGCTCAGGTCTCAGCGCTTTACCAACGTTCACATCATGGAAGAGAGCGGCACCGACTTGGGAAACAACATCACGCTGCACAAGGCACCTTGCCAGCATGGCTCCGACAAACTCTACTCCGTTCCCCAGCTGGCCGAGATGCTTGGCCAGGTGGCTGGTCTTGTTTTCCAGCGGCCGGGAGGCAAATCGGTGTACTTCGCGGGGGACTCGGTGTGGATCAGCGGCGTGGAAGAGACGCTGCAGAAGTACAAGCCCGATTTTGTCGTGTTGAACGCTGGCAACGCGACGCTGGATGACTTCGGGCCGATTATCATGGGTGAAAACGACGTGATGCGCACCTTGGCTATTGCGCCGGATGCGGTGGTGATCGCGCAGCACATGGAGGCCGTCAACCACTGCGTGCTGACCCGCCAGCAGTTGCGTGAGTTCGTGGAGAAGAAAGGCATCGCCTCGCACGTCTTCATCCCGGCGGATGGCGAGTTCGTCCCTGTTGCGTAAGAGCACAGGAAGACGAGACTCCCTCCCCTCTCCTTCTGGCGGTGGCAACACAAAAAACTATTTTGCCAGGATGCTACAATGCGTTGTCGCATAGCGTTCTTGTGAGGCAGTCCAGGTGCTTCATGTCACACCTCCTCCCCCTTATTTCAAGGGAGCCAACAGCATTACCACAACGAGAATTCTGGTGCTCTTCTACCTTTTCAAGTTGTACTGCTGTTGCTGTTATTATTATTATTATTATTACTATTATTATTACTACCTTAACCTTCCTTCCTTTGCGTAGTCGACGAGAAGCGAATTCGATGTGGACGAGGCTGTAAGAGAAAATGGGTAAGCTAGGGTGAGAAATTATCGAGGGATATCGAGTGGCGCAAGCCACGAGATCAACACATGTCACCCAACATAGTACTAGTATAGGGGTACTCTCCTCGAGATGCCCCTATAAAAGGACTGTAGACTTTTGTCTTGTGAAAGTCGGGAGCAGAAAACGCTGTTTTTACACACCACACGTTTTCCGGCAAAACGCCTCTACATGGGGTCGTATGCCCAAACAGGCACCAGTTTCCCAGGATTCGAACCAATTACCCACTTTCCTCGACTGATTCCCTGCACTCCTTACCTACGGCGAAAACCGTAAAGCCTAGAGCCTTACGGTCCGTCCAAGCGTTTTTTCGTCCCGCCCGACCCACCCGTCGAAAAGGAACACGCTTTGCAGGCGCGCAGCGGGACCAACTCGGGAAGGCAGGTAAAACCGCTCTGCTACGGTGGGCTGCATTTGGTGCCATTGTCGGCCTTCTTTTCCTTGTTGTTGAGCTTCAGGCTACCCCCCTGCTGACGTTGTTTCCCAGTCAGCACGGCGGACCATTGGTGGGTCCCAGGCGGTAGCATCGCTCCTGTTTTGTTGTTTCTCTGTTAATTTTTTACTTGTTTGTTTTCCCGTTCGGGCATCTTTTTCTTTGCTTTCTGGTTTAGACAGGCGCACCAGGGGAGACAGATCTCACCCTCTGCCAGCCAGCACGGCGGCTAACGCGTCCTGTCGGCGACCGACCACCGCGAACACCTACGGAACACAAAACGTCTGCAAAGTTCCCTTAAACGGGGTGTGCCTTGGTCGGCGCTCTATTTTCATGTGATTGCTATTTTTCAGTTTAATACCTACTATTATGCTACTTTACCGGTTATACCTAGGCGATCTCCTCTACGTCCGTCCGTCAGTGTCTGCACACCTTTCACCGGTAGTCCACCGGTGGGTGCGTGGTAGGTTTCCTGCTTTGTTCACTACCACCACCACTTATTCTCCCTGATCGGTGCGCACGGGGACGGACCACGGCCAACAGACCAGGTCACCGACATGCACCCTAAGTAAGCGTGCTTCCGGTGGACCGCTGCGTTGTCTGGTATGGACCGTGTCCTCACACGTAACTCCATCTATAACATGTGTTTTTCCTTTTTCCTTTTCTTAACATGCAGTAGAGGGATCGGCCATAATAGTTTCCATTACCACGGGCAAAGAAAACGGTGTCTGCCTAATGTGACTTTCTGTAGCAGCACCATTAGTTTGATGATATTCGCAGCCAGATCCAACAACGGACTGGTTGTCTAGCCAAACCAACATTGCAACGAAGCGTGGTATACATATTGTATGCCACGCGCAGCAAACGTGAGTGGCCATTCCCACTGAGGAGTGGCTGCCATGTGGAAGCACATGATTTGCAGAATGGCTGCTAGCACCTTACGTTCTTCTTCTCCTACAGCACTTGCCTACGTGGACGCACGTGGCACGACTGTGCTCTCCACTACACTCTCGCTCTTCTTCTCACCTCACTTCTCTCTCCAGACACACACACACACATGGACCGTGTGACCCACTGCGCAGACCATCTCTCCACACACTGCGCTGGTCGGCACACGAGGGGTACCTACGGGTACCCACTCCTTCTTTGGTTGGGAGAAGGCGATAACCCTCTACAAAGAGTTTCCGTGACATTAACATACGTGCAGGTGTTGATATTATCTACAGTTTAGCTTCTTTTACCTCTTCGTACCACTTATTGATTTCTCCCTCTTGTTTTTATACTCGCGGTCTTCACTCGAATTACAGTCCACTTGACTGTCCTTTTACGTTTGATCGGAACTGGACGTTCATGTTTGGTGACCGTTTAAATCCGTTTCTCTCTTCCTTTCGACATCAACGAATTGCCTGCTCACAAACGCGCCCGTCTGCCGCCTTGTACACGCGTCCGACTGTCGTTGTTATTATTGCTATTTTTGTTGTTCTCTTCTGTTTTACGTCAGTGAAATCTTGAAACCCAAACAGCGACGACCACCACCACGACAGAAACGGACGAAGAGAAGAGAAACAAAAGTGCCTCAGCTCTCTCTCCTACGCGTACGACTGTCGAACACGTTTGCATGCGTCAGTTGCATACGTTATGCGAAAGCACAACTGGCGGCCATCAATCTCTGGATTCGCTGCTCTGTAGATGCCTGCACGGAGCGATTCGCCTGTTCGCTTTACTTTTCAAAAGCTCTCTTTTTGGCTTTTGAAATGCATGATCTGCGTCCCATTTTCTCTCCTCCTTTTCTTCGATCTGCGCACCGTTTCAAATTCTGCCTCCCAAACTCCTCAGTCTTTTGATACACACCGACACACCAACGAAACATAGATTTCTTTCCCTTTAGATTCACCTTTGCGCTGTGCGTCAAGCAGTTCTTTTCCCTTTGTATTTCTTTGGATTCTCATCCACCTAGACGCAACAGTGCGCAACTGACCAATTATATTCGCTTTCTCATATATATATATATATATATATATATACATATATATATCCTTCTTTGTCTGTCAAGAATTCCTTTTGTCTTTGTGCCGTGATTCACCTTTTGTTCGCTTCCCCACCATCTTTTTTCTGTGTGTACCACTACAGCGCTTGTGTTTCTTCTCCCTTACTTCCTTCTCGCCGTGGTTTCATCGCACGTGGGTCTAGTTCCTTCGTTTCGTCGCTCTGTGATGTGCGCTGTTGAGCTTTTTTGTTTTTGACGGCTGCTTTCTTGGGTTGCACTGCCTAGATTATCTAAGAGAGGGGTCTGTGAACTGCCCTTACATCGCCGCACACGGAACAATTTAACCCCCTTTCCCCTGTTCATTTATTTATTTTGTAGATAGAGCCGGTGGCCGTTCACCCCCCGCCACACGCTGGCACTCCGTCGCCCCTATATATTTTCCTAGACATCGCACTCTGTCCTTCTTCTTTTGTACATTTAGTTGTAGGGCACCATGCAGCAGGACCACCAGCAGCAGCAGGCGACTTCCTCCGCCATGGTCAGCGAGCCGCAATTCGCGACGGTCACCTTTGTTGGGGAGGACAACGTGCCTGGCAGCACCTTCCGTGTCCCACTGTGCAGCACCACTTCGGTGAGCCGACTTGCTAAGGATGCGATGAAGCGGCTGGTGCTGTCGCGTCCCAGCGAGGACCGACACCGTCAGTTCCCCGCCATTGTCGTCACGGAGGTGTACGTCGGCGGCACTGGCACGCAGCCGAAAGCCGAAGTGTTCGCGCAGGATGTCGTGCTACAAGTGGTGCGGGTGCGGGAGGAAATTATTTATATGAAGCTGCGGACGAGTCCTTCCTCAGCTGTGCCATCGCGACGCCCGAGCCCGCCCCCGCTGTCCGAGGCGACGCAGAGGAGCACCGTTGCGGACGCAAACGTCGATGCGACGGCTTCTGGAGACCCATCAGAGACCGCTGTGGCAAGGCAGAACGAAGATGCGAAGAAGGATAGCAAAGAGAGCGCAGCTGCTGCGGCTTCCGGACATTCTTCTGCCGTGCAAGCACAGCCGCCTGTCAGTCGGGAAGGCTCCGCGGCCCCTGCGACGCGACCCACGTCTTCTGCCATCACTGAAGTGAAGAAAGAAGCAACGCAGCCGGTTGCTGCAAGCGGCACTGCTGTTGCGCACCCCAAGCGTCCAGGCTGGGGGCCAGAGGCATACGAGCACTTCGCCGACAACTACGTCTCCACGCCAGGCAAGCGCCCCCGCCACGACGTTCGCAGGCTCGCCGCCGCTGCAACAGCAGCCGAGCGGCACGACACCAAGAAGACGAAAGCGGAGCCGAAGTCGAAGCCAACCGAGACGACGACCACCACAACTGCCAACGAACAAGAGACGATGCGGGGGCTGCGCTGGGGCCCCGAGGCGTCCAAAAGTTTCCCTTCCAACTACGTGAGCTCACCGGAGAAGCTGGCCCGCCTCGCGCGGCAGCAGCAGCGACGCATCGCTAGCAAGGAAACGGCGCAGTCAGCAGCAGCGCCACCTCCAACAGCACCTGAGCCGAAAGCCGGGGTGGCACGCGAGCTCGTGTACCCGGTGGAGCAGCAGGAGGTGGGCCGCACGACGGTGGGTCACCCTGTCGAGCGAGAGGTTATAACGGTAGAGGAGGACACCGCGTCCGCGACGCCTGCGGTGGGATTGCCGAAGGGGTGGGGCGCCGAGTCGCTGCGCTACTTCGACCCCAACACGTACTGCGATGATCCCAAAAAGGCCCGGCTGATGCCCAACATGGATCTTTCCCGCTCTATTCGCCAGCGTCGTCCGGCCTCGCCGTAGCGTTGGGGGAGGGGGTGGGGGTTCTTTTGGGGAATCCACGCACTCTGCGCTGTGCTTGCCGTCTCTTTGCTGCTTAATTGGTGCGTTGCACGCGGTACAAATACCAGCGGCCGCCTGTCCTCCTCTTTCACTGGGGAGCAACGAAGGACGCCGCGCTCGCCGTACAAGCGCACGTTGTGCGTCGTGTGTTTTTCTTTCGTTTATTCAGCTGCCTCGTCTTTTCGCTTTTGTCTTGCCCTTTACCTCTAGAAAAAGTTGTACCTCGTTTACCACCTATTAGATTCACACCAGCCTTCTTTGTTTGTTTTCTATTGAGCTTGTTGGAAGCCGTGGTCAAGCAGGGCCGGCCCTCGCCCTTTCTTTTTAGCTTCATTGTAGTCAAGTTTTTTCTTCTCTGTCTTTTCACGCTTGCGTGTGCGAGTACCGGGAAAGTTCCCAGCACGGATGCTTGGGAGACGCCGCACAAAGCAACACCTCTCCTTTCCTTTGTCGCGAGATCGAAGGCCATGAGAAAGAGAGCAAGAAGTCGAAGGCGGATCGTGCGTCTCGCAAATTCTCGCTGTGCTCCCTTGGCGTAGATGCGTAATGATGAATGAACAAGCAACCCCAAAAGGAACCAGTAAAGAAAAGAAAAGGTGAGAGTACGTTGTGCTGAACGCGGCGCAGATGTGAGGTGTGTCAGAAACAGATATATTTTTGTTCACAGCTCTCACTCGCCTCTTGCCGTTTAACGGCAAGTGGGGGTGTTAATTTGTACGGTGCGCATTGCAAAGCGCGCGAGCGCCGTTCGGTGCGGTGCTCGTCGCGCCCAACGTGCAGAGTACGAGGCGTTGGTGGTCAATCCTTCACGGAGTCCTTCTGGAGACGTGCCGCTCCACCAAACCCACGTGACAGAAGAAGGAAAGTGAAAGTGTTCCTGAGAGCACGATTGCGGCGAAGGCCTGGAAAGAGAAAACTTTCAAAACTCCAATGTCAAAAACTCTCGTCCTACCTCGTTTTTCTTCATTGGGTTCTCCAACACCGCACCTCTCCTATTCTCTTTCAACGGATACATTTACAACGATCAGGCTAACTGTAGCTCCACTCAAAGATGGTCAAGGTCAAGAGTCACTCCACCCTGCACATCCCGGAGGGCGTCACCGTGGAGGTGAAGGGCCGCAAGGTCACCGTCACCGGCAAGCGCGGCACCCTCACGAAGGACCTGACGCACCTGCAGCTGGACTTCCGTGTCGACAAGAAGAACCGCACCCTCACGGCGATCCGCTGGTTCGGCTCTAAGATCCCGATCGCGTGCCTGAACACCGCCAAGGCGCACATCAGCAACATGATCACCGGCGTGACGCGCGGCTACCGCTTCAAGGTCCGCTGCGCCTACGCGCACTTCCCCATCAACGTCTCCGTCGATGGCCAGAACATCGAGGTCCGCAACTTCCTCGGTGAGAAGCGCGTGCGCCGCCAGCTGGTGCCGAGCAGCGTGTCGGTGTCCCAGACCGACCCGGCCCAGGTCAAGGATGAGATCATCTTCGACGGCAACGACATCGAGCAGGTGTCCCGCGAGGCCGCCCTGCTGCATCAGATGTGCCTGGTCAAGAACAAGGATATCCGTAAGTTCCTGGACGGTATCTACGTGCAGACCAAGACGAACATCGTGGTCGAGGAATAAGCGCACCTTGCCTGTGTGGTTTTGCTTTCTCATTTAGCCCATTACGGTAAATGTTCTTTATCATTTCTTTACTCTTTAATAATAAAAAAAAAAACAATCCAACAACAAGAAGAACAAGCACGTTCATTACGTGCCGAATAAGATGTGTATGCGGTGAATGTTTTTGGTGAGGTGTCAGCCGCCTATCTCGGATATCTCGTCATGGGCAAAACCCCGCTTGATGCACTTGGGACTTCACACCTGTGCCTCTCTTCTCGTTCCTATACCATTCCACGCAGGGGGAAGCACACGACGTTGCTTGCGATGCCTCTCAATTTCTTGCGGAGCTGCTCCGCCCCGTCTAGACCGATCAGCTGCGCTGACAAACAAGTGCCTCTTTTGTCGCATGCTCGTCTCAAGGGGTTTCACGCCTTCGCAACGTTCAGAGATTCTTCCCTTCTCATCTCTTTGCTCTTCATCTTTTTCTTTCTCTCTGTGTCAACTATCGGCTCCTTTGTCTTTCAATTCGCTACTGCCATCTTGCTTTAAAGCAGCAGAGGACTGCGAAGGAAACGTATTTGTAGCTACCGGCCACTCTGCTCTTTGCCCCATCGTACCAGCGGGGCGCGCTGACTCAACAAGAAGCCTTTTTATCTGTGGTGAGGATTTTTCCTTCTTTTTTCTTCGAGCGACTGCGCAAGTTTTTGCGGATTGTGGTCTCCGCAAACATATAAGTACATATTTCTTTTGCTTATTCGCCTTTATCGATGCGTTCGTCGTCGGTGCGGTGTATGTCCATGTGGGACAGCCCCGCCTTCGAGCACAACCCCCTCACCCGCTATTGGAAGAAGATGATGGACCGCAGCGGCAACACCCTCACCTCGCAGAGCATTCCCCGTCACATCCACGGCTACCTGGAAGGCTCCAACGCGCGAACCGAGAGCCACCTCCGCTGGTTCCCCTACAAGCAGGAGATGACGGTGGACGGCCGCTACGTGCCGACGTTCAAGGATGTCATCTACACCCACTACTTCCCCAAGGAGTTCAACGATGATGAGCGGGTGAAGTACGTCGCGATCAAGACGGGCCGCTCCGAGCTGGACATCGCGGATGAGATATTCCTCATGCGCAAGATGAAGCTCTTCACGGCTCAGCTCCTGCGTAATAAACTCCGCAGTCGACCACTCCGCATGCCGCAGGGCGTCGACTACAGCGGCATCGAGCGCCGCTACACGCTCGGCATTTCGAAGGTGGCGCAAGCCATGGGTATGAGTATGTACAGTACGACCTCCTACAACCCAGTGCTCATGCACTCCCCGTATCTAGATATCGGCGACTGCGTGGACTTGATCGTCACGAAGCAGCTTCGCACCTCACAGCAGTACTTGTTGTGCGACATCGTCGTACACCGCGGCATTCCCCACGCCCGACTGCCGCAGGTGAAAGGAGAGCCAAAGGAGCCCCTCGAGCGCATCGAACCGTGTCTTTACCAATTCATCAAGCTGCGTCTCGCTGTGCTTTCCGTCGTCGCGAAGCAGGAGCAGTACGTGGTGGATCACCAGTTTGATTGCGGTCACCGCTACGGTGGGTGCTTGATTCACCTCTTCCCGTCCCCGCTTGATCCGGAGGTGATTGACCACGAAGTCGAACACATCGAAGTGGACTTGGAGCTGGCGCATACGTGGATGAAGCACTACTACGACCATTACGTGGCACCTCGCCGCAGTACATGAACAAAGCTTGGCTTACGTTTTGTTTCTGCTTTTACGCTTTGCCTGTGAGGGGACAAAGGAAGGAGCCGCACATCATTTCTTTGTGAAGTGCACCACGTGCAGCTTCGTTTACTTGCGTCCACTGTTTTTTTTTCCGATTGTATTACCGTTTGCGCCTTCTTCACAGCCTGCGCTGCCGTTTGGCGCATTCATCGATCTCCGCCCTACTCACCGCTGTATTAAAACCAAACAAACAAAATACTACCGAAAACGAATGTTTCAAAGTGAGGCGTTGGTGATCCCTTCATGCTGCTTCTCTTTCGTTAAACAAACAAAAACGAATAGCGTTATTATGCCGTTCAGAAAAGAAAATGTGAGGCTGAGCCGCTCTCTTTTTCTTTTGCACTTGCATCGCCTCTTCTCCTCTTCTCCTCTTCTCTTTTACCCATCCGCCCCCTCGCCCGCCTCCTCGCGAAGGGCTCGACTGGCCAGCACCAAAGAACAACATCAAGAACAACAACTAGCAAATACATTCATTTCGAACGTTGCGCTGCTTTGATCACAGGAGCAACTTCACCTGGCTGATCAGCTCGTGCTTGGTCCTTCTTTTTTTTTTTCATTCGTTTTTTCTTCATTCTCTTACTGCGCTGGCACCGATAACTGTGCAACGCCCGCTGCAGGAAATAGAGGAATTCTCACACGTACCTTTGCTTCGTTTCCTTTTTTGTCTTTCTCTCTTTTTCTCTTTTCTCTTTTCGCTTTGCGCTTCGTCTGCCGTGACACGCTTCCCTCCCTGTTCCTTTGTTGCCATGCTCACATCAGAGTTACAGAGCAGTGCGGTGGACGCCGGCGTGGATCCGGAGGTGTCCGCCATTCTGCGCTCCCTCGCCCCCGAGGAGGTCGACATGCTACGCGATGCCTTCATCTACATGGACAAGGACAGTGACGGCTACGTGAGCAGGGAGGAGATGATGGCGCAGGTGGCCGCCTGTGTTGGCCCGGAGCGGTTCGACCCGCTGCAGGAGTACTTGGTGCCGCTCTTCGGCGTTGCAGACAGGGATGGAGATGGGCGGCTGAGCCTCACAGAGTTTCTGGCGGCGTTCGCCGACGGCCCCGGCGTGGTGCCGGCGGAGGTGATCAACAACTGCGTCTCTGGCGTGCGGGTGCGGCTGACGGATGAGGAGATCTTTGCGCTGCAAGACAACTTCCGCCGCATCGACGCGAATCAGGACGGTGTGGTGGACGCCGAGGAGCTCGAGGCGGCGCTGCGGGAACACCTGCTGACCAAGTTCCCTGACCTCACCGGCGAAAACTTCAAGGAGATCGTTTCAGTCGTCATGGCGAGCGCAGACGCCGACCGAAACGGTGTCTTGTCTCTCTCGGAGTTCATTCGCAGTTACCAGGAGGATCAGGGGGTGCTGCCCGCCACTTTCCTCGAACCCAGTTTTGACTGCGTGAGTGCGGCGAGGCAGCTGACGGAGGAGGAGACGACGGTGTTGAGGGAGGCCTTTGCGGTGCTGGACCGCAACGACGACGGCTTCGTCGACGCGGAGGACCTCTACAACGCTCTGTGGGACACGCTGGGGCGCGGCGTCGAAGACAAGGACCAAATCCGCGACCTGTGCGACCTTATCATGATGACGGCGGCTCGCAGCCGCCACGGTCGGCTGACGGTGACGGACTTCATTCGTGGGTTTTTGTCTAACGTGCAGTTGATGCAGATTCCCGTAGCGGTGGCGCAAGAGCGGGTGCGGGTGGCCTGCGACAAGTTGCAGGAGATGCACAACTCCGGCGAGCTAGAGAAGCTGGTGCTCGTGTACGAGGACCTGGACAGCGACGGCGACGGCTACGTGGCGCGGTCGGAGATGGTGAACGTGCTCAAGACGCTCTTCCGCGACGCTTTTCCAGGCTGGGACAATGAGATGCTGACCTCCGTGATGACCGCCATCGTCGTCGGCGCCGAGACGAACAACGGTGCGCGGATCTCGCTGGAAGAGTTCATTCGCAGCTTCGTTGAGGGCCCCGGCGCACTCTCCTCTCCGGCTGGGCGGTCGTTGAAGGTGTCGAGTTGGCGGCAGGCGAATGCACCGGACGCGACGGCGGCCTCCGCCCCGCACCGCGAGCGCAACCTGAGCACCGCCACCGACGAGGACCTCCAGCGCATCAGCGAGGCCATCCGCAACCTGCACGCGCAGAGCGGCAGGGACGGCCGCGTCGCACCCGCGGTGCTGCACACCAGTATCGCCCACGTCTACGCCGACGACCCCCAGCACGGGGAGGAGATGTACCAGTACGTGCTGCAGCAGTTTGTGCGGCCCCGCAGCGATGGGGCGCTGGAGTGGAACGAGCGTGTGCACATCGAGGACGAGGACGAGGCCGAGGCCGGCGTCGACGTCCACTGCGCCTCCGCCGGCCTCGCTGCTGCGGCGTCCACGCCGAACGGCAAAGCGACGTTGAACGGAACAGCGTTTGCGGAGGAAGCCATGCGGACGCAGCCGAAGACCCTCACCTACGGCATCAGCGGTGGGCGTGCCGCATCGGGAGGGAAGGCGATGGCGGTGCCGCTGAAGCCCTCCGCACTGGATGGACTGCACGCGTCGCAGGACGGCAGCCGCGGCAGCAGCGTCTACTTCGACGCCGACCTCCAGCAGCAGTTTGACCGGTACGACATACGCCACAAAGGCTACCTCGACCGAGAGACATTCAAGAAGACGTACCGGCAGATGGAGCACTTCGGGCTCGAGCCGTCGCCGAAGGAGGTCGATGTCCTATTCCGCCGCTACGCGAATGGGTCGGATAGGATCTACTTTAACGAGTTCTGCATCCTCATGCTGCAGCGTGCGCGCTTGTAGAGGGGAAGGGTGTTTTTTTTTTCCGTTGTAGCTGTGTTGCTGTGTCATTCAACGTAAGGCGATCCCTCTCTTTTTCTCTGTTCTATTTTCCACTTTGTGTGCACTACGCAAATGCGATTCTCGGTGTAAGAATAAAGCGTTACATTCGTTTGTGTCCGTTCGACATTATCGTTTTCTGCGGTTTCTCATTTTTTTTGTTTTCCAATTTACTTGGAGTTTGAATCGATGTGATGGGCTCTTGATTAGCCTGATGTATTTCAACCTTTCTCTTCTTCTATGGAAAAGGTATTTTGCGCTGCTCTCTGATGTTTATTAAGCCTCTCTTGAAACAACGAAAAAGGCGATGTTTCTCTATATTTATTTTTTCTGCGCTGACGAGGCATATTCTTGTTGTCTCCCCTTTCTCCCTTCTCGCTGTTGAAGCGGGTCATCTGCGCTCAATTAATATTGGCCTTTTCTTCCTTGTTTCTGTGTGCTGGTATGTGCGTGTGTTTGCTTCACGCCGAGCTTCCGGCTACCTTCACAACCTTTAGCGGTGCCTCTGTTCGGGCGTCTCTCCCCATCGGGACTTCTTTTTTCCTTCCTGATGTTATTGTTGACATGTTTTCCACCGTCGCGGATGATTGTAAAATCAACAGTAGACATTTTACTATGAAAAAGAAAAAGACTCACATAGTTAAGAAGAAAAAATAAAAATTCATCGACGCGCCGCCGCGAATTTCGACTGCACAATGATGCAAGATTCTCAACGACGCTTACGCAGAGTAAAATCCAAAATAGCTATGATGGCGCCTCATGTTTTCAAACAGGCGCCTTCGAGTTTCCACGCTCTTTATCTGCCAGATGATACGAGGAAATCATTTCTTCCTTGACGCAAAAATGTTCGGGGACACCCGATCATAGGTATATCGCTACTCTCCTCTCTCTCCTCTCTCTCTTCTTCTCGCTTTCACCTCCACTTCGTTCACGCACTGGCCGGAACTTTTGCATAGGTGCTTCAGGTGCCTGCGTTCTTCTTTGCTTCCTTTTTAATCTATGTAAACTCTTTTTTTCCTTCTTTTCGACTGTATTGGTGGTCGTCTTTCGCAAGCGTTCCTCTACACTCTTGGCTCAACGAAGGAACAAAACACGTTTTACAGATTTCTGCTGCGGTATTACTGAGCGTTGAACATAAGATTTGGGCGTCGTGTTTTTTTTTTAGTTTTCATCTCGGGTGCTGAGCACACTCATAGCTGAGTGTGTGCGGTCTTGCTTTACTTATACCCCAACAACACCTGTTTATTTGCTTTTTTTTCTGTTCTCTCTGGTTTTGCGTTTCTGTGGCTCTAAATCGTTGTTGGTTGGGCATTTGTTGTTGCCACTGATTTCTTGCTATATAATCTAACTTGTGTGTTTCTTTCTTTCTGCTGTGGACCGCTTGGTGTCTCGCAGCTTTTTTTCATTCTTTTATTTCTATTGTGTGTGTGTTTTTTCCTTATAAACAGATTTAGTCCGTTTCTTTTTTTCCCTTTGTTACTTGTTCGTTACTGTTATCCTCCCTCGTTTTGTGTATACACCGTTAAAAACCTCCCTTCTCTTTTTCTTTCTCTTTTTCTCTTCTCTTTTCTTTTTTCTAAAGTTGAAGAAAAGTCTGTTGTTGTTGTTGTTGAAAAGGCGAAGGAACAAGTCGCGTAAAAAACAACACGGTTTTACCTCGCGGGTCTTTTTTCTAGTTTGGGTGTGACGTGACGCAGATTCGTGGAGGCGTTCTCCCGTGAGACAGCCGCGGCACGCAAACGCTCTCGCACGCATCACCGCATCGACACTTTCACATCCCCAGAGCTGAGGCGTACTCGCTCGCAAGCAGCGGCACCAGCGAAGAGTCTCGACTGCATTGACCCGTGAGCACGTATTATTGTATTCTTTGTTGTGACTACATCCTGTTTTCCCCTTAGTATCATTCCTAACAATTTATTGTTACTGTTATTATTATGTTTCTTTTCTGATCGGTGAGTGTTCTTCTTTCCTTTTTTCTTCCTGTTTGTTTCTTTAGGTTGGATTTTATGAGTGCTGTTTTCGCTCTCTCTAGTTTGCTGTTGTCACCGGTGTTGTAGTGAACGTCATCGCACACACACACTTTCTTTTCTTCTTTTTCCCGTAACGGTTTTCTTTTTTCTCTCTTCTGCTGTAAGTTTTTCCCTCCTTCCTTTTTCATTCATTTACATTCTTTTTATTTTTGCCCTTGCCCAGTCGAGGTTTTTAGTGAGTCTCTCCGACAAGTGGGTGTATATATATTTCTTTGTATTAGCTGTAAGTTATCCTTTTTTTTTTCTCTCTGTGTTGTTGCGTAATACCACCGTCAGTATTGCTCCGTTGTGCTCCAGTACCGGCATTAAAAAAAGAAAAGAAAAGCTGTTGATCACTGCTGCACAAAGAAGCACGACAGACACAAACATTGTAGAGAAGTGTATCATATTTCAGAGAATAAAGGGAAAGTTCTCGGTTTAGTGGGTTTTTTTTTTACACTGATTTGCGTTTCCATCTTCTTTTGTTTGCTGGGGATTCTTTTTGCGCTACACATATTTTGGTTTCTTGTGCCGGACCGACGTACTGTTTCTTGCGCACAGCACGAAACGACGCACAAAGCAGTGCAGTTCAGACTTGGCGGGTTTTGAGCTCCTTCCTTTTTTATCCTTCTTCGGTGTGTTGTGGTGGACATCACACTGGCGTTCCTCTTTTTTTCTCTCTGTTTCGTTATTCAACAGTTGTAGGTAGTCTTGTTGCAAATTCAAGTTAAAAAGAGGGGCTTTGCGGGATCTTTGCCTGTTCTCGAACTCTTGTTGTGATCACCCACACCGTGATCTTCTCTTTTTTTGCTTTCATTTTGGTGTTGTTTCTTGCGTGACAGCATGGATAGTCCTGTGTCTTCCATGGGCCGGGCGTGGCACGCCGGCGCTATCACCGCTGCCCCCCGTCCCATCTGCACCTTCTTTGCCATGGGTGGCTGCAACAAGGGCGACCGCTGTCCCTTCTCGCACGAGTTGGTGCAGGTCGCACCGAAGGGAGTCGACGTGTCCAACGGCTTCTACATCAGCGGCAACGTCGCGAATTACAAGGCGGCCTCGACGGTCGCCTCGCCCTCCTCGCCGAACTCAGGCCGTAAGTCGGAGGAGGCCGGCAATACCAGCAGCACCGACGGCCTCTCCACGCTCGCCTCGCCGTCGTCATACAGCGTCACCGGCGTCTCGCTGAGTGCCGACGCAAAGGAATGGGTGAGCGCCGACAGCAGCGGCGGCGGCGGCGTCGCACCGGTGCCGTGGGGAGGCGCGGCGACGGCGACGGCCGCCACCGCTACATCGCTCACGACGCAGCGCCCCGCGATTTCGCCTACGACGCGCACCACCACGGCGTCTCCGACGTACCCGCCATCCGTGCAGCCCCCTCAGACTCAATCTGCCCCAAAGCCACCACCTCAGCAGCAGTCGCAGCAGCGTGTTGTGCCAACCCCGCCACAGCCATACCCACAACAGCCACAGCAGCCACAGCAGCCACAGCAGCCACAGCAGCTCCAGTACAATCGCCCACTACACCAGTCTCCAACACTACCGCAGAACACGCCGCAGATGCCGATGTCCGTCTTCGCTTCGCAGAGTCAGCAACCCCCGCAGTCACCGCAGCGGCCTCCGCAGCAACAACCTGCCGCGCCGCTCCCCCCGCAGCCCCGCAGCGTCGCTAACGCACGCCACACCGTCGCCTGCAGTACGGAGAGCCCCGCACCCGTGCACAAGTACACGGCCCCGTCGACTCCCACGCAGACCACCCAGCCAATGGCGGTGGTGGGCAAGTACTCCATTTCGCACCCCGTCATCCAAAACCCACCGCCGCGGAGCGTGACGAGCCTGTCCTCGCTCAGCTGCTCCTCGCCGGCGCCAATCTCCCCCGCCGCGGCCCCGACGTCGTCGCCATCCTCGTCGACACCGTCCAGCATGTACGGGCAATTCCGCAGAGAGTCGGACGGGGTGCCGGCCATCACCCCGACGGCGCCGCCGCGTTACACCGCCTCCTCCACCGCAATCGCCTCCCCCACCACGCCCACCCCGACGCCGGCAGCGACGAATGCCACCGCGGGTCGCTTCTCGAGCGCCGGCCTGCCGCAGCTGCCGATGGGCACGGGCACGCTGGCGACGCGCGCCGAGGCGACGGTGCACCCCGTTGAAGCGCCGCTGCCGCGCAGCCGTGAGGTGAATGTGCCGGCCGTGGAGCACGCCGTCGCGGTATTGTCCAAATTTCATCCGACGACGACGCTCTCAGCGGCCAACCCGACCGCGACAGCAGCCCCGCCGCAGTACGAAACGAAGACGGTGGCCGCCACAGCAGCAGCCGTGACTACGGTGGCGACCTCGACGGCTCTCAATGCGCAGAGCCGGGTGGTGCCGCCTGCGCCGCGCTCACTGCAGCAGCAACAGCAGCAGCAGCAGCAGCAACTACAACAGTTCCGTGCCCAGCTGCAGGTACAGCAGCAGCAGCAGCAGCAGCAGATAACGCCTCAACCGCAGTCCCAGCACGACGCTCCGTACCAGCAGCCTCAGCAGCACTACTATCTGCAAGCGAAGCCGACTCACACGCCGCCTCAACAACAGCCGTCACAGCTGCAAAGGCAACCGGCACAGTCGCCCACACAGCAGCTGCAGTGCCAGTTTCGGCAGCAGCAGCCACAAAAGGCCCAACAGCAGCAGCAGCAGCAGACAGTCTACCTGCTCGCGCAGCCTCGCTCCGCTGCCACGGCCACCCCACCACGTGAGAGCTCCGCTACCGCGGCCAACCAGCTGCCCCACGGCTACTCCATCGCCTACGCCCTCCCCACCAACGCCACCTCGCCAACGCAGATGATCACCACCGAACAGCCGAATGGCACGCGGCCGACGTACTCCGTCCTCTCTTCCGGCAGCCCGCATACGCAGCAACAGGCCTTCCCTCAGTCGAAGAACACGGTGCTCTACCTGGCGGAGTCGCAGGTGACCTCGCACCGCAACAACACCGCAGCAGCTGTCGACAACTCCGCTCCTCGCTTCATCCTGGTCAAGGCGGATGGCACCTTCACGGTGCTGCAGACCGCTTTCTGAGCAGCGAGCCGCCGTCGACTTCGACGGGAACGGATTCTTTCTTCGCGTAGTTTCCCTCGAGTTTGGCGTGCATTTGTGCGGGACGAAAGCCGTGCGGAGAAGACCGGCGACGCGCTGAGTGTTGCTGCTCGAGGCCCCAGAGAGGGCAACGAAAGAAAACGAAGAAACTGCTCGAACAGCGCGGCACGGGGTGAGGCCGGATGGACGTGTGATGCACTCGCCCTTGGGACGGCGTAGAGAAATGTGGAAACGGAAATCGTGCTGCTCGTTGCAAGCTAGACTGCTGGTGGTGGACGACGTGGATGCTGACCGCGTGCGTTGATGGGTGACGGTAGCTTTCGAGTGTGAGTGGCTCCTTAGCAAGTGAGGTCAATCGGTGCGAATAGAATACACGTCATCCGCACTCCATACCTTTGCCTTGTTTTATATATTCAAAGTGGTCATGCACGTCCCACGCTACTAAACACACTCACACACTTCCAAATTAGCTTTTTTTTGTCTTCTCTCGAATATTCTAAGCTCCTTGTTCACCGCGACGGCTCTCCAGCTCGCGTTGTTCATCTCTCACCTCAGCTCCTTTTTCCTTACTCGCTTCAGTTCCATCAAATGAATTCTTCTGTTTTCTCTCTCACTATCTCTTCCGCTCACGTGTTCTTCTTTCAAATATCGGCTTCTCCTCTCTTCTGTTGCTTCGGTCGCCTCTTTTCTTTTTCATTTTCTTGCCTTTGTTTTTCTTTCCATGTTTCTGCTCATTCACTCATGCGTTCGACAACGTTGCTGACAAAGGATGTGTGGGTTTGTTTTTCCCTGTCTCCACGGAAGTGTGCACAACGCGTTCACTGCGGTTGATTCTTTTTTTATTGTTTTATTTTTCCCTTTCGCAAGTCTTTGTGATCTGCCTTCTACAGCTATTCCCCCAACCCTTTCCTACCCCGCATCGTTTTTGCGTCTCTCTGTTGCTCCTTTTCTTTTCTCGCATGGCATCTTACTTGCTTCTTGTCTGCTTCGTCGTTCTCGATTGGTGCGTTTTTTAATGGTGTTTGATTTTTGTGACTTCCGAAATTCTTTTTCCTTTTTCTTTTTCTTTTTGTTTTTGCTGTTCCTCTCTCTCTCTCTCTCTCGCGAGACAGGCGTGTTATTCCTTCAACCCAACCTTTGTTGCGTTTCTTTTCTCTCCTTCTCGCCTCTTGGGGTAACTGCTTTCTTCTTGTGCTTGATAAATCGCTGTTTTATTGAACCGCGCTTGTGTGGGGTCGCTGTGCTTTTCCTTATCCTTCCCCCCCCCCCCTTGTAGATACTCATCCGTTTGGATGACGTTGTTGATGTGAAGTTGTATAACAAAATCAAAATCAAAATAAACACGCCACCTTGTAGTTTGCTGCTACAGTTTTTCTCACCTTTTTTTCCTTATTATTTTGCTTTTTTTTTTTGCCTTATTGAGTCGTTTTGAAAAGGAAAAACGAATCATTTGCCCGCAGCGTGTTTTTCTCTACGAATAGTAAACATTTCTTCTTCGGCGCGCTTTTGCTGCTTCTACGTTTCTTTTCGTTCCGTATTGTGTGTGTGTGTGTCTTTGAAGTCGGTTCTCCGTCTTTCTCCTTACATATATCTATATATATATATCTATATATTTCACCATGAACGAGTTTCTTTCTTTATTATTATTTATGTGCCGCGCTGCATCGAGGTTGTCGAAATCATGCGCTGAGTTGAACGGTGTTATTTGATTATTATACGTCCTTTTTTTTCTGATAAACTTCACAGGCATTTCGGTTGATTTGACTTTATCTGCTCGTTACATCGTTGATTCTCTTTTTTTTTCTTTTAGTTGGTCTCCGACTCGTTGTCCTTGTTGCGTTGGCAGGGAAAATTTTGATCGCTTTCACGAAGCGCTGACTTCCATGTTTTTATTAATGGTTTCGTTCTCTTTTCATACTCTGTCTTTCCTGAATTAGTGTAGTGCAACACGTACCTCCCAAAAATTTCCTTCGATATCACTTTGGTGTGTTCTCATTGCTTTTAGATATTCGCACGTTCCGCACTCGGGTTTTTTTTCTTTATAATTTTGTTTCCCTGGCGCCCTGTTTTTGACGTCATCGTTTCTCGGCAACCAACGTTGTCGGTTTAGTTCTTTTTTTCTTTCGCTCACTCCCCCCCCCCAAAAAAAAAAACGCGAATAAACATGTTTTTCTCTTTCTCGGTCGTAGATACTAATGTATGATGCACATACATATATATGAATGTTTTCTCCATCGTCGTTGTGCGTACGATGTCCTGCGAATGCAGGAAGCGAGAGGCGTGGTCAGTAATAATAATAATTATATATATTTTGATGACCGTCAACCCCAAAGTGGTCAGACTCTAGCTTCTCGCGACTCTGACTCGGCAGGCTGCTTCGGGTACTGCTTCCGTGTGCGGTGTTTCAGCATGTCTCTCGTGTTTCCTCTTCTGTCTTATGGCAATATCTGTCCTCTATTTCTTATATATATCTGTGCGTCACAAAGCCAGTGAGAATGAAGGGAAACTCTCTCTATTTGTTTCATAGAAATGTTATTATCATCATTTTTGCATCGATCATGATATTTGTTTAACTTTAATGAGCAACGCCATCGTTCAGCCAAAAAAAAAAAAGAGAGTAATAATACCCAAGAAGAATCATTCTTCTCACGTTTAACGACTCCGTGAGCTCTTCAAAAACGCGTCCACGACGCCATCACGCCCTTTTTCCTACTACTTTTTTCCCGGTTGTTGCTGTCAGCCATCTTTTTTTCTTTCAAGTTCTCGTCTTGTGTTCTTACACTTTTCTGTTTTGTTTGTTTTGCTTTGGTTTTGCTGTTTTGCGCCTCCTCCGGGTTGGTAGACGACGCGGATGTATACGTTGATGAAGAGAAAAGGTAATAAATTTCAATAAACCAAACAAGGTATTTTTATGCTACCAAGTTCTTAACGCTTTTTTTTTCTTCTCCTGTGTGCTTTTTCATGGACGTCGTTTTGAAGTCGCAGTTACATCTGTTTCTGTTTCTGACTGACTTAGAACTGTTTTTGTTATATTGTTGCAATAACTGTGTTTTGTTTCTGCAGTTGCGTGAGAATGCGTTTGAGCCTTTTTTTTGTTTGCTCTCTCTCGCCTACTCGTTTCGTCTGTGCTTTCTCCGCTCCTTTCCCATAGATGAATGTTCCTCTATGAAGAGTGGGAAAGGTAGGTGCAGCGTGTGTGTGGTGTGGTCTCCTTTGCTCTCTTCGCTTTCTTTTGGCTTTCTTCTTCCTTTTTTTTCTTTTGCTTCTTGTGATATTCATTCGAGTTGTGTTTCTTTTTTTTTTCTCCTTATGGCTGCGCCCAAAAGCACACGCACAGAAACAACAAATATATAAATGCGAGTGGTCGTGCCGAAGCAGCTTGCGAAAAGAGAGATCACCTTCCTTTATTTCCTCTCTCTCTTTGAAATTTCTCCTATATACGCTCATGTTGTTCTTGCTATTCGCTACCTTTGCGGACCTTTCGTTTTTATTTCATTGATTTGGATTCCTTCTCAGCTGCATTGATGCGGTGCCTGTCTTTCTCCCGTTTTTTCCTTTATCATTAGGTTTTGTTTTTATATGTAGCTGTGCTTTTGTGTGATTCTGTCGATGCCGTTTAATCGCTCTATGGATGTTTTAGAGTTCGCCCCTCCTGTTCTCTGCGCTTAATTTCTGTTGTCTATGTTTGTTATTGTTTTGTTTGTTTTTATATACCCGTAAGAGTATTCAAAGGATGTGCCTTGTCGCTCTCTCGTCTCTCTTCTCTTTTCTGTCTCCTGCCTTCGGTATTTTCTTTTTCGCTTCTTTTTCTAAAGTTCTATTCCTTGCAACGTAAACGTGCTACCAAACGGAAAGACGAAGGTTTTCTGTTTTCTTTATTTGAATTGCCCTTCAGTAATTATTCCATTGTGTGTATCGAGACAAGAGGAAAAAAATGAATCAAAGCGATACGCGTTTGTAAAGCACCAGCCCCTCCATAGATCACAGGGGGAGAAGACAGAGGAGGAGGTGCGCTAATAAAATTCTTGCGTTGGAGCCGACTAGGTAGCGGTCACATCTTCTGCTGCAGCGTTCTCCGCCGTGGCTTCAAACGCGACAGGGCTGCGGCGTCGCAGCAGCCTCGAATGTTGCGTTTTGTGTTTTGGCAGTCATCACAAACTGCTACATCATAAAAGGCCTGGGATGCTCCCCCCCTCCCCCTCCTGCTGCGTGTGCTCTTTGCTTTCAACATAAAATGTTGTGCTGCTCAACGACACAAAGCGTCACCTCGTCACTCGCTCAACACACTCTTTTCCTCCACTCAATTTCTTTTTGTTTCTGAAACGTTACTGCGATCTCTGTGCGCTGTATGGAAATGCCTTTCCTGCGCGCTCTGCTAGAGTACCAAAAACCAACTCTTTCTTCGACTCCCACGATCCCTGTTGTGGTGCTTTACTTTTCCTTCTCCTACTCGTGCCATTACGGTTGTCCTTGTGCCTTTTCTTCCCATCAAAACACTGCCGCATCGAAGCACATACATACAACACATCAACACCAAAAAAGATAGACGCAGGCGGTGAAGGACGGCTCCTCCAAGGAGAGGTCGCTTTTTTCTCTTTTGTTTCCTCTCTTTCCCTTCGTTTCGCAAGAAGCACATCTTCATTATTATATTCACAACGTTTCACTGAACAGCAAAAGAAAACATAGTTCACGTAGCGAACTTCACATTTACCGTTTCCCAGCACAAATCCATGCGACACGAATAAAAACCCACAACAAGCATTCTTCTTGCTTCTTCTTCTTCGAAAAGGTAAACTCTGCTGCTGCGAAGACGACTCTGCCGCCTCAACACTGCCTTCTCTCTTTTTTTTTCTTCTGTTGTATTTTCCTCTACTGGTCGAAGTGTAGCGCGTCTTCAGCGTTTGGTTTGGCTCGTTACGCTGTCCTGCATTGCTCTCTTCGTTTTCTGTAGCACAAATTCTGGTATTTTTATGTCTTCTTTTCCTTTCTTAAAGCAGTCGTATTTTTGTTTTTAACATTGTACATACACACACGCACATCCCCGATCACAAATCCATATATATGTCTACGAGCACGCGAATTGTTTAAAATTCATAGCTCTTGCTCTCTTCCTCGCACACTTGACAAAACCACCACAACACCGACACAATCATGTTCGAGGAGTCGAAGATTTTGATGATTTTCAAGTCGCTGCGCGACATTGTAGTAATTGGCGACAATGACATGGTTGTCACCGACATGAACGAACCCGCCGTTAAGTTCTTCGGGTGGTCGGTGGATGACGTGAAAGGGAAGAGCATCACGTTTCTCGTCCCGACCCACCCGCTGGATGTGCAGGACAACACGGTGACGCTGATGGCGCGATTGGCGAACTCGACGGACGTGCCGGTGGTGATCCAGACGACGCGCGATCCGCATGCGACGATGGTGGCGTGGACGGTGCTGCCGATCAACCTGCCTCGCGTGTACGAGTTCGGCGTGCACATGAACATCCGCGCTGCCCTGACGCCGAAGCTCTCCGTCTCGGACCTCAACTTCGCCAACCGCACCGTTTTTGTGCGTGTCGACTTCAACGTCCCCTTCGACCGCGAAACCGGCGCGATACGCGATGACAGCCGCATCCGCGCCGCCGTGCCGACGATTACAAAAATTATGAGCGACGGCGGCCGCGTCGTGATCGGGTCGCACCTGGGCCGACCGAAGGCGCCGAACGAGAAACAATCGCTGCGGCGCCTCCTACCTCGACTGCAGGAGCTGGTGGGCAAGGATGTTCTCTTCTGCGGCGACTGCGCCAGAGCGAAGCCGGAGGTGGAGAAGATGAAGAACGGCGACGTGATGCTGCTGGAGAACCTGCGCTTCAACAAGGGCGAGGACAGCAAGAACACCGCCGTGCGCAACCGACTCGCCGTCGCACTTGCATCCTTCTGCGACATTTTCGTGTGTGACGCCTTCGGTACGGTGCACCGCATGACGGCGAGTATGACGGGGGTGCCGCGTGTGCTGGGCGCCGGTGTGACGGGCTTCCTCATTGAGAAGGAGATCAACGCCATCAGCATGGTGATGCGCGATCCCGCGCAGCCGCTGGTCGCCATCGTGGGCGGCGCGAAGGTGTCGGACAAGATCAACGTGCTCGCCTCTATCTTCAACTTCGCCCACACGGTGGTGATTGGCGGTGCGATGGCCTACACCTTCCTCGAGGCACAGGGGCACACCATCGGCCTGAGTAAGGTGGAGCGCGTCGTGCGGGAGAAAGGGCGGGATGTCGACCTGCACAACACCGCGCGCGACCTGATGGACCTGGCCAAGGCCCGAAAGGTGCGCATCATCCTCCCGGTGGACCACAGCTGCGCGAAGAAGTTCGCCGACGCGGAGCCGATGGTGACCAAGACGGCGGATATCCCGGCGGATTACATGGGGCTCGACTACGGCCCCAAGACGATCGAGCTGGTGCAGCGCGCCGTGGCGGAGGCGCGCACGCTTATTTGGAACGGCCCCGTCGGCGTCTTCGAGTTTGCGCACTTTGCAGCCGGCACGCAGGCGATTGGAGAGTCGATCAAGACGAACAAGCACCTCGTCTCCATCGTGGGCGGTGGCGAGACGGCGGCGGCAACGTCGGCCTACCGCGACTTCATCACGCACGTGAGTACGGGAGGCGGGGCGTTCTTGGAGCTGCTGGAGGGCCGTGCGCTGCCGGGTCTGATCTGCCTCACGGCACGTGCCTCGCCGAAGCTGTAGCCTCAAAACGCTTCTTTTTCATTTCACTGTGTGGGTTCTACCCCCTCGCCTGTCCCTTTGTTTATGGCAGGCAGTAGTGGGCGAGGCGGCTTGAAAGGAAGAGACGGAGAAGGTAGTCAGCGAATCACACACTCGGAATGGGGCAGGGTCGCGGCTGTTTGGAGATGCTGCCGGGTAGGCGCAAGTAGGAAAAGAGAAGAGAGACGGCAAAAACGTACGTCATAACTCTCCACTTTTCATCTCCCTGAGGCGCACACGCGGGAAAAAGTTCACCATCCATGCGATGGATGCCCGACGGGCCCCCATCCCTTCATTTTTCCTCTTTCTGTGTTCTGATTTGCCCACGGGCTTTCGGCGTGCTGTCACCGGCGGAAGTGGCGATGTGACCTGCTCTACCGACCACGGCAGTATCAACAAAAGGGGAGTAGAAGTTTGTCAAGTCTTCAATTGAATGACGAGTTGGAAAAATGGCCCCTCCCCCACTTCGATGTGAACTCTGCGCGAATAGTTATTGGGGCGTGTTGATTGGCCCCCATCTTTGTCTTTTAGTTCTCTTTTCTTTTTTTTTTTCTTCTCATTTTTGTTTTTGCTTCCGTTTCGATGTTCTCCCTGCGCCGCTTCGACTCGTTTCCTCCCACGTTGCGATCGTCCGTTCTGGCCAACAATGGCGGTAGAGGAAAAATACAAAAGAGTGAAGTGTTGTCGATGGAGTGGGCGAGCTTCAATGTTGCTTTTCCTCTTCACCTTTCTCCTTCGTGTTCTCTGAAACGTCGCAGAGGGTTGATGAGGTAGTTGCAGACGTGTGCGAACGAGTCTTCCCTGGCGCTAGCTACCTGTATTCTCTTCTCTCTTTGTTTTCATTAATCGCCTTCGGTAATAGTTGGCGTACGGCTGTGCAGCGACGAACGCATCTGTCTGTCTCTCTCTTCGACCAGCTTCACAGAAAGGCCGTTTTTGTGCTTCGGTTGCTATTTGATATATATATATATATATATATATATATATATATATTATTTCGTATGTG